TGTTTTCATATCCCGTCTATGAGAGCCAAGTTCGCGCTCTTCTCGCAGGACGTATGCCCGGCATCCATATGCGTAGATCCTGGCCCAGTTGGGCCGTAGGTCCGAGACTGCTGTTCTGACTATTTCCGGCGCGTACCAACGAAAGTACTGCCTGAACCAGCCATCCAGAAGTGAATTTGGCGTTTCGGAGTGCTTGAGCATGGATGGAGAGATGTTGAACAGCCAGGTGGCTGCTTTCACACACTCTGGCCATAGGTCTTTCGGTAGTTTGGCTGACAACAGGAGGACTAGCGCACGCTCCTGAATTTCACGCCCGGCTCGCTCAGCAGCGCCATTTGACTCTTTCGTGCGCGGTGGAGTAACCTCCAGGTCGATGCCGTTGTCAGCGCACCATTGTGTGTATACCGTTTCGTATGGCCTCCTTATGACTGAGGAGTCTGCGTCCTGTCTGATTTTGCAGACGAAGAGGCGATATTGGCGTTGTACCCAGGTCTCGAATAACCTGAGCACATCGAACACTGTGGATTGTGCCTTGTTAGGTATCGGAAAGGCAAACAACTTGCCACTGTACTCGTCTTTGAGTATGAGAGCCCATTTTGAGCTATCCTGCGCTTCGTTATAGTCGAGGAGATCCCAACTAATGCGCCAGAACGGTCGAGGGCTGTGGTGTTCAGATCTTGCGCGTCGAATGACCTTTGTGATGCGCCCTAGAGCACAGTGTTCACAGTCAATTCGTCTGGTTCCGTTGATTCTGACACCACGAACTGAGTAGACGAGCTCCTTCAGGGCATTGGCACCCAGGTGTCCCGACCTTAGATGCCAAAGATGCTCTGAATCACTTCTTTCAGGCGCCTCATCATATGAAGGACGAGGATGCCTGTTTCTTTTTAGAGTTGAGAACACGAGAACGCCAGCCCAGCTGTATGGCAGCGTGGCTGGAGCTCGAGAGTAGGAAGAGTTTGCAAAAGGAATGTATTCGAAGAAGACTAAGTTGAACTCTCTGTGTAGATTCGCAATCACCGCGCTCTGTTCAAGCGTTCCTGAGCGCAGTGTGCTATCTTTGCCACAGTACCAGATCCCTTTCTCGTATAAGAGAGCCTCAGCGATTATGTTGACATGGAAGCCATCTACAACCGCCACACGGTTGAGGACTAGGTCCTCAGTGCGTTCCCCTCGCCTCCCGTTCAGTGCATTTTTGAAGCGTCGTCTCCCGAATCCCCGTATTGGCAACGATGAGCTCCCTGCTTCCACAACTTCCGCATCCCTTGAGGGAGAAAAGGTGTTTGGCTCCAGGAGGTCGACGCTGTTGACGAGGTGTACAGCTCCGCAGTTATCCAGAACTGTGCTTTGGGAAAGGATGTGAGGTGTCTGAAACGGTGTTGAGAAGACTGCCGCGCTTGCTTGTAGCAATACTGCCTGGTTGAAGAGTTGAGGGTTGAAGACAGCGTTTATTTGGAGGAACTGAGGGTGCCTTGTTTCAGGCTTGAGGGGTGTCGGATCTGGCATTTTGACGTTGTGGTTGAGAGGTTCTAGCACTCGACAGTGCCTGGATAGAGGTTCCTGTTGTTCTCCGTCCTCTGTGGGATCCCCCCTGTCCAGCCTTGAGGAAGCCATCCAGTCCTGATAAGGTCTGAACGGAGCTCCTGATAGTTTTTGCCGGCCAGCTTAGAGAGAATCTTCTTTCTTTGCTCGTCAGATGGGGCCTTGAAGATTGAGTCTGGCCTGACTCCGGTACAGGCGTACTCCAGCCTTCCGCAGCTCATCGGGCCCCATTTATGCTTCCTTTGATACGACTCGCAGGGGCACTTGTAATCTCCCTTTTCGCTCTGGCTGGAAGATCCACCTTGTTTCTTCCCAGATTTTGTGCCTGAGTTGCCGGATTGTGGGTTCTCTCCGCCTATAGTGGCGAACACCATTGAGCCTTTTTTCTGCTCAGGCCGAAGTCGGTGGATTGAAGCGAGATTTCGTTGAAGCTGTTCGATAGTCTTGATAGGCAGACCATCGTCAGGTGCCGTAGCGAGGAGATGTCGTTGCGTTTTGGCCCACTCTGTCTGGAAGCGAACTCCGACAGCGGCGAGGAAGTTATCAGAGCCCTGAAGTCCCTCAACTTCGTCAATGCCGTAAACCCGAGCTAGGTTCAGGAGATCCTGGTGCTGCCGGCACCAGTTTTGGAAATCGGTGCCTTGCCTGGTGGCCAGCTCAAGGTGATGGCGGTACTGGAGGCGAACGACCTGTTTCATGCTCTCCTCGGACGGACAGAGGTCTTTCTTCAGGTTCCTGAGCACCTGTTGAATCGAGGGAGACTTCTTTCCTGGATAGGTGTGCATGTGAGGAACGAGGACTGACGGAGGTACTGTTTTCTGAATCCAGTTCCACATCCTCTGTACGTTCTGGTGAGCACGCAACTGCTTGTTTTGACGAAGCTGAAAGCGTTTCATCTCCTGATCGTAGAGGATGGCTTGTTCCTGGATAGAGAGTGGCTTGTAGTTCTCCGTTATGGTGTTTTTGCGCTCCTCCTCAAGGTCCTGAGTGAACTTGGAGAACTCGAGGTCGAAGTCTTCAGGTTCGAGAGAGGGCGCATCTGGGCCATCCGGGTCTAGGTACTCCCAAACACCCTTTCCCTTGCTCTGGGACTGCAAAATGCTGTACCAGGATGGAAAGGAGTAGGTGTCGGTGCACTTTACCGAGAGCGTGAGGTCGTCAGGTTCGCGCTCCATCGTGGGCTTGATGGAGCGTGAGTATGACTGTTTGGGACAAAAGATGTGTTCTGAAAGAATAAGAAGTGAACGGCTCAGTCTGTTTCGATAGATAAGGGGAAGATTAAACCCGATTCTTGCGAACCGGGCTCATAACTAAGGAGAAACGTATGAGCTGAGCACGTGGAAGTGGCTGAATGAGTGTTGAGATTGAATCTATCTAATACAAAAGGAAGATCTTCTAAGTAACTAAACCAGGCTCTGAGATGGTTTATGAGGAGACCAAAACAGAGGGTTAGGGTTAAATATGCCCCATTTTTCACAACAGTTCATGTGTCTAGGGTCTGAATGTATGAACGTGAAATAATAGTCGGTAAGGTAACAAATATCCAAACAGGTAATTCAAATATTGAGATAGATACAAGAAAGGAAATCAAATCTTGCGGTATATTTCGATACTCTCTTGCCGTTTGTATACGTCTTGCTGCCATGTAGGTGTTTTGGAAGTTGGTCATTTCTGCCAGTTAACACTGGCTATTGTTGGACATATAAACACGTGCTGTGGGGTTGTGGCGTGCTGCGCAGCCGTTTTGCTAAATCCAACAGCTATTGGGGACAACGTGGGTGATTGACCGGTTTGGAGTGACATTTTGTTGAGTAGAGGGTTTTGATGACGATTAGAGCATTTTGTTCAAGTTCAGAGGATATATATGCGTTTTCTTGATGATGTGCTTGCCATCTCGGATATGTCGTTATGAGTCCAGGGAGGAGACAGAAGCTGCCTTAGAGCTGATCTCACGGACTACGCCCTGGGCAATGTAGGAAGCATGTAATTTCAGTGTGTATATAGATAGTCTGATCAATATAATCTGGCGAGACCAAATGAGCAAAGTGAATCTGAAATCGTGCGGTAGTCTGGAAGAAAACTGAAAACCCCGTTTGGGGAAAGCCGGCACCTGATCATGGTTCCAGGAGCAAGGCCGGGAAATGACATGCAGGTAGTCACTCACAACCTCGAGGTGTTCTGAGAGGCTGCGAGTTCCAAATTATGCACACTCATCCTTTTCGATGTGGCCAGGTGGAACATTGAAGTGTTCCAACCTGATTTAAGCCATCAATAGGGAAAGAAGTTGTTGGGGGGGGGGGGGCTGGCATTGGAATCTGTTGGTGATAGCAGCAAGAATACTCCTTCTGCCATGTTGAATACTACGCTGAACTATGTAATTTGCCAGCTACACTTGGCCAAGTATCAGAGATTGCTCTAGAGTACACCACAACTATCTACATTTGAGGTGCTGGAAAGCAATGTCTGTCAGCCTTGTGGCTTAGGTAATCAACATTGGCTTATAGAAGGCTATCCTCTCCTCTGAGGGTATTCCAGATGATGAGAGAAAGTCTCGTCAACATAAACAAACCTCTGTATATGAAAACTATCATGTGAACTCATTTATTTTCTGTGATCGCCTGTGTGGCTGCATATGTCGTCAGTCATGTTCAACAGTCACAGGAGGCATGCATGACCTGCAAGGTAATTACCCGTAAAAACCATAAAGGGGCAATATTAAGATTTTGCCTCGATAGCCAGCCACTTTGCTTCCATTTGGTTTAGTCAATAATGTTCAAGGTGTACAAGCCTACCTAGTCACACAATTACAACATGCACTATGCACTTCTAGCCCTGTTCGGCAACCAGAATTTGTGGCAACAATGATGCTTTTTCCGGGGCTCTCCGGCTACTACCTACCTATGTTGTCCCTCCCCATCCACCAATAGTAGATTCGATGTGCAGCTCAGGTGCAAGGCTGCAGCAAGTAATAGAATGACACCTCACTTTACTTCTTCTTTCCCGCCACTTTCCATGAAGAAAGACCTTTGGTCCAATGATTTGTTTCGAGGCGGTTGTGTGCAGAGCATAGTGGTCAGAGCATTCCTGGGAGTAGAGTCACATAATTACTACCCAGACACTCTACCTGGTCTCTTCAACTCAGGCTCCTTACTCTTCGAGGCGTAAAGTCACTTGACAATTGCTGAGTTGACCAATGATGTACGTTGTTCAACAACAGATTGACAATGTAAATCAACTCGGGCTCTTCTATTTCACTCCGCTCTCACTTTGAGGTCACACTAATGAACAACAAGAGCTCTGTTTGTCTCTTCACAATTGTGTAATTGGATGGATCCCATACTCTTCAGTCACGCCTTGACTTGTGTCTATATAATCGAATTGGACCACCTGAAGCAGGTCCTTAGCATCCCCCTCAAATACTCAACACGACAACACGCATCCTTGGAAGAGCATTGAAGATGGCGACAGCACCAGCAGCTTCAGCGCAGGCCGGCCTCCTTCTGGGTGGTAAGTTCGGCAAGGAGGGAGAAAATACCCCTCCAGCTCCTGGAGCGATACTTGCGAATACAATCACCCTGCCGGATGGCTTCACCTGCGTCTCGCCGGATGACATGTACCGTATCAACGAGTTGGCTCCCGGTCGTCGTGAGCCCAGATTCCCAGGGATCCATAATCTCTCCGAGTCTGTCATCTCACGAACGGTTCATCCCCCTCCATTCCAAGGAGAGGAGTCAAAGCGTCGAGCCCAGATCTGGGACACCACGGCGAGGGCTGTGCGGGAGGCTCTCGCCGGTATTCCTGCTGGATCTCATATCAACATCTGTGCTAACAGGTAAGTTCTCTAGACGTCCTTTACCATAAAGCATGGAGGAAAGAAATGAAACAAAAAGATTGTGCTTGACCTGACATGCCCCTTCAACAATTAGTGGACCTCCAAACGACAAGTTGGAAAAACAGGCCCCCTGGGCTGCGGTCCCCGGCGCCGCCATGGGCCTGCTCCTGGTGGCCCAGTTCCGCGACACCATCCACCCAGGCTGGCAGCAGATCGCAGTACCCATCCAGCACAACGAGGGCCGCCTCCTAGCCGGCCTCCGCCTCCTCCCCGCGGTCACAGGCCGGCGCGACCTGACCTTCATCCTGACGAACCTGACTCACCCGACCATCCCCGCGCACCAGATGAACACCGTCCGCGACCACCCGTTCCTAACGTACGGCGCGCTGGCCAACTCGTGGAAGGCGACCAACTTTGGCTGCTGGTTCCACCACGGCTGTGTCTTCGAGGGCGAGGCCGATGCCATCCGCGCCTCCTTTGCCTGGGACGGGGATTTGTATGGCTGGGACGAGGCCGTTGCCTACACGCGCAGGCCGGTCGTCATCGTCACGGGCGCCAAGCCGCTGCGCCGGTTCGACTACTGGCAGCCTGCGACGGTGTATCGCGGCGTCACGTGGCTGCAGATGGTGGATGGGGTGCTGTGTGGCGGATACCAGGAGATGACCACGAGGGCGCATGTTGTTGCGTGGGACAAGACTGGGATCCCAGGTGGTCCGCTGACGGGAATGCTACCTATGAGTAGCGGTGGCGCGGTGAATGCCATTAATGGGGGATTCGATGGATGTGGCACAAGCTTCACCAATGGGAGCAGCAATGTGAATGGTAATGCAGCCTGGTGATTGGCGACTCCTGCGACGAGGTTGTGCTCGGGACTGTAATAAGCACACATATCAACCAGCGTCTTTCTTGACTCGAGGACCACGAGGCCAGACAGGTTATAGAAGCATACTTGAGTAAATAGTAATCATTGCTGTGATATTAATTGTGCTAGTACAATGCAATTACACGAGGAGTACGCCTGTCAACTGTTTCATGACCAGTTGATGAATCTTTCGGCATTGGCCACATAGACTATCCAGAAAGTATGTTAAGCATAATTCAAAGAAGCGTCGCAAAGTGGGCACAGCCACGAGTCCGGTAGGCGACGAACTTGCATAGTTGAATGCAGATTTCGTCTCGTTCCACTTCAGATCAGATATGTGGGTGGGATCGATGTCCTCTGGCTCAACAGGACTCCAGGATCAAGTCAGCATTTGCGAGAGTCTACCAGCTCTACAAGCTATGGCTACTAAAAGTTTGGTCATCTGGTCCAAATAGCCTGCCATCCATACCTTAAGGACCTCTTCTCGACATCATACTCCCTAGAATCTAGTAGAATATATCATCCCGGAATTCTGAGCAAGCAGCTGGGCAGGGAGCAAGCTATTCTCTGGCCTTACAGCCTCGCCGTATCGGTCTTTTATTATTCTGGCAAGCAGCAGCTTTGTGGCCTGAACTACTATGATTTGTAGAGTCTACCAGAACATCAATCTGCTTGTTTAGGTAACTGCAACAGTGAAATTGACTACCCGCAGACTGATGTGTGACTTGTCCCTCGTTTGAGTGAGCGATGACCTCTAGCGTAGGAAATTGTCATCTCTCTCTCAATCTCGAGAAGTCTAGGCGGGCATTTGAGAAGGTGAGCAATGATCAACACTGCCGCATCATTGCCTTGCCTTGGTGCACACCCGGTGGTCAAGAGCTATGGGACCGTTCTCATAAAGATGTACACAAATTAGTCAGGCCCGGCGTCCTGGAAACTTTGGTCTTACGCTTAAATTGACTTCACAAATGATGCTAGAATGTAAAAAAAAAAACCATCTGACGAGCAATATGGAATCACGACATCCTCTATGCCGAGCACCTGGTGACGAAGTGGCCCTGTCATCACCTTGACCAACCTCTCGGGAGCCGACCGGCCGGCCAGAATCAGCAATACCGTTGGCGAAGTGGAGGGAGGTGGTCGATGATCAGGCCAAACACGGGCAAAATTTATGGCGAGAGAGCCGTGAGGCCCGTGAGAACCCAGAGTTGGGATGAGCTTATGGCGCGGCACTGGCAGGCGGGGAGGGTCAGGCCATGCAGGAACAAAAAGTTTCGCCTGGAAAACAGGCCAGCCGCGCTAGAAGAGAATTGTGGTCAAGAGCACATCAGGATTGTCGGGAACGACGATGGCGCCATGAGGGACGCACAGACATCCGTGAGGTCGGCAGCCTGTCTCGTCTGCGTCAGTCGAAATCCCTCTCTTGTGAGTGGAACATCGGATCAGGCTCGGGGCTTGGCTCGGCTTGTAGGACACAACTCTGGATGAGAAATGCGACCTGGTCAGCCCATGCTGGAGAGTGATGCGAGGTTTGGCCAAAAAGCGAACGGACGCCACAAAATTGCGACATGGTCTCGAGGCAGGAAGGGCAGGTTGCATGAGCGGTGGCTTGCCCTCTCAACTTCTCCTCGTACTCTGCAAATCCGCCACGAATGGGCACACGCTGTTCCCAGTGGCCCCTGTCAGTCATGGGTCAAAGAGAGTAGAGAATAGACAGTTTGTGCTGTGTGGTACTGTACGCAGGGCAGAGCCGGATGGTCCACGCGCGTGGCTGTATGTATGTACGTATGCTGCAGATTTTAACGAAACCTACAGCTCGAAACGACGGCTGTCATCATGTAGAACATAAATACATTGTTGCATCGGTAGTGCCTGACGCCTGACAAGATCCTTGATCTCTCCTGTCTGGACCTGCGTTCCTGCATTAGTGTCATGGTAGGAGCCCGGGGGGGGGGGGGGAATGGAGGGGAGTTCCTCCTCTCAAGAGGCTGGCATTGCTGAGGCGTAAGGCGCGTAAGTACAGAAGCTGACAAGAGGGCTATAGGCACTCTAAGATCTTAGATCCCTACAGGTACAGGATTCTGTCTAGTATGTAAAAGATAGTAAGTATGATATTACATAGTAGACAGGAGGCGGCTTATAGATAGTACTGGGATCGCCACGGTCCGCAACGGCGGTACCCAGAGGTATACTGAGGGTTCTGGACGATTATTAGTAGATCTGCCCGGGGATCTCAGATCTACACTAGGGCAAACATGCTGAGAGGGTGTGCAGGACGTACAGACCATGAGGCTAGAGCACGACATACTGTGGCGCCGTTGCCCTCGCATCGCGAGCCCAGGCAGATGACACCAGCACCTCGGAGCGGAGATAATTTCTCAGAAGGGAGTTGACAAGAGCAAGAGAAAAAAACAAGAAAAAAGAGGGCATAGTACAACATAATACTGAGAGAGGCTCGAGCATGCGTCAGACTGTCCAAGTGTCAGATTGTCAGAGCGAACCCCCCTGACGAAACAAGCTGCGACGCGGGGCGTGTTACCGAACCCCTGCAAGAGCCGCACTCAGGGTCCAATCAGAGAGCCTCAAGCCCCTGAAGGTATTGAATCTACTATAGTACCTGCTATAGCACTGGCGTCTCCACGGGGCAAACCCCTGTAAGAATACGCCGTAATTGCTAACCATAGTAACAACCCTCTCTCTCACTCTCTCAACCCCTATTCGTCCCCCCCTGCCTCTCCCACGCCCACTTCCCACGCCCACGCCCATCCTCAACTCTTCCCGCGCGCCAAATGGGTGTCACAACGCGCACCGAATCCTAGACGCTGAAGCAGATGGGCAGGGAGATTGCGTTGGCAACCATGAAGACAGGGGGCAAAATCGTGCCATAACCCACTCACCCTCGACGCCATCGATTCTCCTGTTTGCTTCTGTCAACTACGCAAGAACACAGCATGTATTTATGGCGTTTCTCGGATGTGGTGTTTTCGAGGGGAAACAACGCCAGTATCAGACACGAGGAGTGATGACGACGCACCTCGTTCTGCTGTTATCCTCTTGCATACCCTCGGAGTCGCAGCCATGGCGTGCCGTATTGAGTTCTGCATGCTGAGATCTTATCTACGTATCATGAAGGTATAGGCCGTAACCGAACGAGACATGCCAAGCTCGACATTGAAGGTGCAGTTGATAAAAGAGCTTCAGTGCAGAGTGGCCGCCAGAGGCCCAGACCGAGCAAAGGACGGGCCCCTCTCCCCATCAATCACGGTCTTGGCTTCAAGAGGTTTAACCTTAAGTTTCTTCCTGCTGTGGATAAATCGGCACTGGGCAATAATGCACACACGTCGACATGGACAAGAGAGGCCAGTCGGGTCGTTCCTTTGGCCCCCTCTCTCTTCTCCTCTGGGGCCATGCTGTGGCCACGGCCAGGCCCTGGACAGCCCATGTCCTGCTTCCTGCGGGCCTACAGATGGATCCTTCACACGAACCATTCCCATTCTGGCAGCGCAGCCAGGGCTCTCAGACATCTTCGTAACAGAACATCCTCTTTCATCTTCCAGGCGTCCAGGGTTCTCTCGCTTGGGACACCTCGTACGTGGCCCTCGCTCCTCTCATGGGCTTTGTGACTGCACAGAGGGACCTGGGGACCTGGGACCTGATACTGGACCCATCTCTCTCTCACTGCATCACATCGGTATTCGCTGGGTTTCTACTTCATCTTGTCTCCCAGGAACCCCAAAGAAGACACTTACTCTCCTCTGGCCATCATCGTCCCGTCTTCCTTCGGCGATCTTCTTGTCCCTGGTCGAGATCCACCTCTGTTGTTTCTCACTGATACATGCGCCTGCTCCCCTGCTACTTGCGCCTTGAGAATATCCCCTGCTTGGGTACACGGAAATCTGCTGTGGGTTGGGCGTGCCGCACAGGTATGATCTGCATGCTTTGGTACTTGGTTGAGCGTCTTGGCATGCCTCATAACCTAACTCCCTCCCGCCTCCCTCCCACCCTCGATTTCTCCCTCCATCTTTTTGCCTGCTTCACCTAATTCTCTCTTCTCTTCTTCATTCCTCTTCTTGACCAAGCCGCCTGTTTCTTCCGTGCTGGTTTGCTGATCACATCGTCGCATCATAGCGGCCCAGCAGGACCCCCAGTCACGATCAGGACAGAGAGCTAGCTTGCTCCTTCGCTTCATTTCATCACGGTCTTTTCTGTGGCTCTAATAATTATATACAAAGTTCAGCAGGCTCTGAATTAATTCGGTCGCCGGCTTTCGACCCGATTGAAACTTTTGCGCAACTTGTGTGAACAGGTCTGGAGGAGTAAAGCATCGACGTCTTCGAAGACGAGTGGAAAAAAGGACATTCGATCGACTTTACCTTCGCCAAAACCAGAGAGGGAAAAGAGGCTCTAAAGTTACGGTTGCAACTGGGCTTTGGAGGGTGCCAAGGACAGGCTGCCTGGAATTACCGCAGTTAAGACGACGACAACGACAATCGATTGCATTTCACCATGAGTGGCGCCTACTTTCAAGACGCCCGGTTTTCGGGGGGGTATGAGAAGCAGTCGGAGCGGTCGAGATGGACACCTCTCACGAGGATGTTGCTGTCGGGGCAGATGACCCAGGAGAGGCAGAAGGAGCTCTCATCGCGGGAGAGGTTCGACAGGTGGATGGTGAACGAGGGTTACCGAAGAGTGTAGGTTCAACAACTCTTGTGTGCCATGACCATGTGAACTGCTGGGGGGCTGACACGGAGATCCTAGGTTCGTGTTTGTGTTTGCGGTACTGCACGCTGCCATCTTTGCTTTTGGCTTCGTCAACTACTCGGTCAAGGATAACCTGCAGATTGCCCGAGACACATTTGGCCCGACATACATGATTGCTCGGTCCGCAGCGCTGGTGCTGCATTTCGACGTGGCCATGATCCTGTTCCCCGTCTGCAGGACCTTTATCTCTCTGGCTCGTCAGACCCCGCTGAACGGCATCATCCAGTTCGACAAGAACATCACCTTCCACATCACTGTGGCCTGGTCCATCTTCTTCTTCAGCTGGGTGCACACCATTGCCCACTGGAACAACCTCGCGCAGATCTCGGCCAAGAACAACCTGGGCATTTACGGTTTCCTCGCCGCCAACTTGGCTTCCGGCCCTGGCTGGTCGGGATACTTTATGCTGATCGCCCTGACCGCCATGGTGGTCACCTCAGTCGAGAAGCCCCGGCGCGCCAACTATGAGCGCTTCTGGTACACGCATCACTTCTTCATCGTCTTCTTCATGTTCTGGGCGGTCCACGGCGCCTTCTGCATGATCCAGCCCGACGTCGCCCCCTTCTGTATCTCGGTCGGAACGCAGGCCGTCGGTGTCTTTTGGCAGTACTGGATGTACGGAGGCTTCATCTACCTCTGTGAGCGTATCGCTCGTGAGATGCGAGGCCGCCACAAGACGTACGTCTCCAAGGTCATCCAGCACCCCAGCAACGTCTGCGAGATCCAGATCAAGAAGGAGCACACCAAGACGCGCGCCGGCCAGTACATCTTCTTCAACTGCCCCGAGGTGTCCATCTGGCAGTACCACCCCTTCACCCTGACCAGCGCCCCCGAGGAGGACTACATCTCCATCCACGTGCGTGTGGTCGGCGACTTCACCCGCGCCCTCTCCAAGGCCCTGGGCTGCGAGTGGGACAAGAAGGACAAGGGCTCCAACGTGGTGGGCGTCAACAGCAACAATAACGACGTCGACCCTGCGCTGCGCCGTGTGCTGCCCCGCGTCTACGTGGACGGGCCCTTTGGCTCCGCCTCGGAGGACGTGTTCAAGTACGAGGTCTCGGTGCTGGTCGGCGCCGGTATCGGTGTCACCCCGTTCGCCTCCATCCTCAAGTCCATCTGGTACCGCATGAACTACCCGCAGAGCAAGACCCGCCTGGCCAAGGTCTACTTCTTCTGGATCTGCCGTGACTTTGGCTCCTTTGAGTGGTTCCGCTCCCTGCTGCTCGCCATCGAGGCCCAGGACGTCGACCAGCGCATCGAGATCCACACCTACCTGACCGCCAAGATAAAAGCAGACGACGCCACCAACATCATGATCAACGACGCCAACGCCGACAAGGACGCCATCACCGGCCTGCGCGCCCCGACCAACTTTGGCCGCCCCAACTGGGACATGATCTTCCGCGGCATCCGCAAGCTGCACGCCCCCGCCGAGGCTGGTGTGTTCTTCTGCGGGCCCAAGGGCCTCGGAAGCAGCCTGCACATTTACTGCAACAAGTACAGCGAACCTGGGTACGTATTCAACTTCCGAGAAAGACAACTGCTACAAGTCATCGTTTGCAAGAAACAGATTAGCTAACCACATGATGCTATAAGATTTGCATTTGTCTGGGGCAAAGAGAACTTCTAGACGAGTCAACCCAACAGTGGCTCCTTTTTCTATTATTGTCAACCCCTCTTTACATTTTCGAGATATCCACCGCGCGGGCAATCAAAGCATCGCATCAATGGGCAAAGAAAGGCAATGCTTTTTACGTCTTTTTCCCTCCCTCCCTTCTTTTCCCGCGCCGCTGCCGTCTTTTCTTTTTCATTTTCTCTCTCCCCTTCCCTTCCTAATTGGCGCGCCGGACGCAAACAAAACCACATATTCTCAACAACACAAGAAGATAATATAAAAAAAAAATTAAACAAAAAAAAAAATAAACTACTGCCTTCGATCGTGTGTCACCGGTGGACCTTTGAAAGCTGTACTGGTACCGGAACTGCAATCCTCTGGGAAGGGGGAGAGGGGGAAAGGGGGGGGGGGGGAAGGGGAGGGGAGACGCCAACATTAATCGTCCGCATGATTAAAGAGGGGGGGTGGGGGGAGAAGAGAGGCGAAGAGGGATTTCTCCGAGGGAGAAAGGGAAGAGGGATAACACTCGGCATACGACAGATACGAAGAGATGAGGGAGGACTCAGTGTGGCGTTTGTGTGTATGTGTGCGTGTGCGCGCGCGCGTATATGTGTGTGCAAGCAAGGAAAAGAATACATCTTTTTTTCTTTTTCTCTCTCTGGTCTCGCCATGAGCCGCGCACCAACTCCAGCCAGCGTTGGTTGTCCTGCACGCGTTTTGGAAGACTTACGTCGTCTTTTTTTTTTTTTTTTTTTTCCTTCCCTTCTTTCTCTTGGCTTTGTGTCTTTCGAGAGGGATTTGGGCATACTTTTTTTCTTCGCGGTGATATAATATCCTAGATTTCAAATGGTTCTTTCCTGTCTGTGTGTGTCCCTCTCATTTCTTTTCACCCAACATGTAGTGGCCTGAGTACCAATAGTTCTCCTTTATACAATAGATGACGTAGATATATGTATATCTGGGACAGGATTACATCGCTGAACCTCAACGAGGCGTGTGCGTGCTCATCCGCTCGTTGGCCCATGAGATGATAGAAAGAGAAAGAGGGAAGAGGGAAGAAAATAAAGTAAAGAATGAGTGAATACGAGACAAGTCGAGACGTCAGTAGTTCCTACACACAGGCCGGGTTGCGCTGGAAGGAACCCCATCAGCAAAATGTAGGCAAATCACCACGAGCACACGACAAAAAAACAAACAGACGTCCTCAACACGACAAACAGACATTTGATTGTAGTGATTCCATCCAGATCTTTCTCAGAATGCTAGCCCTTGTCTTGATCTTCCCAACGTCATCATGTCGTACCTGGGTTCTAAAAAAGCAACTGTTGAAACCCTTCCGGAAACCTGACCATTTTCCTGAACATCGCCAACAATGCTGCTGCTATTTGTGAAAACAGAAAGGCAAGAAGACTCCTCGCTCCCTTCCTATTTTCTTGTAAACGCCGCAAACGAGATCAACTCTTCAAAAAAATGCCCGTCTCTTCTGTTTACCCGTACTCTCGTAGCCATCTGAACTCAAGGATGTATGATTCAACTCCACAAATGCCACCACGTGATGCCGTCGTTACACAAGATGAGTGAAAGATGCCGCCGTGATGCTAGGATATCGCTGGATGATTGTAAAATCAACAATGAAGGAAAAAAAGAAATTGAAGATGGAAAATACGAGGATGGAAAGAAGGAGGAGCGCAGTCGACAATAAAAATTAACTTCTGTCCTGCTCGGACTTGCGAGTGAAATGGTGACTGATGAGTGGTAAATATGTGTAAAGCGGCGTGAAGGGAATTTTCGGAAGAAATTAAATAACAAGCCCATATCGAGGCCGGCCTGGGCCAGAACACACAAATTTTGACGGCCAAATTTTTAACGGCCAGGAGAGAAGAAAAATGTGAAGAGGAGGCCGGGCTCCAGAGAATTGCTTTGCTTTATCATGAGGCCAGTAGCTCCTCGACAAGCCCGTCAATGGTGAGGATGCGGAGCTGCTGTGCCCACTTCTCCCGAAACGCTTCCGCGAACCAAGCGCTGGACATGTTGTTCCGGAAGCCAACAACCTCGACGAGCCAGCCCAGGCCGAGCGCGCGGACGACACTCTTGTGGAAGCCATCCGAGAACTCGGCTTCGGCGGCGTCACCGGTCGCGACGACCATGACGCCCGGCTCGGTGGTGTCGATAAGGGTCTGCATCATCTTGAGCTGCAGAATCTCGTCGACAGCTTGCTCGCGGTGGGTGCCGTCCCACGACTCGGGGATGTAAACGCCTAGCGGCGCGGGGTTGGTGCGGGTCCTCTTGGAGCCTTGGACGCGCTGCAGTACATTCATCTCGTAGCCGAGGGCGGCAGCCTCCAGCATAAAGCCCGGAGTGGCGGCGCCGGCCTTTATAGAACCTGCGAGGACGCGCTTGGCGCAGGGGCGGCCGCGCTCGGCGGCGGCTGTGAAGGCCTCGAAGGAGAAGATTGGGGCTGGAATGCGTGCGTCTGTCGGCATGAAGCGAGCTTGCTTGATCGTGTTGTCTTGTTTTTGGTCTTGTTAGCACAAAGGTTTGCGAGGTGGAGTTTTGGCCGTATGAAGGGTAAGTAGTAGCTACTTACAGAATCCAATGATAATGTTGCTGACGTCGACGAAGACGTGAATCGGCTGGGTAGCTCGAACCATGGTGAGATTGTTGCTACGCAGCAGAGCGTCCTCAAAAAGGGTAGCATCAAGTATGGCCCTGACGATCTTGAGCCGCACGTCCTTCTCGACCCTGTAGAGAGGCTCAACGGCCGAACGGGAGATGAAATCGAAGCCAGAAGCGGGAATGCCTTGCCGTCTATCCTGCACCACAGATATAAGGTTGCCATGCGCGTCCCAGGGAAGGATGGCCTTCTCGGCAGCCGCCAAGGTGTGTGAGGCGGCGACAATTCGAGAGACCTCGGCGCGGCGCGCCTTCTGCAGCTCGCTGAACAACGGGAGCAGCTCGCCGCGGACGGTGATCTGTCTCAGCCGACCGGTGTTATCGATGGCGGTGCCCGGCGGTAATCGCATGGGCATAGGCACGGGAACGGGAACGGGCACAGGGTAGACAGCGGGCAGCCGCGAGGGCGGCAGTGGCGCCGGCTGAGGCGTAGGCTTATGCCCAAAATTGCCTTGTGCTCCAACGACGCCGTCGTCCTTGCCCTCCAGATCGCTCACATCGTTGTGGTCGTCGCCCTTGCCGCCAACAGGCGAGACGTCAGGGCTGGTGGCTGGAGTCGAGGCCAGACTGGCAACAGCGCTGACAGACGCATCGTCGAGGGTGGTTGCGTCGTCGTCTTCGGAGCTCGAGTCGCGGCGGCGGCGGCGGCGGAAGCGGGAGTGCGTGGCGCTGTCGACAGTGCAGGCCAGGATGCGGCGGATGTCCAGACGGTTGGCGGGGACAGCAGGAGTACCAGAGGGCTGGCCGTCCTGGGCCGGCTTGATGTGAAGCCTCTCCATGTTGCCGAGCTTGGGAGGAGACGCATCAAGAATATTCAGATCGTCGGGGCCTCTCACAAGGCGGCGTCCTTCGAATATGCGATCAAAGTTGCCCAACATGGGACGTTGAGGGAGACGGCTGGACCGCGTGGGGGCCCTCTGTGAGGTGCCCATGTTGATGCAAGGCAGACTGGCAGATTTGATTGATTATGGAAGAGGAACAAAAAGAGAAGAGAGAGAGGTGAAGAAGTGAGGAAGCGTTGAAGAGGGGTGGCGTTCATACGTGACGAGCGCTGATAAGAAAAGAGATCAAGTAATGTTCGAAGAGGGGTTGTAACCAATGTCCAAACGATGGGAGTACATGCTCCAGTCGCAATAGATAAGTGATCAGTCTCGTGTTTGTTTTTTGGTCAACTTTTGAAAGACGAAATGAAAAAGTGGCGCATCAAGACGAAGGAGAGGAACTACTGTTCAGACGGTGACTCGAAGTCGATGATGGAATGAACCCCGACTGATTAAGTACTTAAAGTATGGGGGGCGATCTAGGGTGGGAACTAGGGTGGGTCCGTCCGCTTTCTGTGGAGAGAAGGGAAGAAGAAGGGAAAAAGAGAAGAGCGGCTAGATGAGGATTCGGGTAGGGTCTTAAGTGCTTAGGTGCAGGTGGCGGCCCCCCGTGAGAGTGCGGGGCACGTCTCTACTGCCTGTACAATATTTGCAGTGGAGGTAGCAACTGTGCCACAGCACCTCCCCTAGTGGGCGGGCCGAGCAAACTTACTGACCCCAACTGGGAGGGCTCCAATTCGCTGGCCTTCCCTCCTCCCCCTCCACTAAACACAACCAACCACACCAACCGACTGGCACGAGAGACTCATTGTTTTTACACTTTATTTGTTTACATACGACACGCAGACGTCAACCTCGCAGAGCCCAGGAGAAGAAGAATATTTCATTCCATAGAAAATGCCAGTCAATTCTCTTGCAACTATCAAGTTCCACCTCAATCAAGCCCAGAGTTGCATACGTTATGACAACACACACACACATAATTCAAGGACTTTGCCAACAGAGGTGACACCGTGCGTGCTATGAACAGCTGGTGATCACTTTCCTGTCACCACATGATGCGCTGGCAATCAATGCGCTGGGACGAGGGGAAGAGAAAGAAAAAAATGTGGTTGGACAACCTTCATGTAGCAAGTTTTTGGCTTCACCATTCTCGGTCTGAATAAGGCGTACACTCCAGGACTATATGTCGCTCTCTGTACAGAGCAGAGAATGCTCTTTTCCCATACAGTCCTTCCTTTTTCCCTTCCTTTTAAATTCGTAACACTGCCACTGGCAGAATTGAGCTTCTGCCCTTTCTGCTGCGTGTCAATTCGGTTTTAATAAGAGAAGGCACATCCGTTTGACCCCTTTCCATCCACCATCAGTCGCCTTGAACAAGTTGCTGCTTCTCCCATTATACGCCGTATCATGAGTGATAACAAGATACCGTGCAACATCCAGATCGTGACCCGACTTTTCCTCTTCTCTTAACGCGTATCGTTGTGCGTCAAGTGCAGTCGGAAGACTCGTCTAGGCGACCTTCTCGTCCTGCCCAGGTTTCTTTCCCTCCCATGCGCCCCGCATCACCTCGTTCTCGCGCTGCATACCCAGGATCCAGTCGCCCAGCATCGCGCCCGCCGCTGCACCCAGGGCCTTCTCACCCTCCTCCCTCATCTCCCGATCCCGAGCGGCCTTTTGCGCACGCGCTGCCTTCTCTGCCTCGTCGCGCTCCTCCCGTGCCCTCTTCCTCTTGGCCCGGTGCTCCTCTAGGCCCGAAAGGTACCGCACGCTGTGGCCGAGCGCGGCGCTCTCCTCTGCGGCGCCGGCATGAGGTCGGTTCAGGGGTGGCGCCGTGAAGAACAGAAGCTGGCCCTGGTCGTCCGTCTGATACTGGTCGCGGATCTCGGCTGGGATCTGCACGTCCAGGTCGCGCAGCGTGTAGACTTCGATCTGCCTGGGGGCAACGTAGGAATTTGCGTTGGCATGAGGGAGCGCGGTGTTGCTTGGGGTGGGAGGCATGGTCATGCGCGGCTGTGGTGGCGCTGGGGCTGCCGCCTGAGGATGATTGCTGAAGGGGCTAGCGTGGAAGGAAGGGTTGGGGATGTGGTGGTGATGACCACCGGCTGGGACAGGACCTGGCGCAAAGTGCTGGGCTTGTTGTTGCTGTTGATGGTGCTGGTGCTGGTGCTGGAGCTGCTGCTGTTGGTGATGATAGACTGGGTGTTGCTGATGCTGGTGTTGGTGCTGTTGATGTTGTTGTGGTGCCGGTGGTGGTGGCGCAAAATGAGGTCCGGGCGCAGAATGCGCTGGTGAGGGCACTGAGTGCTGGTGGTGTTGATGCTGCTGCTGCTGCTGTTGTTGTTGTTGTTGTTGCTGCTGCTGCTGCTGCTGCTGATGTTGGTATTGTTGCTGATTTTGATGCTGGTGTGGCAGCACGGACGGGTGTGGCGGGATTGAGCCGGGGTGATTGAGCGACCGTTGGTGTTGTTGGTGTTGTTGGTGTTGTAGTTGTTGTAGCTGTTGTTGCTGTTGGTGGTGGTGCGGCGCGAATTGGCCCTGGTGGAACTGATGCGCGTGTGCCTGTGCAGGAGAAGATGAAGGAAGCGGGCCCGTCGCGCCGGGATAAAAAGCGGTCGGGGCAGCAGGCATCGGGACAGATGGTCGACGAATCGGGTCAGTGGCCATGACTGGTGGTGGAACCGCGGGTGGCTCTGGCGTCGGTTCAGGCGAAGGCGAGTCCTGTTCACAGGGATCCCAGTTCTTCTGTGTTAGTACAGGTTCCGCTTATGAACAAACACATGGCACTTGGGGGTTTTTTTTTTCTAGAGTGTTTCTTGGGCTTGTGTTACGATGTAGGAATTCAGGCAACAGAACAGGTCACACGTTCTGCCTGTCCACTGTGCATGGACGCAGGGGTTGGGATCAAGGGAGGATTCGTTTGCGTGTGTAAGCGTGTGTGTAATAAAAATGAAAATAAAACACAAAACGAGGGAGGTAGATTTAGGTGAGATGAAGATGTGGCACACCACGATAAGAGATTGTCAAGTGTGGCTGAGAGGGCACTTCTGACTGATAGCCTTGTGTGTGCAACGGAGTTGGTCGTTGCAGTGAATGATCCAAGGGCTCTCAAAGACACACCAGGCGCAACCAACAAGAGTGAGGAAGAAGGGACAAAGGGGAAGCGAGAGGAAAAGGTGGGTGTGTGTGTGAGCGTGAGACGGTGTGTGTGAGAAGTAAAAGGCAGGGAGGGGAGACAGAAGAAAAGGATGACGAAACAATCTGCGTGTGATGTTTGTAGATGAATGCCAACGCACCAGGAGGAAGAACAAGAAGGAGAAGGGAAGAGGGAAAAGGCAGCAGGAGATTCATCACTTACGTTAGATTCTCGGGGCCGCATATGCACACCACCAATGACAGGCGGCGCGTCCTTGTGACCCCAGTTGGGTTTCGGCAGCGGATCAGTCTCTTTGGCATCCGGCGCAAGCAGGTGAGCAATTGGGGTTGGCTCCTTTTTCAGCCTGCGCGGGATGTCGAACAGGTCCATCTCGTAGTCCCTCTCGCGCACCTCGTCAGGCAGACAGCTCGTCCACGTCTTGATTCGGTTGAACGTGTACCTCTCTTCATTGTAGCGCGCCTCACACACGTACACCTCTTTGTCTCGAGGCAATCCTCGCGGTCGCCCCCTGTGGTAGCGGGTGTGAAACATCACGAAGCAGCGGTCCACAATGTCATCAACAAAATGGTCGCGATATTGGCCCGTCTTCATCACCTCGTTTCTGTAGAATCGTTTTGTGACGCGGTGAACCGTCTGTTCAGGCCGGTAGTACCAGCACGCATTGATCCATTGCTTGCCAGCCTCGTCCTGCCAGAGGCGATAGATCTGCGCCACAATCGGTTTCTGCAGGTCGTTGGGGTTGCGGATATGAACCCAATCACCTAAAACATTGCATATGTCGTTAGTACGGATTCGGCCGCCACTCTGGGGACCCATATGTATATATATGTAATAATCCTGATCTTTCTTTGCCCACTCACCAACTTTCCAGACCTCGCCATTGTGCTCGACCTCTGCAAGAGGCAGCTTGCCCTCCTCATCTCGGAATTCCTCGTCAGACTTGGCCTTCTCTTGCGCCACCAGACGGCGTGCCTCCTTCTGTAGCTCGATGGCGTCATCGAAGATCTCGCTGCCCTCCTCGTTGTACTCCATGGCATTCGCGAACATGAGCTCGAGGTCGGCGAGGACTCCATCCACATTGCGGTACTTCTTGCGCTTGGCGTTGCGTTTAATCTGATCGACCGCGATGGGATTCTGAATGATTTGATAGTAGTCCCTGTTCAGCTGCTTATCGGGCAGTTTTTCGAATGGCAGAATGCGCAAGTCTCCCTCGTCATTCCTTGGTTTCCTGAGCCCTTTCAGTACGGCATTAATGCGGGCCTCTGTGGGCGTGAAGACTTTTGGTGGGCGGCCACGCTTCTTGACGTAGTCGTCATCGCCGTCGTCGTCCTTTCTGGATGGGCGACCTCGCCTGCGGCCCCGGCGACGGCCGCCTTCGTCGTCTGAGGAGTCGTCCTCGTCGTCGTCTTCCTCCTCTTCCTCCTCCTCTTCCTCGTCTTCCTCAAACTCGTCGGGAGGGGGCGAGTCCTCGACAGGAGGCAGCTCACCAAGGTCTGGGAGCACAGCTTCTTCTGCTTGGATTGTGCCTTGGTTCACTAACTGCTGCAGTTTTTCTTTGAAGACCTCACGGAGCCGAACAGCCTCCCCGAAGATGGGGGCAGATGGCCGGTTGTAGACTTGCGCGTTGTGGCAGATTTGGGCGACATCATGAACAAACTCTGAAAATTGGGTATAGGTCTTCTTGAGGAGTTTTTGCTGGAATGGTGTTAGGCCCATGCATACATGTCAAATCGATTGATCCGCAATTGCTTACCCGAATGGTACTGAATGCCATCGCATTTGAGATGACCTCATAGTAATCTGGTAGATCGTTCTTCTTGGGGAGCCGTTGGAAGCCTGCAGCAAGCAATTCGTCGCTGCAAGAGAAAGTGTTAGCGAGAGAAAATGCGCACCCTCATAGTGTGCATTGTGGGATATCTGCCTCCAAGGGAACTTACTCTTCCTCGTATTCGCAGAGATACCTGGATGTGTTGTCGATGAGCTGTAGGAGTCGCTTATGCGGAGTGTCGGGCCCCCTCCGTCGCCCCGGTCGCACTACCGAGGTCTCTGCGACATCTTCTTCAGCCTCGCCCTCGGCATCAGCCTCACCGTCGCCGTCTGCACCTGTGCCTGCGTCCGCATCCACATCATGGTCAGCCTCAGCGTCAGCATCTGCATCTGCATCTGCATCTGCATCAGCATCTACATCCGCATCAGCGTCCGCATCCGCATCCGCATCTACGTCCATGATACCTGGTCTGGTCTCGGCGCCTGCATTGTTGTTCCCTACGCCACCTGCGCCGTTTGGTGCGTCTGCCATGTCGGCATCACTATCACCCTTAGCTTCGATCGAATCGTGAACCATGATCTCGTCGCCGGAACGCGGTGCCATTGTCACTGGCAATACAGAATCGTCGGTTGGAATTGTGTTTTTTCTTCTTCTTCTCCTTCGTCTGATGCCGTCGATTAGATGGACCCACGTTCTTTGTTATCGATATTGGTTGTGAGCCGCAATATTTTATTTCGCTTTGGCTATTTCCCCCCCAGCACTCGTCCTGGTGTGTTTCTTGCGGTATGGAGACTGGATTTGTCTTTCGCGGGTCCCCCTGTGCTGCTAGGGTCGGCGGCGTAAGAGAGTTATAGAGGGAAATCTGCAAGAATTTTTGAACTTCTGCTGATCCTTGAAACGCGCGATTGGCACAGTCTGTCGTGGGTGGTGGTGTTGAGGCCAAGGCCTGCTTGTAGCTGTCGCGGCGCACAGCTCCGTCCGGCGCGGGTCTGGTCGCAAGTTGCAGCGCACGATCGCCAATCCCTGTAGATAATCGATCCAAAACCTAGAAGCAAGACGACACCACGTAGTCTCGGAATCTGGACGTTCTACTCGGTTGCTTGTGCAGCGATGATGGGTAGCTGCTGGGGCGGGCTTTCACGCGTCAGGTCTCGAGGCGGCAGGTTGCACGCGCCAAGCTTGTTTTTGACCCTCGAAATCGTATGGTAGATATTGAATCTGGGCTCGTCACCTCTGGAGGCAGAAAACAAATTATCCTGTAATATGCACAGGAGATTCTTCTCGACAGGGGAAAAAAAAAATGGCCACCTAGAGCTGTGCAAGCAACAGTCGCATCCTGTGATGTGATCGTTTCTCCGTCGTCGAAGGGTGGCTTGTGCCTCGTCTGCCGAAAGTACGCGCTCGTCGAGAGAAGAGGGCCCACTGGTGGCTAGCTTAGTAGGGGAGCTAACCCCCCGTCTTCTCTCTCTGTGTACAGAGCTCTAGAGCGTGGGCGCTTCAACTGCAGTGACTCCGCTCCACTAAGGCGAAAGCCCCCCGCAGGCCCTGGCCCGCTGATCCGCTGTACCGCGGTAGGTTAGTGGGTTGTGTTGGCGTCTATTGCGAGGTGCTGTTTACAGGCTGACAAAGGCAAGTGGGGGGAACCTTGTCCGTAGGTACAACCAGTGCCAGACCCGCCAGAGTACCACGTAATAGTTCTACATAGTACTTAGACTGTAACATAGCAGAGACGGAGGCTGCCACACGCTAGAGCCGAACGCAGCTAGCAAAGGTTGACTAGGGCCCTTTAGGACCCTATGACCTGGGTCCTGCATTTGCTGTGGTGGTAAAATGAGGCAAGAGAGATACCAACATCCGAATTCCGATATCGAACGTCCAGAGGGGAATTAATTCATTCGTGGTTCAATTAGATGATCCGCCACTCTCGACACTCAAAGTGACTGCACACCAGACCCCCAAATCACCAACGGAAAAGATTTGTTTACAGAAAACCATCAATTTCTCAAGTCGCTTTTCAAAAACAGGGCTTTGATCCTGACCAACCTGCCGAGATTTCTCATTGCTTGGAAGCTTCGAGAAGAATAAAAACGGATTAAGTAACCCGGATCAGATCGACCCGGAAAATTGGAGCTGTGATTCAATCCGGAACTTCTTGGCTTGAAGCACTGATCTGGGAGAGTGTTACCTATGTTGGGAAGTATTTTTGCGGGCTGCTCGTACTCCGCATTCTTCACATGCACCGAGGATATCAGTCTCTCAAACAGGACGGGTAGTGACCGCACTCGACACACATACGCATACTGAGGTACAGAGTGCGAGCCTGAGAAAGGACTACTTAGACATACGATCTCTGGGACGAAGGAGGCACAGCATCATCGCACACAATCCAGTCCGTCTCACCAGACATCCGCAGGCAATGACAGATATCCGCTTCCGAGTGCGCGGGCCCGGCTGGGTGGAGACGGTGACCGCAACACCAGACTGGACCCTTCAGAAGCTGCTGGATCACCTGAAGGAGAAACAGAGTGCTGAGCCGTCAGCGCTCAAATATGGCTGGCCTCTCAAGACCATCGATCTCAGCGACCGTAACGCATCAATAGAACCGCTGAACCTCAAGGGAGAGGCCGTCACTTTCGTGCCCAAGGAGTCTCAGGAAGAGCCCGCCGCACCTCAGATCCCGGCTGCCACCACTACCAAGCCGGCTTTTCAACCTAAGAAGGTCGAGCCAGACAAGACAGTGATAGAGTGGCCTGAAAAGGACGGTTACATGGGTACGTTGTCTCCTGTGCACTTACTGGCCCACTGATGAGTTTGGTTGTTCTGTGTGTGAGCCAGAAAGCTGACATTCGTCATATAGCGCTACGTGTCATGCCAGATGACAACTCCTGCATGTTCACGGCTTTTGGCGGCGTGCTACAGCGGCCAGACCCGGCTCCTACACTGCGGCGAGAGGTTGCTGCATACATTCTTGCCCACCCAGACAAATTCAACGAGGTCGTCCTGGAGATGGACCCACGGAGGTACGCAGGGCTTATCCAGGAGATGGACCGCTGGGGTGGTGCCATCGAGCTGTCCATTCTGTCCGATATCTATGACATGGAGATCTGTTCCGTGGATGTGAAGGTACTTTGCCCCCCCCCCCCCTCCCGGCCCGGGTGGCCCTCCTTACCATAAACCCCATCCCTCCCAACTAGCTGACATTATATGTCCCACAGACACAGCGTGTAGACCGCTACGGCGAGCACAAGTCCACACGCTGTCTTTTGCTTTACTCTGGCGTCCACTACGACCGCATCGCCTTCACCATGGACCTCAGCCTGCCCATAGATTTTGACGAGGTCAAGTGGGACACAGAAAACGATGCGGTCCTCTTCATGGCGCAGAAGCTGGCGAAACAGCTCAAGGAGCAGCACTACTTCACAGATACCACCGACTTTGTGCTGCGGTGCGATGTGCCGGGCTGTGGGTGGATTGGCGCCGGAACCGCAGAGGCGACAAAGCACATGAAGGAGACGGGACACTCGGCCTTGAGTGAAATGGAGATTACTTGAGCTCGATGTTGCTTTTTCTTGGGTTTTCAAGTTCTGTGGGTGTGTGGTGTCAACTTACTGTTAGCGAGACGTGGATGGTCTTGATGTGTGGATTGCCTGTTTCAAGTTCTTGCAACTCATCTGACGCATAGAAGTTTTAGAAGTTCCGCAAGATACCAATACAATTCAGTCTTCTTTTCTTGGCCACTTTTATCGACTTGCAACCCGCTCAAGCTGGATCATGTGTTATGACTTTGAACGGTATATCCCTTGGGCTGGGTAAGGGGAAATCATAGCAAGATTCGCTGAATAGTAGAGCTGAATAGTAGAATATCCTATATTCTTGACGATGGTTGGACAGTATTCATCTGCAGTTTGGATGCCGAATATCCTCCACAACCACTATACCTATCAGTATAAATAGTGATTCACTCTCCAGTCGCAGTACAACCCCTTCCCTCCCTGGTTCCTTGATATCAGGCAGTCCAATCCCTCACGACTTGTAAGTCAGCCCACCCCCAAAGCTATGCTCACTGTTCTTACCACCTGCCGTGACTTTACCCTCCGTAGCATCCCCCACGAACGCACACCGTCCCATGTCCAGCTTCTGGGCAGGGCCCTTGCCAGGCGAGATGTCAAAGTCGAAGATATCGATTGGCAGGCCGAGCGTGGTGCAGGCGTTGGGAATGTCCACGATGCCCGCGACGTGGCCTTGGACGGGGGCGCAGGACAGCAGGAGATAGATCTGGTAGTCGCTGTAGCCGAAGCGACGAAGATACTCGATGACGCCTAGTGAGTGAGAGAAAGAAAGAAGAGTAAGTACTTGGTCAAGCTCACATCTTGGAAAAGTGGGAGATAGAGAGAGAGAGAGAGAGAGAGAGAGAGAGAGAGAGAGAGAGAGAGAGAGAGAGAGAGAGAGAGAGAGAGAGAGAGAGAGAGAGAGAGAGAGAGGGCGACATACGCAAGGTCGTCTGCCGGTAAGCAACAGCAACATCCATATAATGCTGCTTCCCATGCTCATCCACACTGAACCCTTCAAAGTAAATATACCGCCCCGGCCCAAACTGCGGCTCCACAGGCCCAGGGACATAGATGGGCGACTTCATGCCCAGATCCGCCATGCCCCCCTTGAGCACCTTGAAGTTGATCGTGATGATGCCCGCCATCTCGATCGCCCCACAGAACGAGATCTCGCCGTCCCCCTGCGAGAAGTGCAGATCCCCCACCGAGAACTTGGCCCCGTCCACGTGCACAGGGAGGTACACTTTGCTCCCGCGCGACAGGTTCTTGATGTCGCAGTTGCCGCCGTGCTCCGGCCGTCCGGGGACCGTCCGCGCCCCCTCGCGCCCGACCTTCTCGGCCAGCGCGGCGTCCGAGGCGCCGGCGTGCGCGGACCGTGGCTGCGGCGGGAGCGCCACGTCCCGGCCCTCCAGCTTGGAGGCGGCGATCAGCTCGCCCTCGCGCCGGTTCCACTCGGCCAGCACCTTGGCGGACGGCGCGCAGCCTAGGATGCCCGGGTGGATGAGGCCTGCGAATTTGACGTGTGGGATGTGGCGTGAGGTGCAGTAGATGCCCTCAAAGTCCCAGATCGCTTTGGCGCTGTGGGAGAAAGGAGACAAGAAAATGTCAGTATAGATAGAAAGAGAAAGAGAACGGGGATCAATGCACTCACGCAGAAGGGTAGAGCTCATCAAGGAAGCCACCCCCATTCTCCTTGGCGAAAACACCAGTGAACCCCCAAGGCTGGTCCTGGAACGGCTGGACGTCCATAATCTCCACCAGCAGCACGTCGCCTGGCTGTGCGCCCTCCACGTTGAAGGGCCCGCTGAGGTAGTGGACCTGGGTAAGGTCGACATTGTTCACGTCATCAGCAGAGTCATTGTTCTTGATCTGGCCACCGGTCCTATGCGCGCCGGCACACACACACACAGAGGGGTCAAGTCAGTATAGATGGCGACAGGCCTAAGGGAGAACAAGAGAGTGAGAGAGGGAAGGGAGGAGACACGGCTCCGCATACCAGTCAACACACTCGATCTTCACGGTTTCGCCATCTTTGATATCTCCGGCAGAGGGAACTGAAGACATCAAGTCAGCTGAGATCCAGCCTTGTGGAATTCGTTTGAGACCACATACTATCCGGGTGCCATCTGTTCTGGTATGAGGTCAGTCTAAGCTTCGAGCGTGCGAGCTCAAGCCGGGCTGATAGAAGAGCTGACTTACATGAAGGTATGGCTGGTCCTTGGCCGGCTTGTCGAAGCTGACCTTGCAAACGGTTCGGATTTCACCAGGCATTTTCACACGAGTAATTCTAATGATTTACACGGTTTGGTTCGAATGCGTCCAATCTTTGTTTTATTTGGGCAGAGTGGTGCCACAGTGCTGAGACCTTGTGAGATCTTACGCAGATAGACCTCAAGAAATATATCCCACCTCGAGAAGCTACCCCGCATATGCACTCCGACAAGACCACAACTCTATCGACGACGTAATGGCCCCCCCTTCCCCCCTTCTCTGGGGCTCATTAACAGCCCGTTATCACGGCAATTATGTAGTCTGGATACGCTGAGAGGGTGCAGGCGATTTGGTGCCTGGATGTGTGTTCTTATCTCGAACCCAATTACCCAATCCCGACCTTGGCCGCACATTGCCGCCGGGGCATCCCAACATCTCCACATTTTTTGCAGATAAGGTGCATCTGGGGACAAACGATCGGAACTCGGTAAGGGAAGCCAATGCGACATAAGTACTTATAAGATTTCCAGCGAGTTGATAGCTCAGACCTTGCATATCATTGGTGGCCAGGCACAGACGGCCTGGAAGATTTCGCGTGACTGCAGACAAGCATCGCAGGCCGGTGTTGTTGAGTGACTAAGACTCACTGGGCCGGGCCTCAAGGTGAGGGTCCACTTCGGAGTAGGCTGGAGGCTTGTCGTGAATCTTGTCAAGATTTCCCAGAGACAAGCTCAGGAACTTCTGCTTGTTTCTCCATTCTTGCTGACTAGCCGCAAAGTCATCGCTGTTTGAAGGAGGTGGGGGAGGGTCGGTGACCTTGGTAATGAGGAATGCCGCCGAAGCTTCAGCGATGCCATATATCAGGACGCCCAGCAAAGGCACTCGGAGGAGGATATAGAATCCAATGCCAAACCCGAACAACAGACCCTCTCGGCTGCGGAACCACTTGCGCTTCTGATCACTCGTGAAGCGGACTCGGGCGAAATAAGGCTCGAGAAGCTCACGCACGAGCCTACGAGACGAAAAGTAGGCTTGCAAGAAGATGACAATGTACCGCCTTGGGAGGAACATTCCAGTGCCAAAGATGACGGATGCCGGGCCGAGGCCCACTGCTTGGTTGAACGTGTAGAAACTTGCAGCGGGCAGGACAAACCGACCAACCACGGGCAGGTACGACATTGCGTAGACGGCAAGGGAGAGGACGGCCTTCCGACCAGATCTCCAAAAGAACATAGAGACGGCCTCCGCCGTGCTCGTCGTGTGGGTGCTGCCGTCGCGGGTCGAGTATAGACGCAGATTCGGGTAGTACATATCTCTCAGGTCCTTTGGGTCATCGCCCTTGTGTTTCTGGATGTATGTCATGTCCACCCATCTCAGAGACTCCATGAACCTGCTCGAGGTCAGCTAGTGGCACGCACACAAAACGTGGCCCTGCATATGAGCACAGGATCATACATACAGATTGTCCAAAGTTGGTGTGATGTAGCGCATCAACGTCATCAAGAAGAGTGGCACCTGAAGCACATGGTCGGCCACGAAGTTCAGGCCATCCACCACCTTGTCGTCCCAGGTCACAGAGTCGAGGTTGAAGATGAGAGACAGGAACCAGAGGAAGACCCTGACGCCGATGATCTAGGATGGTGCATGTGAGAATGTGACCAAGTACAAGAAACAGCTGCGCCCACAAGAGCTATTACTCACTGGAATAGAGATGCCCAGACGAATGGCAATACCAGCTGCCACCGCGATAGCCGCTTGTCTATAGTGATCGGAGGTGAACAAGGCCGGGTTCTGAAGCGCTCGGTTGGCTGGAAACGTGTCAGTGTCAAACGGCCCAAGACGATGATGGAAACTCGTCAGTCTTACCTCCCACAAGCGTCAGCTCAATGCCTCGCAGTATAGCGTTGATATCAAAATGCGAGAAGTCGAACGCCTTTTTAAGCTTCTCCTTGTCAATCTCGACCGGTAGCAGGTCAGGCTTCGACTGCGGCCGCCTCTCCCGAGCCGCCATCTTCTTCCTCGTTGTCAGGCTGGCACTGTGTAAATACACGTGAAGGTCACTTCCTCGATCCAAACCACCTTGAAATTTCAAAATGCTGAAAGGGGGTAAGAAGAGGTGGAATACGCGTGTGGCTGGCGAACCAGCTTGTCAGCGTTGCTTGCTGTGAGTTGGCTGTACGACGAGGCAGGCGTTGCTTGGGTAAGCGGTAGGGCCCGCAGGTTTCCCACTCTCAAAAATGATGTCACTTTGTGTCCGTAATGGTACCTGGCACTACTACTGCGGCCATAGTGGGTTACTAGTAGGCAGCACGGCCGCCAAGGTACCCTGTCCCTGTGCACGCGTAGTTACTGTGTTCTGTAGATTGTACTGAGGTAGATTCGAGGATCCCTAGCTGCAAAAACGATAGTAACTGTACTATTGAACCGCAGACCCCAGCAGGGGAACGGCTAACACTGGGCATGTACCATACCAATGACCCCTCTAGGGCTCTTGCATAGAATTTAGCAGAGAAGATGTTCATGACAACAAATCAACAAGATGACTGCTGATCATGAGATGCCAGGGCGTATCGCTCTGGAATGATACGATTGTGATTTCCTCAGTGGGTTCAGCAGACACTTTCAGTGGCCAATACGCGGCTACTACCATCAGGTAGAGGCGGTTCATTCCAATCCCTGTCACTGCAGGGGAGAGCTTTCTTTTAGGGGATGACCGCCAGCCGGCGCCTGTGATTGGGGAAAAAAAGACCCCAAGCCTCGTCCTCATCCTCTCACTCCAACCCTACAAAGATCCTCCTGCTATCAGCCCTGTCAGCATCTGGACGTCCTTTGTCCACAGAGGATAAAGACTGTCCTTGCTAAAGTGATACCCAATCACCTGGATCCTGTGACTGACCTGGGTCTGTGCTGTACAGTTCAGAGCAGCTGCATTTCCACACGACCGCCGAGTGTATTCAGCAGTCATTCGATTCGTGTCTCAGGACAACCTCAATGGACTGATTCTCCTACAATCTGCGACCCAGATCCACGACTCTCCTCTCAGCTCCCCTTTCCAACACATGGCAACTTGCCTCGACGGTCCAATTCAATTTGTCGACTGTTTATTCAACCCTCCCGACTATTGTCAACATGATTTCTTAAAGCATCTCTCTTGCCATCCATCCACATGATAGAACCAAGTCTCCCTTGACACGTTCAAATCCTCCCTTCCCCAAGATGGATCACTTTCGCCCGCCCAGTACAACTGTGCCTTTCCCAGCACCTCGACGACATAGCACAGTCCCTACCTCTTTTCAACCCGGACCTTCTCGAGCAAGTGCAGAACCAACCACCAAGAACTCTGTGGAGACTCTGTACAATCACCCCTCGGTCAGAATTGTGGCATTCACAGCAGGGAAGTCAGCTTTCGAGCAGACAAGGCCCGGCTCAGATGACAAGCCAGGAACTCTTCCTTCCTCCTCTCAATTCGAAAGATCGATAGCCTTTGGTATGTACCAGAAATAGTCGTGTTGCAGAGAGGACTCTGCTAACTCTCGAGCGTCAGGCGCTTTCCAAATCTACCGAGCCCCGGGCTCTGTCGCCTTCCTCCGTTCCGGTTCAGCCTTACAACCCATTCTACCAAAGAGTCAAGCCTGGTGCCTAGACGAACAATCGAGCAAATTTGTCCTACAGATCCGGAGGCCGAACTACTGGAGGATTGAGGTCCCTGTCGGCAATGATGAGGAGATAAGGAGGGCCCTTTTGCTGCGCGAGGTGCTGGACAAAATCCTACAATTCGAGAAAACGCCCTGTCCGTTCGAGCGGAATTTTATTGTTGAGCTTCCTGAAATACCGAAGACTCCGATGAAGAAGCGCACGTGGACCCCTCCTACACGAACAGTCTCCATGAACTGGCCCCCTGGTCAGCCTATCACACCCCCTCCCGAGTTCCCTTCGCGCACGAGGTTCTATAATCCTGGGGCGCGCCGGGCCTCGGATCATGGCATCGACACGTCCAGATCTCGCTTCAGCCCCGCCGCATCACCGCAGCGGACTACACAACTAGTCGAGAAGGATGCAGACAAGATTGAGGCGACTTCAAGAAAGATCAGTTTGGGACAGTCTGAAATTATATGCAAGCCTCTCCCTGAGGAGCCGGAACTATTATCTCCTCCCCTCACTGCTGTGCAACTGAACACAGCGCAAAAAGCAAAGGAACCAACTTCTCCAAGCTTTGAGGCGTCCACTTTGAGCACAGTGGACAGACCAACAGAGCTGACAAGGGCGTCAACAACCCCAGAGGCCCAGATAGTGGAGGCATCGGTGCGACAACGTGAGCCAATCTGGATCACGAAGAAAGTTCCGTCATCTGCCAACCGAAAAGCAAAGAGGGCAGCGATAGCACAAACACAAACACAGGCTGCAGACCCAGTAGTACCGTCTGCTCAACAGCCTGGAAACCCTCTTGTGACCTCTGCTGAGAAGGGTCCGGACAGGATGCCTCCACAAAAGCCAGAGGTCAAGCAGGCCAGCCTGCAGTCTGCGCAGTGCAACGCGCAGAAAGAAAAAAGCGATGATGAGCTGGAGGCTGTGGGAGGCGCATTGGAAGGATCAGGGCAGCTGCGGGTGAGACGGACGAGGGTAGCAGCCTTTGCGTCGCGTCGCGCAGCTACCGCACCACCTTTGAGACTTCGGACATCGTCTACATCATCTTCACATAGCGTTCGGGACCATGTACCAACGCCAGAACGCGAAGAGCCAGCTGAACCCGGTTCACCCGCTGAGTCTTTGGATAGCTTCCACAGCGTGCAATCGTGGCACTCACCGCTGTCTCCGCCCTCTCCCTCCCCGCTATTCTCGCCAGCCAACACATACCCATACCCTCATGACAATATCCCATTAGCACCGCTGAGAACTGGACAAATGTCGGGATTTCTGTCGACGCCTACGGTCTCTGGATGGGACAGGAACTCGATCGGAGCCGTGGCCGGTAGTGGAGCGCAAACTCCGGATACTCCGTTCTCGGACGCACATCTTGAGACAACGGCCTCGGCAGCAATGGTAAAGACTGAGCCTCAAATACCGGGAGGACAATCTGAGGATGCGACGTATGCAATGCCTATCGCAACCAAGCAGCTGGCAGAGGACTTGGTCACTTCCACCGACAGCGATTGCATCTCAACATCCTGGTCTTCCGCGGCCTCTCACACCTCATATCATTCCAATAGTCCGATGCGCCACCGCGCAGCAACGACTTCTGTCGCCATCTCGCATAGAAGCCCTCGTGCCCTCTCGCCTTTACCACCAGCAGCAAACCTGTTGACCACCGATCTCACCAGCCGCACAACGTCCGCAGCCCGGGCGATCCGCCGAATCCCCAGTTCCATCTTCAACAAGACATGCGAGATCTTAATTTCGCCCCCAGCGCATCTTATCAGCGTCATGCTAAAGGTCGCCGAGCGCATCACAGCTGGTGAATGGCAGGGTTTCGTGTTCGGTATGGACGAGTCGGGGGAGGTTTTAGACGTGAGATGGGATTATGGTGATCTTGACCGCTCGGTGCCAGGAGGTTGGGATGGCCTAGACTTGGACTCTAGTGGTAGACGCAACAGCTCCGTCGTCCATCACCGGACTCCAGATCCAAAGGCCCGGGCCAGCTTCGCAGCTGCAGACCTGTCCAGGCCGAATATAACTGGGAAAAGGACCACCGAGTATCAGGACCCTTGGGCAACGCCGCCGGAAGAGCCAGATTTGGACGAGGGAGGAAATTGGAACCTTAACTGGGGCGTTGATTAGTGGCGACGGCTCACGAGCAGTGCATCTAAGGGCAAGGACCCGACGAGCTGTAATTTGAGGGACGATATGAGTATGGCGAATAATCCTGATTGCTCCACCGGGCACAGGTGGGGTCGAAGGAACAGTGATACCCTGGAGAGCAGCCCAAGGGGCGTATTTTCGTACTCGTTGTCGATGAGGCTGGATGCGGATGGGATGGCCTATGCCGGAGATCCAGCCATGTTTCTGGTCTGATGGATGTCGATGCTGCTACGATGACAACGTGGCGTGGAGCTGGTCGCCAGATATTGTAACCATCATAGCTAGCTCGCTACTGAAATGAGATGATCGAGACATTCATGAGAGCAACACACTCTGCCCGCCCCCACCCCCACCTTCACCTTTCTCTTCATAAGAGCATTGGTGGCGTCTTGTCTGTGGAAGTACAGGCGTACCAGGTGCCTGCATGCATGCAAGTCTACCAATGCTTGGCGGCGGTATTTCACAACCACACGAGGACAAAATGATGAAACATGCACTTGACTGTTTCTGTGACTGCGCTCGAGGCTGCATCACGCAAAAATGTTGGATGAACAGGCCTAAATGTGGTGAGAGTGTTTTCACAAGGCGACGAGGTGAAGAGATCTCGTGCTGGCTACAGAGCATATGACTTCTCTAGATGACTAGGACAGGGAGACCCGAGGAAATAGACATGGATTCATTGCGCATACCTGTGTGCTGGCCAACGCGGGAGGTGTTGGAGGCAATGTAGGCAAAGGGGAAAACCCTGTTGCATAGACACCCACTTCAGTTTATATATGAGAGAAGGCGGAAAGGAAGAAGAAAAAAATAAGAAGGAAAAAAGGCACGCCCCTTCTCTTCATCTACTCCGCGACTGTAAACGATGCTACTACTGCTAATGTTGCGCAAAAGAGATGAAAGATGCTAATGCCGCCTGAACGCCATAAGTTTGCCAAGGGAGAGGTAACCTCAACGAGCAAAAGGAGTGTGGAGAATAGAACCTGGACATCCTCGACGCCTTCCCAACCTAAATCAAGTCCACGCAAACTAGCCCCTCCCTACATATACTACTGCCCTCTCTGTGAATGTTACCGTCTCCTTCCCTTCTCTTGCAGCCTCAATCAGGTTTTGCTGCCTCGAGCTTCGAGCTCATCATCTCCTAACATCGAGACTTCCCCTCACACTGCCCCCGTCCAGACTTGGTCGAATCGAGCTGCTGGAGCTCCTGCGTCTCCGTGCCCTCTGCTCTCCTGGATCCGCGGGGTTCAGACCGGATGACCGTGCGAACAGGTTCAGAATGTCAGTGAGCGATATCACGCCGGTTAACCTGCCTGATAGATGTGCTCCCGGCAATGCGGCGGCTGGAACCGACGAGGAAGGCGAGAAGAGAGGTGTTGACAGTGGGAGGGGCGAGGGCGGTGCGGAAGACTGGTTTGGACCGGTCGTGATCACGGTTGCAGAGAAGGAAGGCGAGGAGCTTGCGATGTTACCGCTGCTGCTGCTGCTGCTGTTACCGGCTGCATTCACACTCGTGGCACCGGCCGTTGAGCTCGTCATCGCCGCCGCATTTCCACCACCGCTGGCCATGCTTGTCGTCGTGCCCACAGGCCCCAGAAGTGGCGTTGCAGGTGCGCTCGGGCTCGGAGAGGCGTTCTCGACTACCCACATCCTGTGTGATTTAGTTGCGACCAGCTTCGCGACGGTGTGGGCGAGGGTCGAATATGGATTGACGTAGAAGACGGGCACCGAGTCGCGTCCTTTTTCCATACCCCGTTCCGACAGGATCACCGTAATGAAGTGCATGCAGGTCTGCTGGAGGAGGGGCATGGATGCTGCAGAGGTGAGGAGGCGGATATCGGCAGTGGAAATGTTGCCTACCACGTTGCTGCCGTTGTCGATTACTGCTACCGAGGTGAGGCCTTCATTGGACATAAGGACGAGGGCTTCTGCGAGTGGTGCATCGGCGTTGATGGCGACGATCTGCTGCGATCCGATGCGCAGGTCCCTCAGCAGCGCGGGATACAGTCTGTCAATGACCTGGAAGTTGACGCCTTCATTCCAGAAGAACTCGACTACCTTGAGCTGGCTCAACACACCCACCGTCTCTCCGTCCTGTGTCGTGACCAAAATCCGGTGTATGCCGCTCCCAAACACCTCTATCGCTCCAGGCAAGAAGTCGTCCGGTGACAACGACACCAGCTGCTCTTGCCGGCACAGTGGCTGTATCTCCCGGAGAGGGATGGCCTCCCTCTCCGAGGCCCGCCTGGCGATCCCTTCGTACAGCTGTACATGTTCCTCCTCGGGCTTCGCCAGGCCAACCACCACCAGCAGGTATGCGTTCAAGTCCTTGTAGTCGAATGTCGCCACAGGCCTCTTGACGGGGCCATCTTTGACTAGTACACAGTTACCGGCGACGTTGCCCTTCACCAGAATCATCGTAGCCTCTTCGACGCTGCTCTCCAAATCGACCCAGCGCATTTCATCTGTGTTGAGGCTGACTAGCTCGCCCAGCCGGACGTCGCGCCAGTCGCGGCCCGCAAAGCGAGGGTTGGGCTGGCGCGCGGACGGCGGGTGCGCCATGAGCTCCTGTACGGCGGCCTGCGTGAAGCTGGGATGACGCGTGGCCCGCGGCGAGCCTGGGGTGTGGGGATTGCGCAGGTTCTCAGCAAAGCTGGAGCGGTGGGAGTGGAGAGAAGACTTGTGCAGGGAGGAGCCTGAAGGAGAACGCTGGGGCAGGCCTGGGTGCTGGTTGGGCGAGGTTGAGTAGGCGCCGATGGCGGGATGCGCAAGCTTGTCAAGGCTCGTACTAGAGGAAAAGGGAGAGGAGTAGGGCTGCTGCTGTTTGCCTGGCTGCTGCTGTTGTTCTTGTTGTTGGTCCATCTCGACGAGGAGGCAGCCCCCACGAAGGGTTGCTCGAGCTGGGCTGAAGGTGGGCGGACGGTCCAAAGGTATAGACACTGGAGGAGAGAGCTGAGAGGGGATGGAGGTTGCCGTCGAGGAATCGCGTGACAAGTCGTTACAGTGGGCAGATGCGATGTGATGCTTGTGTTACTCGAAAATCTGGAGGCCAAGGTCGTTAAGGTTAGGCTCCGAAAAGAAGCAATGAGAGAGACAACCCCTAGTAGAGAAACAAGCAGCCCGGGGGCACGGGCCAGAAGATGCGAGCTCTGGAGTGCAGGTGAGGTGCCAGGTGGGGTGGGGGTGGAGTGACGAGGGTGGAAGCTCCCGTTTACGGCGGGGAACAAGTGACGGGATCCAAAGGTGGAGGGGGTTTTGAGGGGCAAAGATAATGCGCATTTTTGCCCTGCTGCTCCCCCCTTGACACTTGCCCTCAGTGACTCGTCATCCACCCACCAGCCTATTGAGCGGCAGCTATAAAGAGGACGCGCAACTCCCCAAATCGGATGGAAAAAATGAGAATGATGAAATAAGAATAAGAATATCAGTTTGCTTATAGCCACACCCAGTGCTATAGTACCCACACTTAGAAGGTTGTGATGAAATGTCAGAAGGTCCGCCCTGGATTCTCAGATAAACCCAACCCTCCTCATGCCACTGCCTCTATTCCGTTCCCTTTTCATCCTTGTGCCTACAACAACCTATGTTCTTTGCCTGATTTTGCCCTACAGGACTGCTTGACATGCCTCGAGTCTCCTAGATTACACGAGGCATGCGGCATGCCAAGGGCCTCCAGTCATGTGTACAGTGCAGTTGCAACCCGAGATGCTTGGGAGGGCCGTCAACGCTGCTATGCCTACTGTACCACTACTTCTCCTTACCTCTGCCCAAGTGACAGCCACCAGAGCCACCCAGGTGCAGTCTCTGTATACAGAGAGGCCATTCTCATCTTCATTATGTGGTTGAAGTTGGGCATGCGGTTGTTGGCTGCGTGGAAATGATGGCTGGCTGTCAAAACAGCACAAATATTATGTATGTACTTGATAGTCAATTGGTCCATCAACCTAAGAATCAGGAATGCAATAATGCAAGTTGCATTTTCTGTATGCGCCTCACATGAGCAACAGATGGCCCTGCAGAAGTCTAGCGTTTTTGAGACTCTCATCTCCAATCACTCCAGTGACATCGAACAATTTGCAGACAGTCCAGGGGTGCAGATTTTCGTGCCAACGCCCCACCACTCTGCAGAATGAGGTAAGTTACCTTGAGGTACATCATGGAAGATACACAGGGTCATGTGCAGGTCCAGACTCATGTCAAGAACACATGTTCCTGAGCTGAGAAAGGGTGGTAGACCAAGCAGGCCGATTTGTAGGCCAATCAAGGAGAGGCTGGGGCCATGTTAGGAAATGGGAAATTGTGAAAGACAAATATAGAGGAAGATGGTACAACTTACGAGCACCAGTAGTCACAGTCAGCATCTTAAGAATTCAAGAACCAGGATTGAATGGATGGTCAATGAATGCAGTGACAAAGTGACATTACCACCATAGTACTGAACAGTACAAAGTGGTGACAGTTGGGCGGCGATGCAAGGGTTACCTGGGCCCCACTTGGCCCCAACCCTGCTTTGCCTTATTGCCCTGTGTAGTAAGCAGGGCACTGGCCTGCCACTAGCATCCTTGGACCTCCCCTCACTACTAAGAAGAGGCCCCGCGACTGGCAACTTTTGGCCATGGTCTATTTTTTTCCCTCTTTTTTTCTTTCTTGATTGTAACTCTATAATGTCGCTGACATCCATGACCGCGGCCTGATCCTCTTCTTGAGCGTGTCAAACTCTTCTGTTCTCCTTTGTTACTGAATCCCCATTTTCTCTCTCGTCCGGTGTGTTTCTTTACCCTGATCTGATTCTTCCAACGAGCTGTTCTCAGGCGTTGCGCATCAACGCGGCACCCCTCCCCTCCCACCTTTCTTTGCGCGGGGCTCTTTTTGCCTACACACCACATCCGTAACAAGCCACATAGCAGCACCCACCTGCTCTGCTCCTATCTCCACCAAGCAAAAACCAGCCCCCTCGTTCCCTTTTTCGACGCGTTGTGCGCCGCGGCGCTGGTCACTCACCAGGCGCCTGCTGCGAACCCCTCCCTCCTCGACTGTTGTGCGACCGAAACGCTCCCCCCCCCCCTCTCCCCCCATCTTCGCCGATATACATTTCCGAACAAGATGTCGATGCTTCCTCCAGAGACCACTGCTGAGCTGGGTCAGCTCATTCAGGGTCTCCAGTCTCCCAACAATGATATCCGCACCCAGGCGGAGGAGGCTCTGGCCAACAACTGGACGAACACGCGCCCTGAGGTGCTGCTGATGGGACTGGCCGAACACATCGCGGGGTCCCAGGAGGTCCAGGTCCGGTCCTTCGCCGCCGTCATCTTCCGTAGGATAGCATCCAAGACCAGAAAGAACGAGCAGGGCCAGCCCGTGGAGATGTTTGTCTCCCTCGCCAAGGAGCACGCCATTGTGATAAGACAAAAGCTGCTCGAGTGCCTGGTCAACGAGGCGGACAAATCGGTTAGGAACAAGATCAGCGATGCCGTCGCTGAGGTAGCAAGACAATACTCAGACATTGGTACGCCTCCTGCCTCCTGTGCCTTCTTTCTTGGCTGGTCGGAGAAACATTGTAACCTGACTACACCCTGCTGACCTGCTACTGCTGCTAGACGAACCGTGGCCTGAGCTGCTTACCGTGCTCTTCCAGCTTAGCATCGCTGACGATTCCGGCAAGCGCGAGTCCGCGTTCCGAGTCTTCAACACAACCCCCGGCATTATTGAGAAGCAGCATGAAGAAGCTGTTGCACAAGCCTTCACCAAGGGCTTCAAGGACCCTGAGGTCGGCGTACGTCAACAAAACCCACACAATTGACCGATGGTCTGAGGGGAAGGACTAACATCATTTTGCAGGTCCGTCTGGCAGCTATGGAGGCTTTCGCCTCTTTCTTCAGAAGCCTCAGCAAGAAGAGACAACAAAAATACTACGCGCTTCTGCCTGAGGTTCTCAACATCCTGATTCCTATCAAAGACAAGGGTGACTCGGAGGAGCTGAGCCAGGCCCTGGTCGCGTTGATCGATCTTGCCGAGTCATCACCCAAAATGTTCAAGCCCCTCTTTCCCAGCCTGGTCCAATTCAGCATCGCTGTCGTCCAGGATAAGGAGCTTAGCGATATATGCCGTCAGAATGCGCTGGAGCTCATGGCTACCTTTGCCGATTACGCGCCATCCATGTGCAAGAAGGACCCGACCTTTACCAACGATATGATCACCCAGTGTCTCAGCCTGATGACCGATCTCGGAGACGACGATGATGTTCAGGAATGGCTCGAGGCTGATGATGTATGCTTGCCTCCCTTTCATTCACCTTGTGCCGCTTGCTGTCGAGCAGTGCTAATTCTTTCGCTATAGCTTGACCAAGACGAGAGCGATCAGAACCACGTTGCTGGCGAACAGTGCATGGACCGGCTCGCCAACAAGCTTGGCGGCCTGACGATTCTGCAGCCTACCTTCAACTGGCTGCCCCGAATGATGCAGTCCCAGTCCTGGTCAGACAAGCATGCCGCCCTCATGGCTATATCGGCCATCTCTGAAGGCTGCCGGGAGCAGATGGTCGGCGAGTTGCAGCAGGTCCTAGATCTGGTTGTGCCGGCTCTGAGGGACCAGCACCCCCGTGTCCGGTGGGCAGGCTGTAATGCCTTGGGTCAGATGAGCACGGATTTCGCGCCTACGATGCAGAAGGAGTACTATGATGCCATTCTCAAGGCCATCATTCCGGTTCTAGACTCTCCGGAACCTCGAGTCAAGTCCCATGCCGCTGCCGCCCTTGTTAACTTCTGCGAGGAAGCTGAGAAGAATGTTCTTGAGCCGTATCTCGACGAGCTCCTTTCGTCACTGTACCGCCTGCTGCAATTCGATAAGCGATATGTACAGGAGCAGGCTCTCTCCACGATTGCCACGATCGCTGATGCCGCCGAAGCTGCATTCACCAAGTACTACGACTCGTTGATGCCGCTGCTTTTCAACGTCCTGCAGCTGCCAATCGAGAAGGACAACCGTCTCCTCAAAGCAAAGGCCATGGAGTGTGCCACTCTCATCGGTCTTGCTGTAGGAAAGGAACGACTGGGCGCAGACGCCATGAAGCTGGTCCAGCTTCTGGCCAACACCCAGACCAGCGTGACGGAGCCCGATGATCCTCAGGCACAATACCTCATGCACTGCTGGGGCCGCATGTGCCGTGTACTGGGTTCCGAGTTCCTTCCGTTCCTGCCGAATGTCATGCCACCGCTCCTGGAGCTCGCAAAGGCCAACGCCGATATCCAGCTCCTCGACGATGACGACCAGGTCGAGGCTCTTCAGAACGAGGAAGGATGGGAGCTTGTCCCCGTCAAGGGCAAAATGATTGGCATCAAGACAAGCACTATGGACGACAAGAACATGGCGATCGAGCTTCTCGTCGTGTATGCACAAGTTCTTGAGGGTAATTTCGCCCCTTACGTGGCCGAGGTTATGGAGAAGGTTGCCCTGCCTGGTCTCGCCTTCTTCTTCCACGACCCTGTCAGGTTCATGTCTGCCAAGCTCGTGCCCCAGCTGCTCAACTCATACAAGAAAGCCTATGGCAACCCGTCAATTGAGCTTGGTAGCCTCTGGAACGGCACAGCCGACAAGCTCCTAGAGGTTCTTTCGGCCGAACCGTCCATAGACACGCTGGCTGAGATGTACCAATGCTTCTACGAGTCCGTTGAGTGTCTAGGAAGGGACTGCCTCTCGGTTCAGCACATGGAGCATTTCATCGAGTCAGTCCAGTCCGCACTCGACGACTACAAGCTTCGTGTCGCCCAACGGTTGGAGGAGACTGCGGGCACAAACCCGGAGGATGCCGAAGACGAGGCGGAGGAGATTCTCATGGCAATTGAGGACGACCAAACACTCCTGGGAGATATGAACAAGGCGTTCCACTCCATCTTCAAGTACCATGGCTCGGCCTTCCTGCGGACCTGGGAGCGGTTGATTTCGACATACGAGAGCTTTTTGAACAACACTCAAGACCCTGCGCAGCGCCAATGGGGACTTTGTATAATGGACGATGTCCTCGAGTACTGCGGGCCGGAGTCGATTCACTACGCGAACTACATCATGACACCGCTTCTGGAGGGATGCCGTGATCAATCCCCTGCCATTCGACAGGCTGCCGCGTACGGTATTGGTGTCGCGGCTCAGAAGGGTGGACAGGCCTGGGCTCAGTTCCTCGGCGGCTCAGTCTCGGCGTTATTGCAGGCAACCCAGGTCCCCGATGCGCGCAGTGATGACAACGTGTACGCAACTGAGAATGCATGTGCTGCGCTCGCCAAGATCCTGCACTTCAACGCAAGTGCTGTGGCCAACCAGGACGAGGTCATCGGCCAGTGGGTCAACTCACTCCCTGTGACAAATGATGACGAAGCTGCGCCTTATGCTTATGCATACCTGGCCGAACTGATCACAAAGTAAGTTGCAATCTGTGTCCTCAGAACACACAGCGTGCGCTGTGTGCTTCACATGGATACATACGATAAACCTGCCTCTCTCTATACCTGTAAATCGTGCAACACACTAATAAACCCTTTCACTCACAGGCAACACCCTGCTGTCGGGCAACGGCCAGATCAGATCTTCGACCATGTGGCAAAGGCCCTCGAGGCTCAGACCCTGACAACACAAACCGCCCAGCGCGTTTGTACGGCGGTGAAGCTGCTCCTACAGGCTACAAATACCGATCCAACGCCTCTCCTTCAGCAGTACCCGGCTGATGCACAGCAAGTCATTATGAGCTACTTCAACTAGAGATCGGAGTCGCCATTTGCAAGCATCTGTCTACCACCCCCGAGGCTGAGAACGTTGCCATTGTCGCCACTAGCCCTTGATATTTCGAATTGGATGTTAGGTGATGCAACTCGGAAGGATTAACGGATAGAAGACTGCAGTACGACCTCTGGCGTCATGAGCACCCAGAGAGCACTGAGTTGAAAAAAGCACAACAACAGGTCCAGATGTTTTTACTTTTTAGTTGTTTCTCGTATAACGATGAATGAGCAGTTCAGCGACCAGTGTCGAGGTCTACCAGAAAGGCAGACAGGCGGTAGTTAGAGCCCTGCGAGATACCAATCCAACCATTATCTTATCAGCCTTTTTACCTTCTGATCACTCATGAACTGTCCCACCCATCAACCGTCTGACAACGTCTACAATTTCTTTCTCGGCTGGATTTATATTCAGCAGGTGAGCATAATAAAGGAAGATGAATGAGAAGAAGCACAACATGTCTTAGTCATGTGCTTCGAACCTCTCTCCAAGCATACACATCTCAGACGCACGCTTGTCTGGGAACATATTGACTGCATCTCCAAGTACGTCCGCAAGCAATCAGCTGGACAACATATGGCTCAATCATCGACGGTTCAAACTCCTACTCCCTCCCATCTACATCCACACACGATTTTTTGTCCCTGATGAAAAATATGCGTTACTGCGGCGGGACATCTGCCCGTCTTACAGCCCTACATGATCTTGGCAGTTGCCCAGCCGGAGGGAGAGGTTCAGCCGTAAACTAGACGCTCACCCCCGGGAGCCTGCTTCATCGCATCGCAACTTTTGTAGCGAGTTCCCACGGCCGTCGATGGCAGCCTAATGACAAAAGAGAAGAGAGTCTGCGTCCTGAGAGGTGTACTTAGCTCGCCAGCCAGCCTCGATCAAAAACCCGCCCGGCCGGTTTCGTGTAAAAACGAGAAATACCGTCCACTACAGCTGGCCTGCCTGACTACCTGTCGGGCTGAGGATTCAACCAAACCCCAGCACGGGTGAAGAGCTGAAGTCTGATGGCAGCAAAAGTCTACAGGTCCTACCCCCCTCCCCCTCCTTATCCTGAATGTTATTGCGAGGCCGTTCAACAGCTCGATGTGTTCTTTTGGGCAAGGTTGGTCTTTGGAGATGGCATATCGACGCCAGTGGCGCCATGGTTTTGGGGGAAAGGGGAGTAGTGTAGTGTGTGATTGGTTAGGCAGGGTTGGGGCTTATGTTGCCCTGTGATGATGGCCAAGATTGAGCTATTTTACTTATTGGTCTCAGTCCCTGGTCCTTTTGTGACTAGGTGTCAGTTGCGTCTTTTTTCTTGTGGCCAGAGGGAGGATTGTGTGTGTATATATAAAGTGAGTTCAATTTGGGGGAACGGATTTGTGTTCGCAAGGCTGCACCAAGTGTTGGCGGTGTAGACATTTGCGTGTCTACTTGAATCATGAGCTACAGTTCCACAGGAGGGATAAGGTTGAAGTGATACTGTGGCAGGGCTCACACCATATATACTCGGGGAGAAAGAAGAATATGAGCGAGAACGGCCAGTACGGTAGGCGACATTCATTTAAACTCCTAATCCCACCGAAATACATCATCGTGGAAGGATGACACTGACAGAATCAAACACCAGTGCCGGGGAGCCTCTGGTTCTATGCGCCGAACAAAGGAGCACCCGTGTTCTTCGCCGTAGCATTCTGCGCATCTACGGTGTGGCAGTTGTGGCAGACCTAGTGAGTCTGGGGTGTCAATCTACCCTAGTTGTTGCCGTGAACGTGGAAAGAAGTCACAAGTCTCTGACGGATTTCTTTCTCTCTTCTGTTTTTTCTTGTACGACGAGCAGCCATAACAAGTGCTGGCGCATGACGGGCGTCCTTGTCTTTGCGGGAACTCTCTTCACCGCCGGCTTCATCACACGAGAGATTGCTGCGTTCGATTATGGCAACCTCGTAAAGCTCATCGTCAGCGTGTGTTTGGTATACGCGGCACCGTATGCTTGCCTCCTTGGCAGTCCTATCCCGCTGAGGCGAGGTCAGCAGCAGCAGCTAACAGCAGTCACAGGCCTCTGTTTGAGCTGGCCAACTACCAGATCCTCGGCCGAATCCTCTACTATGTACCGCACCTCTCGCCGATCCACCCAGGGCGCGTCTTGACGACTTTCGCCTTCATCTCGTCCGTCGTCGAGGCGCTGAACGGGAACGGCGCCAGCTACTCGACCAACCAGTCGCTGCCAAAATCCAAGCAGGACATCGGCAAGGCCCTCCTCAAGGCAGCCCTGCTCATCCAGATTGTCGTGGTCGTACTGTTCCTCGCGCTGACAGTCACTTTTCACCGCCGCGTCCACGCAGCTAAGATCCGCAGCCCGAAGCTGACGGGCGTGCTGCGGACCCTCTACGCGAGCAGCGCACTCATCGCCGTCCGGACCATCTACCGCATTGTCGAGTACTTCAGCCTGGCAGAGCTTCACTTTGGCCCGGGGCTCAACCCCGACGCGTTCGGGCCGGAGGTGCGCTATGAGTGGTTCTTTTACGTGTTCGAGGCGACACTCATGCTGTGCAATGCGTCTCTCTGGAACGTCAGGCACCCGAGGAAGTACCTGCCCAAGAGCACCAAGGTATATCTAGCACGCGATGGGGTGACGGAGGTGGTCGGGCCGGGGTATAAGGACACGAGATCATTCTGGGTGACGTTGGTGGATCCGTTCGACCTCAAGGGAATGCTAGGCAAGAAAAACGGAAGAGGGACGACGGAGTTCTGGAACGAGGGTCAGCATGAGATGGAGGAGAAATCCAGTGGTGGTGGTGGTGGTGGTGATGATGGCGGCCCTGAGGGAAAAAGAAAAGACCATTCAACTGCCAGCAACCCAGTTCAAGGAGGGACGAATATCGACAGCGAGCGAACTTGCCAATAAGGGGCCTCTATGAAGTATCAGGTCAGCTGTTTTGTGTCGTCATGACTGAGATGGGACACACACGGCATCTGTTCTCAACAGAATAGTGGTCAGCTGCCTTCGCAATGGGCCAGCGCACACAACTTTTCTGGGTGCCTGTTGCAAGCGATCCGAACATCGCTTCCTGGCCACGGATCCCGCCAGCCAGGTCAACAAGGTATGGACTCGGGGACTCAGTCGTCATTGGCGTCGAAGAGCAAACCGATTCTACGTCACGTGTTCTCTGCCAGATTACACGTCTTGACAGGGATTGTATCAATATTCGGAACCGAGTACAGCCCGAGGCTTCCAAGGAATACGTGATAAGGGAAGGATGGAAGGGGCTCGTGGAAGGAAGAGTGTGCTGCTCCTCAGGGCGGGGCCAGAGTATGACCATACTATGGTCCTCTTTTTCATGCGTTGGCCCAGTTGGGTGGTAGTGATAGTATGGTTGTTATTATTATTATCATTATTATTGTTGTTATTATTTGTCTATAAAAGGAAGGAAAAAGTGAAGGGGAGGGGGGAGGGGCAGGGTCAGTATATTGAACCTTAAGAGGCCTGAATAATTTCGTTTTTGGTCGAAGCGCGAGGACTCGAAGCCTGTCAGTCTCATCGCGAAGATGACGACGAGATGAGATGAGGCCATCGTAAGCGAACAGCCACACAATAGAGATAGGTCAGTCGCGATGTTCCGAGCTTCAGGAAGGGGTCGTTCTGCCGTGGAAATTAGAGATCTGATGCAGCGTGGCTGTGTTGAAGATGTCAAAAAATATGTATGTGAGGGTCGCTAACCTGAGCTGTCTCCTAAAAATAGCGGCATCCTCTTTGTGGCTAATGCGAGGGGTCTGCACCAAAGGTCTGCACGGGGAATTTAGCAGTAGCAGGTCACCTGATTAGTCGCAACCCCTCCCCTCCCCTCTTTCCCCTGTAAACGGATCTGTACAGGCCACCTGTAGTCTCTATTAGGTCAGCACTCAAATTGCAGGGCTGCAGCGGCACACACTATCGTCGTCAATCTCCACCTTCCTTCTCTTCCTTCAGCACAAGGCAACTCTTCATTCTGGTCACTTCACCACGCAAGCTCTTGCAAGCCACCCCGGCACAAGAAACTCCTTCATCTTGATCCGGCACTCTGGGTTACAGGGGGGGGATCCACGATTGACGAGATCGGCTTCATCGGCTTTGGACGGCGTCTCCGTGACTTGTTCGAGACGAATCTCTGCAGAACGTGCGACAGCCGCAGGCGCCGAGGGGCACTGTCGCCGTACAACTTTGGCTCTGGTTTATGGCGCACCCAGAGGTGTAACAAGAAATTGAGACGGAGAGGGCGGCGTAACACATAGTCCTCCAGACTTGCGCCACCAACTCGATCGAAACCTCGTACCAACGGGCATGCCGCGAGCAAACAAAGAGTCGAATAAGGAACACGAGAGGCCCAAAACCACCAATATTGTCTTACTTGTCGTCTTGTGAGCCACTGGATCCCTCAGGGCGCAACTGCGAGGGCAAGACCCCATAAATGGACTGTTTGAACTTCCTTTGTGCAGAGCCTCCTGTCACCGCCTCAACCCGTCTGATCTGACCTTATCTGATCTGACTGCACCTCGGCTTACCTGGGCTGTTTGTTGTTCGAGCAAGCAGGCAGGCGTTTATCGGCCATCAAAAGCATGTGCTCCAGCTGGCAGACATAATTTCCATTAATCTCCCCTTCTATCGTCTGTCTCTCCTGTCGCCACACCTTTCGCGGCCAGGAGCGGGGGGCTGCCAGTCCTAAACCCTACAGTGTTGGACCTGCCGACTTGCGAACAGCACTGTCCCCTAGTCAACCAGTTCACCAGCTCATCACAACGTCGTGAAGGAACAAAGCCCCACAGCCGGCGGTCCCCATTCGGTGCACACAGGCCCCCGAGGTGGACGACGTGACACGTTGAATTGTTTCGTTCTTCTTTCGGTGCGCCTGCAACTCGACTGGTTCTGCCAGAAAAAGCGGGTTTCAAGCAGACCACCACGGTCGGTCCACACAGACCATTGGAAACGGCTTTGTGCAATACAAACAACGACGACGACGACGACGACGACGACGACGACAGAGCCATCTTCTGGCCTGGAACTAGTCCTGTTCATCGAGGCAGCTACTAGTCCTACCACAGTATCAATTTCATCCTGGATCGGGTCCCCACCCCGGGATAGAAACCGACTCGCCTGTTGACGACCCCAGCCAGCAAAGGATTCCAGTCACTTACTGCTTCTGTTCGTTCTCTGCAGACCCCAAGCACCACTTCTTGGGTCAACAACCTCATTCCCCACGTTCAACGACCAGGGCCATCATTTTGCCCATCTTGAAATCTACGTTACCTCGTCTAAGTCGCCCGAGACCACTTGACTCACCCCACTCTGGCCGCTGGACGAACACCTGTCTTGCGGCCATCTACAACGACCATCTTGACAGCCCGCCAGCCACTTGCGAGCTATACTCGGTTCCTACCCTTGGGCGTTCCTTTAGTGCCACCTCCAGAGTGCCAGATTCTTGGTACCTCCCGCAGACCCGCCCGTCAATTCGAGCTCGAGAAGGGGGGTCCTGTCGTTCATTCGACTGCTGCTTCTTGAGCAAGCTTATATTGGCAACAAGGTCTCCACCAGGGGCAGTTCAGGCACACACAGCAGCACTTCAAATACTCGTCGCAGGTCACATCCCGGACCTGGGAAAAACAAAAAGGTTGCCGCATCAAACTTGTGTCCAACCGCATGAGCTAGCAACTGGTTACCACCTTTCTTTGCAACATCTCACAGGACACAACCCTACGTCAGGGCCTAAAAAGAATTTTGGCCACATTCTAGTCCCGGCCCCAGATCTCACTGCCTCCTCCTTGCATTCCCAAAGATCCCCGGCGCTTGGCCGAGTGTGTGTGTGGGACCAACCGAATCTGACTGAGCCTACATCTGACACCTTTGCCCTAAAACCTATATCTCCTCTCGACTGTCCGCCATGGTCACCTTTTGGCAGACAACCTCCGTACCAAACATGGATAATCCTTTGATGAGGCCGAGCGCCCAAAGTCTACAGAGACCTCAGGTCTTTGTCAAGGTCGAATTTGGAGTGTCTTGGTCGGGCCAGCACTCGCCTCGAACACACGGCATCGAATTCAAATCTCGTGCCCTGCGAGAAAGACACTCTGGTTTTCCCAGGACTGTACCTGCCCCCACGACAAATTATCTCGTCGCTGCACCACCACCATCTGTACAACAATCTCAAGGGGGCGATGCACCACATTATAACCTGCATTACGCACCCCGGGAACAGGCCCCCTCACGCCGAACCCAGCAGTACACTGAGTTCCGAGGAATACCGAGTTATGACACAAGTTACCTGCTGCCGGCGCCATACTTCCATGAGCGGAGCGAGCCAAGGCACATAGAAGCCATTCCTGAACCACCACCGCTTGGACCATTTCCTCCTGAGGAGCGTCGACAATCTCGCGCAGAGAGGGCGGCCTCGCCTGCCGACCGACACCAGCGAGGAAATTCGGCACCACCGCCACTGAGCGACAACAACTGGGATGTTGTAAGTGCACGCTACTTGGATGAAGCAGCGACTGGACAGCCGTCGACAGCACATCGCGCTGGACCTCAGGCCAGAACAAATTCCGATGTCTGGAAGGACCTGCCTGAAGTGCCGTCACGGTTTCGACTGGGAGAGGATGACATGCCATGGGACGGCACTTGGCAGTTTCCAATGGGTTTTGAGCCCTTTCTGGAACCTGACCCTTATCTGCGGCCCTCCTCTGCTGCTTCCCCAAAGCCCTCCCCGGAGCACTCCAGTCGGCGACCACGGACCCCTGAGCAGCAACGCAGACCCATAGTCGAGTCTCCCCCCCAAGGTGACGATCCAGCCCGTCGGCACGAGCTCGAGGCCCTCGGCCATGCGATGATGACGGTCGACAACGGCTTCGAGAACCAATGGTGGAACCAAGGCGAGCGGAAGCACCTGACAGCGGTGACGCCGCCGCCGGCAACTCGCCAGCAGATGGAGGAGCAGATGGCACTTGGCTGGGTTGGGGCACTATTGCCCGCAGCAGGCCCTGGAGATGACAGCAACAAGCGCTTCACATACCCGACCCCGGAGACTACGTCGGTCGTCTCGCCCGAGGGCTCGATCGGTGCCAGCTACAACAACAATAACAGCAGCAACAACATGATGGTCTCACCCATCTCGACCTTCAGTGTCCCTACTACCCAGCTCAGCAGAACGCTGTCTACACGGTCGGATGAGCTCTGGTTCGGACGTGGCGCCGCAAGGTATGCTTAGGCCTAATGCGTCCCGGGAGCTTTTTTTCCAAGTTACGAATTATGAGGTGCCTCGCGGGTGTGTGGGAAACATGGCATTAGCAGCTTCTACCTGTTGTGTACAAATCCAGAAAACAGATGTCATCTTTCAGCAGGAGTCAAGAGGAGTTTAGGGAATGGCAGCAGAGCACACATTGCTTGTACGTGGGTGTAAACCTTTTTACGTTCCTCTCATTGTTTTGTCTTTTGTGGGCAGTGCGGATATATCCAAGGGTCGAAGATGCCCAAACCCTTCAGACCAATATTTCTTACTTTTTTAATGAATAAATCAACATCTCGTCTTCTCCCCCCCTCGCAAATGAGGGGGCGGGACTACACAAGGTTTCATCATCATCAAACCCCGAACACCGTTGCTGCCGCCTCCATTCTCTCGGAATTCGCGTCCCAAATTTACCCTTTACAGTGGATCTATCTGGGGCTCCTACTAAGATGAAGGGGATGAAAGACAACACAGCAGGAAAAAAAAGATGCGGTCGTAGACCCCCTTGTCCCTGGCCTATGTGGGGGGAGACGTGCGTGTAGCATAACGTACTATTAGCCATGTCGGGACTTATCACTGAGAGCATGCTACAAGCAGCACAAGGCGGCACAGGCAACGAAATTATTGTTCCACTAGCTCAACGCCGCAGCCATGCATGAACAAAACCGCCGTCATTTAGCACGACTTTTTTTTCCAGAGGAATATTACCCAGAGGAATGTTATGAACAAACAAAAGGAATAATAATAATAATAATAATAAAAGGAAGAAAGAGAAGGAAAAAAAGGGAGGGGGGATAAGGGAGCCTCCACAGGCTAGCGCGACAGGAACAGATGGATCAGATCGAGGAATGTTTTAAGAGACATACCACAGTATAGTCAGATGAAAACAGAGGTGGGCCCTTGGGGAACGGTCTGTAAGGGCTCGAAGAAAGGATCACCACCGTATAAGGCAAACCCAAGCTCCTTTGGCCCCCCAGAGGCATATGCGGCGGCGGCGGTAGCGGCGCGCACGCACACACACACGCACGGACGTACATACTATTGTACAATGGTACGCACAGTGACAGAAGGATGAGTGGTCGCTTAGGTCCACTATTTCGTGAGGAATAATGAGGTTGCAAAGTATGCAATGCGGTGTGTTAGGGCATGTCATACTGCTGGTCTGACACAACCTCATCATGGTTCTTTGGGGACAGGGGGATTGTAAATCAGGGCATGGCAGGCAAAAACAGGGCAAATAGGGCAATAGGCGGCGTTGATAGGCATTCAGTGAGCACCCTGCAGTAGGGAGAGAGGTTTCTGCGACTATCTATGGCTGATTGTGAAACGTGGTTTTGGGAGAAGTCATAGAAAACCCCCCGGGGTTCACGCCACGGCGTCACGCTGCTCTCCTGCATGAGGAGGTGGAGAGAGAAACGTATTACCTACTGCATGGTACTATGGCGTGTGTCCACTCCTCTTCTTCAATACAAAAATTACAGTTTGGTCTCGAAGACGAGTGGCTCGTAGGGCCCTGCTGCTTAATTAGTCGCCTGAGGGCTGCGGCTGCAAGTCTTTCCCGCTCCGCGGTCGCATCGGCAGGGGCCTGCTTCATGCCATGCGGGAAAAACGGGACGGACGAGCTTAAAAGTTTCTTTTTACACGCAACAAGACGTTGTATAAATTGGGGGGCGGGGGGGGAGGAGGTGGTTGTTCAGCTTTCAAACAGCTGACGAGGAGCTGAACTCGCATCAAAAGCCACTCAACCAAAACCAAGTCACACCTGAAATAGTTACTTTGACACGGGACTTTACCACTACACAACACAAACAAAATATGTATACTATGGTACTAACCCCCTCGCCTCTTTTACCATTGATGTTACCATACCGCCTGGCCACCACGCAGGTCACACGTGTAACCCTGTAGTGGGTCACCGCGAATCAACGTCGCCAGAATCTCGGTGCCTGCGTCGATCTTTTTTGGTTTGGGTGGGCTTGGCTGGTGCGTTTGGGGCTACACTGCAGCAGCTAAGCAGTCTGAGGCCCTGTCCGCCAAGAGATAGTAGATAGATGAACCCCGAGAAACAAGGCTTGACCTGAGAACGGTTTTTTGAAACGAGATGAAAAGAGAAGACCAAGAAGAAAGAAAAAAAAGGAAAGCAAAAGCAAAGCCAGGAGCACACCGTTGGTAAGCCGATGGTGCCTCGGAAATGCTGCATGGGCTCCCCCCCCCCCCGGGTCGGTTTGGATTCACGGCCAGTTATTTTACTAGGAGAATGAGAGAAAGCACGGGAGAAAAACTCCGACGACAACGAAACATTCGTGGCTCGTATGGTCTTTGCTTCCTCCAAGAATAGAAAAAAAATTTGTTTTGAGAGAAGGCAAGGCTGTGAAGAAAGAAAATGCCCTGAAAGCTGATAGAACCGGCACAAGCCTTGTGGTTGTTGATCGCCGCCACCCCCCAACCAAAGTCCCTTCTTTGGACCCTCCTCCGTGATGTGCCTCCTCAAGGGCGCATCGCTGGCGTCATGAAGGATGTGGCCCCTAGAAGTAGTAAGATGGTAGGAGCATTTGCCTATCACATTTGCTGACTCTTCCGTGGTGTAAGAGCAGAAGAGAGGCAGCGTGCACTGCCGAGGAAGGGTTGCAGGCGGCTGCAGGGCTAGATTATGAATAGTATTTCGAGGACAAGTCTGGTCCTGGTGGGAGTTGCCTGGAAGCGTTGTCCGCTCTGGATCTGTCATGGCTCTGGCGAGAGAGAGAGAGAGAGACAGAGAGAGAATGACAGAGCGATTGTTTGTCAGATAGCAGGGTGTCCCTGATTCTCAGACCAGTGTTCTTACTTGATTGACGATCTCTTTATCGAAACACCTCCTGCGCAGTGGCGTAAAAAGAAGATCTCGTCTTGGGGAAAGCCCTGTACTAGTAAGAACAGCCATGAGTCCGTTACTCTGTATATGTTTCACTGTCGTGATAGTGGCACAGTTGGTTTCAAAATGAAAACCCCCTTCTCCATGTGGCGGTTGTGCAAGGCAGCGTACTTGGGCAGGCTAAGGCGTCTTTCTGTATCTGTACTTAGTCTTGAATAAATCTTTACTATTAAAAAAAACCACCTGATAAATACTTTGTGCGGTTGACTCTCGCTATGCAAGTTGGAGGCGGGATTGAAGGCGGACCGAGCCATGGCGTAGAAATCCTTCGAAGCAGAAAAAAGAAAAGAGAGAAGAAAAAAAGGGAAAAAAGACGACAAATGGGACAAGAATACAGACAACCCCTTTCCTTGCTCAGTAAGGTGGGCCGTCAGCGCGGAGGGATTGCAACTGCTGCAAGTGAGAAACCAAAAGTGGCGCAACGGTGTGTGGTCTTTTTATTATTAAGTCTTCTTGCCACTTTGGAATCACAACTTTCCTCTCTCTACGACTTCTAGGAATCCCGAGACCGCGCTCCTGGAGGCATGTCATATACACATGAACTTTTGTCCAAGGTTGTTTCAGAAGCGCCTTTCACAACGAGGAGAAACTTCTCCCCCCCTCCCCCCCCCTTCTCCCTTTTCTATTCTCCATCTCAAATGCTAGTTACTCGTCGTGAGCTGTCGGCCCTCGTCGCCCCTCGCCTTTTGTGCATAGCGTGGCCGAGGATGTGTGCGGGTCCCGTCGTTTTTTTATTTGTTTCTTCCGTTCCAGGCAGCCATATTCCCTAGATGCTGAGTGGTGAAAAAAAGGCAAAAACAGGGGGCATGGGGAAAAGATTGATTTTTCGCGTTATGGGTCGCATCATCTGGGCCAGCCGTCACTGGGGTCTTCTTTGCAGTTCAGCTGACAAAGAAGGTTCCTCGAGACCCAGGCTGTCTTTATTAATTCCTGTTGTTTTCAAGAGTTGTTCTTCCTTTGGAGAGGGTGCCACTAGAAGTGTACCCAAGAGCAGGATTATGGTCCTGGGAGAGGGGTGAGGAAGATCAGGAGGGAAAAATAATGACAGCAAAATGGATACGCTCGGGAGTTTTCCCTTCTTTTCTTTTCTGTCCTTTTTGTTCGGTCACGTTTCGGGAAATTGTCAGCTTTCTGTTGCTGAGATCTGGACCCAAAAATATGGATTTGGATCCTTTTCAAGAACTGCCGGACTAAGCAAGATAGCTGTGCCGCATGGTTGGAAATTGGATCTCCCCTATGCTCAGACCGTTTTGTAGCTCTATCCACCCTTGCGGTGGTGTGGTGTTTTATCTTTTTACAAGACGGAGCAGGAGAGAGAAAGAGAGCGATCAGTAGATCTTTGTTTCTATTTTTACAGTTGTACATTTCAGACCCTTTATTTTTCGGGCGCCAACACGGAATCAAAGGTCAATTCTCGTCGGGTCACAAGGTATTTATCCCCATTTCTATTTCTTCTCAGTTCGGCGCTCAGTTGGAGATAGGAGAGCCCCAGTACTTTTCATCTTATTGGCGACTCCGTGCATACATGTATGGGGTTCAGACTCATGTGTTTTCATCCGTACTTTTATACCATGAAACTGAGGCTGGAGATATCCATTGGGGTTGACGACATGATATTCCCACAAGGAAATGATATGCAAAGTACAATTTATGACGGATTTGAACAAACAACAGCACATTGCACGCGAACCCCGAAGGGGGTCTACTCAAATTCAAGGCAGTTTTTCTTGATGAGATCCAGCCCTTGCCATACCTTCATGTTCATCCCAAATGAACACCCGCCTGAGCCTATTCGACCCTGGAGGCCATCATTATGGCCCGCTACCACCAGGTACAGCTTTTAAATTTCGGAAGACTTGGGCTTTTTGGCCTCAGTGTGGAGTAGAAGGATGAATAAGACCCCAAGCCTTCGTCACTAGTGAGTCTCTCGGTCACTAGGTTTGTGCTTCTTGAATCACCTCGTAGACTATGATTAGGCTTAGACTCTTTGATGAGTGAGCATGCGACTGATTGCGATTTCCGGTCCTAGATATCTCGGCCAAAAGACTGTCATGGTGTATCAATCTGTGTTTTGCATGGAGTATCTCATTCTTGCTCCAGGGCTGTATATTCACTTTCCATGAATCTGCCCTAAAAACAACTTATCAGGGAGACAAAAGGGAAAATGAGGACGAGAATGAGTTGCCACAACGGTGTCAAAGGAAGACTGGATGATACATTGAGCAGGAGGACCATCTGCATATTGTCTTGAACCAGACCCCCCTCCCCCTTCCTCTCTCCTCGCGTACAGCAAGTTGATAAGTAATTAGGCTCCTCCTGTGGCTAGTTTTCCTTGGACACTGCAGTAGTTCATTGAAAAATAGGTACCATGGCAGTGTTTTCGACTCCACATTTTGAAGACGACAGCAGGGGGGTGCGAATATCAAAACGTACCAGACGGCTGTGCTCAAGTCCCCCTACAAAAGGCACCCATAGCACTTACTACTCTAGGTATGAGGACACCAAGTGATGTGTCGACTACTCTGACAATCAACGAGGCACCAGTGTAGCGTTCATGGCGCCTGTGGTAGTATAGGCACCTAACATATCATGGAGGTGGTGGGTTATGTCACTGCTTTGCATGTATTGATGTCCTCTCGCGCCCTCGGAACCAGAAGGAGATAGATGTGTGCAGCATGCTACCGTTACATCATGGCTTAGCTCGCCTTCTCTTGCTCTCTTTCGGAAGAGCCAAGGCCTGGCTTCGCACGTTTCGGTCCATGATTGACGAGGCGTGTGCATCCATCATCTCCGGCCCCACGAAAGGGAACGCCTTGTCAGCCGCGAGTAGCGAGCCTCCTGTGCTGTGCAGACAAGAAATACTGCTGCCTAATTTTCGAACCTTGGATCTCCCTGTGTGTGGCGCACACCAGGCAATCAGGTGTGTGGTCCGGCTGGGCACTGGGGTGACTCCAGACCGCTTGTTTCTTCGCGATTGAGGAGCTGTTGCTGTAATTATCACCAGTCAATATTACGTATCCTTGGGTGGAGACAAAACTGGTCTGCGTAGGTACCCAGTGAACTGTAGCCAAACTCAAGAGGCCTCAAGGGAAGATGAGGCATTATCTATTGTATAACTTTGTGCGTTTGCGAGAAGCCGCTAAAACCTGCAAAAGTACCGGCACTCTTTCATCCTTAGTCATGACTGGCTATATCCACTCGTGATCTGAGTCCCCGGAACCGGCGTAGATTCCATAGTAGTGGTATTGGGGGGTCTGATGCCAGAGGTGAAAGAGTACCGAATGATGTTTCACGACCGTAGCTAACGCAAACGAGCACAAAAGATCCCATGAGGTGTTTTGGACGTTGCAGCATACACACGCAGTGGCTGGATATGACCAGCTTGGCATGTCAGTCAAGATATAGAGGTGACTTCATTGCTCTGTAAGTATTGTAAGGCTATTGTGTTTATTGTTACTTATGTTACAAGATAATAGACATATTGAAACACAGATTGGCTCGCGCAGAGATCCAGGTTCGAACCTCTTGGCTAAGTTCTTATTCAATGGAAGACAGAGAACTCATTATGACACTGAACTGGACGTCTGAATGAGAAAGGAAACAAATGTTTATATAGTACACAAATGAAGAATGACTTCTCACATTGTCCTTAGGTGTCTGCTCATCAACCTCATGATCAACCAAGGAATCACGGATCAACTTGTAATTCGAAGACTCGACCATTTCCTTGTGGAAAGTTTAAGATCAACTCACAAGGGCATAACTAATTCCATATTCTAGATCCCCTTACCAGACTCTCCAAGAACATTCTCCAAGGCTGTGCAAATAGCATCACCCACCTGCTTCGTGCTTGCGGAGCCCCCAAGGTCCGCCGTCCTGATACCCAAACCCCCACTCTCCTCCGTGTCCAGCACAAAGGCGACTGCCTTCTCGACAGCAGAGGCCTCTTCACTCAAGAGGAAGGAATACCTGAGCATCATGGCGACGCTCAGGATCTGCGCCACAGGGTTCACGATGCCCTGGCCCGAGATGTCGGGCGCGCTCCCGTGCACCGGCTCGTAGATGCCATTACATGTCTTCCCCTCGCCAGGGACGCCACAGAGGCTCGCGCTCGGCAGCACGCCCAGCGTGCCCGTCAGACCGCCCGAGATGTCCGAGAGGATGTCCCCAAAGGTATTGTCGGTGTGGATGACGCCGTTGAAGCACCTGGGGTCCTTGACCATCAACATGGCCATGCTGTCGGCAAGCTGGTGCCTCAGCTCCACCTCTGGAAACTCCCTCGCAAACGTCTCCTGCGTGACCCGCCTCCACAGCCGGCTGTTGGCCAGCACATTCGCCTTGTCTGCGCTCCAGACCACCGCCGGCTCACCACCAGAACCACCACCACCTCCTTCCTTCTCCTCCTCCTCCTCCTCCTCCTCCTTCCCTCGACCCATCATCCTCGCCACCGCAGCACTCACCCGCGCAAGACGCTCCACCTCCTCCCGCGTATACGCCCACAGGTCCGACGCCTCGTCCTGCGCCTCCACCTTGGGCCCAAAGTACGCCCCGCCGCAGTTCTCCCGCACGACGACAAACCGCAAGCCCTCGACCAGCTCGCGGCGGAGCGGCGACGCGGTGACCGTCGAGGGCGCAAAGAACTCGCACGGCCGCAGGTTCGCAAAGGCGCCGAGGTGGCTGCGCAGGCGGAGCAGGCCTGCCTCTGGGTTCTGCGCGGACGCGGCGCCCCACTCGGGCCCGCCGACGCTGCCGAAGAGGACGGCGTCGCTCTGCTCTGCCTTGGCCAGGACGGCCTGCGTGATGGGCGTGCCGTGGGTGTTGATGCTGCACCCGCCGGCGAGGTCGTGGGTGAGGTGGAAGTGGAGGTTGGGCCGGGCGCGGGCGATGGTCTCGAGGACTTTGAGGGCCTCGGCCATTACCTCGGGCCCGACGTGGTCGCCGGCGAGGACGAGGATGTTGAAGGACTGCTGTTGGGAGTTGATGTCTGTCATGGTTTAGTTGGTGTTGTGATATGATCGAGGTGGGAGGGGAGAGAGGAGAAGAGGAGAATGGGGGGGCATCTTCAGCTGTTGGAGATGGTCCCATAATTTCGAAGCGTGTGAGCGAGACAGTCCTTGTGTGTAACTGTTTACATCCCATTCGTTCGGGTGATCAACACCCGACTTCGGAATGAGAATTATGAGCACCGCAATTAAAGATTTCTTTGACTGTACGTATTGCTTCCCGATGAGATGTGCTGGTTGAAGATGGGATTTGGCTGTGGCGGGGTTGTTGAGAAGAACTTGGCTATTTGGGCTGGATTATTACATGGCAAATGCCTTCATGGTATGCCCAGGAGGTAGAAAAAGGGAAAGAGGGTGAAATAAACTAACTACAAACAAACGTTAATAGAAAGCCCTTCGATAACTCGTCAATCTTACCCAAGTTTGATGGGACATGTCAATCATCACATAGCAGCACTTATGAAGCTCAAATAAATACCTTATTTTCTGGCCCATGAAGTTCATTTATCATCTACAAGGTAGAAAAAGAGTCAAAATCCATGAAAATATAATCAAGACGGACCTCCTGAGTCCAAAGAAATCTCGTACATGAAGAAAGAGAAGAGAACGCCTGCCTCCCCGACCCAAACCCCCAAACCCAGTTCACTCCCCGCTCGATGTAATTACTCACCATCAAGAAAATATAGAATCCTCCAGAGAAGAATCAAGACGGCAACGCTTTCCACTTTTACGACAGTGCCATTCGATGCGAAACCTCTCGCATCTAGTGGGGGTACGCCTCATCCCACCTAGCAAGCGCCTCGCTTCTTTTCGGAGTCGAGCTCCTCTTTGTTGTTGTTGGAGGACTATCACTCCTCTTTGACGGTGGCGTCACACTCGTCTTTGTAGACGTCTCGCTCCTCTTGGGCGCATCAGCCGCACAGATGTCGACACCCCTGTACGAAGGCATCTTGGGCATCTCGATCCGCGTGGGTTGGCCTGCCTTGCGGGCCTTGGAGGGATAGTCAGTTCCCTGATTACCCGACGCGGGCCCAGATGAGGGGTAAGAGCCGGAGGCAGAGCAAGCTTGGCTGGACTTACCACCGCTGGTGGTGTCTTGTTGTTGGTATTGTGTCTTGGTCGTGACGGAAGGAGGGATGGCGCCTGTGAGGCAGTGCCAGGCCTCCAGACGAGGGCCGACGAGGTCTCGCGGGGGTGGATTGTTTGTCGCCGCCGAGGACGTGGAGGTGGAGGAGGCAGAAGCGAGAGTCACAGTGGCGTTGCTCCTCTGCTGGCTCAGGAGAGCACGCGGTGGGCGCTGAGGAGAAGATGAAGGTGAAGAAACGCCCCAGTTCCCAGCGGCGGAAGTCACCGTGTGGCTTGTCGGGGACGGGCTCTCAAGAGAAGCTATCCAACGGCCAACTGGCGACACAGCAGCATGATACCTACGGAAATATCCATCGTTACTACCATCTTCGTTAGCACATGCCGCATTGTTGTCATCATCATCGTCGTCGTCATCATCACAATGAGCCATGAACCTGCGCACAACAACTTTGTTAACCTGCTCCTTGGGGCGATACTCACCAAGATCCACCGACATAGGCGAAGAGGGCGTCCCACTCGGGGCCCAGCTGATCAGCTTAGGCGAGCCACCATGATGAACAACAGCAGAAGGAGGAGGAAGAGGAGAATAAGAACAAGAAGGAGAACGGCACCCCGCCATCATGTAGGCATCGCGCCCCGAGACACCAGTCCTCGCCCGCCTCTCCTCGGCCTCTTGGAGGAGGCGCAAGTTAGCGGCAAACTGCACACGGTCGTGTGCTGTCGTTATGCCATCTGCATAGGCCTGGAACAGAGCATGCCCGCGGGCCTCGGGTGCCGTCATGGTGGGGACGTTCTTGGTGTCGGTGCGCTGGGAGTACAGGTCAGCAGGGGGCTGGTAGACAGGCCGCTGCTGGTTCCTGCTGGGCCAGTCATAAGGGTTGGCGATGGACCTGTTCTGTCCCGTGGCGTGGGACTTGTGGTGGTCTTGACTCTTGCCGCTCTCACTGCTCTTTTGCGTGGACTCGAGGGACTCGAGGGCGAAGCGCTCATGGTGCGGGTTGACGGGGAGGGGGCCCTCAGGCTGCTTGGAAGGCTTCTTCCAGAACTTACGGATGAAGGCCATCTTTTCTTCTTCTTTGTGTGTGTGCGTGTGTGTGTGGGTAGGATGATTCGCGTTTGGTGGCTGAGAAACTGGGGCTCTACACTATAAAGAATCGCTCCAGAGGAGGAGAGGAGAAACTTCCTCAAGCCTCTGGATGGGATTCAAGTGAGAGATGATGGGAGGAAAGTTGGGTGTAAGTTGTAGCAGACTCTGAGGGTGTGTTGGCAGAAGGATAAGATGAAGAGGGCAAAATGGTTGAAGACATCTACCTATTTAAGCATTAGTTTCAGCCTCTACGACACAATATCCATTCTCCTTGGATCTTCTTGCTGATCGAGGACAGCCCTATTGAAATGCCCAACAGCCGGGAAGACTCCTGCCACCAGAACAGGCGATTTGATGAATTCAATACAGTACATGTGTAGTTGATACTATGGAGAGCAGCAACCAAATATCAAGTGGATCTACAAGGAATGGAATTGTTACATGGACAACAATGAAGATTGTCAACAGACCCCTCACTTGATGTTCCTTGTCCTGGTAAAAGAAGGAAAGCTCCTTGGTGAAGGCCTCAATCCCCTTTCAGGCCAGACTTCCCGCCCCTTTGACGATGATAGGAACGGCACCCGCCACAAGGGCTTTGAACAGAACACCCTACTGTCGTTTTTGAAAGGGTCTCCTAACAGCAATTCTTTCACTCTCGCGCGCATATGCGTCTCACCAGACATATCCGTTCCGAATCAACCAGAATGATTTTGAAAGAAGAGGGGGGGGGGGGTGGAAAATGATCCGTTCTTCTGTCCACGACTCAAAATTGTAACACGCCCGCGTTGAAAATGAAAATACAAAATGGGTATGGGTATGTGTGTGTTTGTACGTACGCCATGGGGGGGAAAAAAAAGGGGGGGGGCCTGAACTGCCGTCAAATATGGACAACAGAAAGCCAAGCAGAAAAGACCCGAAACCACGCCTTGCCGTGCCGTGCCGTTTACCACACCCGCCTGTCCATCCATCATCCAACATTCAAATTTTTCTTTTCTCTAGAGAAATTCAAATCAAGCTATATGCTCAAGCATTCGGCGCGGCGAAAGGCGTGCCGCCTGCCTTTCTTATCAGAACCACGTTCCTAGGAATATCTGCCATGTCTTCTTCTCCCCAGGCCAAATAAAAGGCGGCAGCAGGAATAGAATAAGAGGTGAATAGGAAATGTCGGGTGCTGATGCTTAGTGATGACCTATTTGCTTTTCTGCCATGCGTCCTCGTGAGGGTAATGACAAACATCGTTGGGAGCGAGATCCTGCGCTCTCGAACACGCATGCCAGGCTCGTCTGAATCCGCAGGCTGCTTGTACCTGATGTTTGTAATGCGTCGTGTCGAGCCCGTCAAGGAGGTATTGTAACAGGCCCACCACAGCATGAGACGGCAAAGACCAGTAAACAAGATTCGTAAAGAAGGCTGCGGAACGGGCTTCAGAATATACAGGAGGTGTGCTGCTCGTCGTTAAGATACTGATAAAGCCGGCTGGTTTTTCTGTGTAGTCCGCTTCTGCCGTGGTGGTAAGAGTGCATGGAAGTCTGACTGCCCCATGAAAACCCGTCTGTACTAAGGTTGTGGCCAAGAAGGAAGCCGTAAGCCGACCAAGAGATTACAGCATTGTATCCTCCTCCCGTATGCTCGTCATGCTCATACTGTGGCCGTCGGTGCCCGCCCCGCCCTCGAGCTGTGGCTGACTAGGGGGCGGCATCAAGCCCTTGGAAGATGACGCTCCTCCTACGGCGCTGCTGTGACTGCTTGTAGCCGCGTTTGGCGCACTACTCGTGCTCTGGGACCGCGCCGCCTTGCTTCCATCATTGCTGCTTATGGCAGCCTGTGACCCACCAGCGGGAGTCTCAGCTATGTTTGTGATCTCGCGGTGGAGAGGGGAGGAGTGGTTGGGCGAGCTTGACTTCTTGGAGTAGCCATCGCCGCCGCGGGACGAAGTTCTAGGCGACACACGGCCAGTCTGTTATGCAAGAAACGATCAGTCAGTCTCGGAACTCGTGGAAGCAATCAATCGTAAAGCAGACAATGCTCTCACCTGCTTGGCCCACCTCAGCCCACAGCTGTTACAGAGGTCACGATTGCCACTCGGTCCCCTCCTCCACTCTGGCGTGTTACGCGTATGGCAGTTGGCGCAATCCCGGACGGCATTGCCAACGCCCTTCCTCCTCTTCCTCTTCTTCTTGTTACTGAGGAGCGTGCCGAGCTGTTCCGCGAGCAGCCTGTTCACTTTCTCCATCTGTCGCAGCTCAAACTGCCACGAGCTGCACCTGGTTGTCTTTAGCTCCTCGAAGATGTTATCGTCGCTGGCGAGCGCCAAGTCCTGAGTGCCGAGGGGTAGGCCGCCGCCTGATGGGGCTGACACGATCCCCTGCTCTGGACCCGACGCGGACCGGGCACGGTGAGGTGAGGCAAGCGAGCCGTGTGACGGCTGGGTAGGATCCTCTGGCGGCCCGCTGGCCATCGGCGACGTGGACTTGCCTGCAGAGGCTGCTGGGGCCAGCGCCCGACTCGATGGCTTCAGCAGCTTTGTCTGCGCCAATAAAAATGTCGGCTTTTGGCCTTCGGCGGCATCTCCGGGATACAGGACCGTGGACGCTTGAAGCACCTGGCCTCTCCTATTCTGGACCTCATGCTTGCAGGATACGACTTTGCCACGCCTGGCCTTCTCGATCGCCCGTCCGAATTCTGGCCTGGTCTCCTTGCGCATGTAGTCCTGTATGCTGGTCCCAACCAGCTGATCTGGCTGCAGGTCGAGCAGCGATCGCACGTTCGAGGACACAAATAAGAACATGCCCGAGGTGGAGAGTTTCGTCCAGAGCTCGCCGTCACCAATTCCTCCGTTCGCCTCAATCTCCCTCCTGCTCAGCGCAAACACTGGCCGCTTCCGTCCGACCAGGATGATGCATTTCCTCCCCTTGCCCTGCTCGACGAAGAGGGACCCGTGGCTTTCGAACCACGTATAACCGCTCTCTTTCCTCCTCACGCGGAACACAATGTTGACATACTTCTCTGCCGCGGTGTCCTTGAGCTCCCTGGTGATAGGCACTATGTCAGATGGGTGACATATTGAGGAGATCGGGTTGCCGACCAGCTCGCTCGGGTCGTATTCCAGGATCTTTTTGCAGGAAGGTGATAGGTACAGAAAGAGTCCCTTCAGCGACAGCACATGGACGACGTCATCTGCGTTCTCCAGCAGCATCTTGTCCCACGATTGCTTGTGCCAGTCGCTGAGCGCCGCCCCGGGCCTGTATTGCTGAAGCAACGTCGACACATCATCCAGCCCGAGCGTCTGACCGCTTTCTGGGTCCCACTGGTTCGCCTGCGGCGGCGGCGTCCATATGTACTGCCCAATATCGCTGTGCTTGTAGTTGACCGGAAACGAGCCCTGCTTCTCTTTGCCTGCAATGGCATCGGGACACTCAACCAGGTCAATCTGGAATCCGATAAAATATCGGATGTCGACTTCATTGTCCCAGGGGATCGGGATCATGGTGAGGAGGTTGAGGAACGGCTTGCCGCCTTTTCGATAGTTAATCAGACCCTGTTGGCACTCTTTGCCTTCCTGTATCTTTCTCTTCAGGTTCCAGACTGAGATGTTCTCCACGAACTCTCTCTTCGTACCAGCTTCAACTTTTCCATCCGGCGCTTGGAGAAACCGGCAGTTCTGGCCGACGATGTCATGACGACTGTAGCCCGTGAGGTTCTGAAAATTGTCCGAGACGTAGATAATGGGACAGTCATTCATTGTGACGTCGCAAACAACAAAAGCACAAGAAAAGTCGACGGCGCCCAGCTGGATCTGGGGATTCGACCTGGTCGACACGTAGTATAGCGCTCTGATCATATCGAACCCGCTTCTGGAGTAGACGTTCGATTCGGGTGAATCGGCACCTTTGGTTAGCGGCCCCGACACAGCTGCTGACGCGGTGGGCGTCTCGGGGCCCATACTAGGCCTGGCCGTGTTGAGGCCCTGCGACAGCGGCGACCCAGCTGATTGTCGGAACGAGGTCGCATTGGACGCCTCTCTTGGTAAAGTTGGTGTCATACTGAAGGCGCTCATGTGACCGCCGCTCCCCTGCTGAGACTGCTGCTGGGGTGTTCCCGAGCCGTTGTTGGTAAAGGCTTGTGAGACGCCGAGCATCTCCTCGTCGCCATCGTCCATGCCCATCGTCGTGGGCGGATGCGCTACGGTAGCGCTCATGGGGTCGTCGGCCGGGTTTATGTCCATGGAGAAATCGGGCTGCACGGCGTCTAGGCCGCTGTCGAACTGTGTACTCATACCTGTATTGCTAAACATGGTCATGGCGTTCGGATTGGGGGCCATGGAGCCCATATTCAAGTTCGAGAAGCTCATCATATTGCTCATAACGTCTGGCGATATAGTGGAAAAGTCGTTGTGGTTGGGCATGCCGAGGGAGTGGTTGAAACTCGCGGTGCTCTGCATGTCTAAGGGCGAGGCCATGGTGGTCATGTTTCCGTACGTGGCCATACTGTCTGCCATCGTGGAGGACGGCCCGACAGTCGGAAGCTGGTCGCCGAACTGGAACCCCCGGAAATCATCATTTCCGCTTCCGAACTCTAACATGGACATCCTCCTGTCGGCATCGTCGTGGGAGGTCGGGATGTGACTGGGCGGAAAAGGTTGCGGCACACTACGCCGTCTTCGCGTCTCTGCAGCTGTATTCTGGGATATAATATCATCGATGGAATCACCGCCCATCATGGATGTATCAGAGCCCATCGGGGGCATCATGGCCTGAGGATTGCGGGGCGAACGCTGATCGTGCTGCGGGCTATGCTGTACGTCCTGCTGCATGTTGAAGTTTCCTGACGACCCAGCCTCCTCCACCACTTCCTGCTGCTGCTGCTGCTGCTGCTGGCTCCGCTGCTGACGTGCTGCCTGGAGCTGGCGCCGCAGGTGCTCCGGGGCCTGCTGATTATTGTAGAAGCGATTCATGTTGGCGGCCACATTGGGTGCGCCTGGGCATGTAGCATCGAGCAGGTGGGAAATTTTGTCTCTATCGCCGGCGCAGTGGGTCACTAGCCTGGAGAGGTCGTGGCAGGTGATGCTGTCGACAGTAGCATGGGGCTTGAAGTTCAGTTACACCCAAGATATGCACGGGCATGAGCTTATCGGCGAGAAGTGGCTGTGTGACAGCGACCTCTGAGTCGTGGGCGTGGGAAATGATAGAGTGCCCCCGTTCCGGAACGGGAGAAGAGAGAGTAACGATGCTGATGATGGTTATGGTATTGGTTGGTGGTGAAAAAGATAGTTATCGTTGTCGATCGCCAGTTGGGTCCTAATCGTTCTGTGCAAGTTTTAATTGGTTATCGAATACCATCTGGGGAGCATGGTCTATCGGCACAGGGCACGGTCGACGGCTTCGAGGGCGGGATCGCCGGTGGAGGGTCCGGAACTGCGGAAAGAGATTTCTTTCGGGATTGGGTCTGAAGAAAGTCGTGGAGAAATATGTCGTACGGGGGAGGATGGCAGAGAGTTGTCGGCGATCTCGTCGGCGTTGGCGTCGTCAAGCCGTCTGCGGGGCGGTACGATGCAAGTTTGTGTGAGGCAAATGGCGGGGGGGGGGGGTTTGTGCGGAAATGAGGAGCGTTGGCAAAGTGCTAATGAGAGGTCGTCGTCCGGGTCCGGTGATGATTATGTTATATTCAGTGGTTCCAAGAACCTGGCGTGGATCCTGGGATGGCGCTGGATGACGACCCGTGCGGGTGCTGGGCGCTGCCACAGGTACTGGTGCTGCTACCGTAGCTGCTGTCGTAGCAGGTGGAGCCTAGGGCACTCACCTGGGCCGGTGGGGCATACTCCGTAAGGAGAGGAGCGCTTGTCATGGGTCGACCCTCCTCTCGGTCCCCCGCTGAGTTTTAGGTCTCTCTTTTTCTTTCTCCTTTTTGTGTCAATTTTCTACTTTCCCATCTGCTGTCTAGTATAAACATTCTGATAATCCGTAATGCTATTGTGTTTCCAGGCAGCCTGCCTGCTAGATGTATCTTCTCATGAGACTCCCACGATACTTATTGCATAAATATCGAAATCGGCTGGGCCTACCGAGGCAAGGGGACGGGCTTTGAGTGGCTACAATATACTACTGTAGTAGTGCTATGGCTAGCTGCCACGCCCTGACTTGACTACTGCAGCAAGCCACGAACCTGTCGATGGCAGTAAAGCAACAGCGCGTGCGGGCCCCCTGACGTCAACGACCCCAGGCCCCACTGTAAATCGCCTCTCCCCATCCCCAGGTTTCGATCTCCCCAGGAAGGACGTAACGACTCCATCTTATGGCATCACTCCTGTCATGCGATGGTAATGAGTGGTAGAGAGCAGCAGAACACCAAACGGAGCAGACGTGGCCGCAGTCGCTGTGTGTAGCGTGGGGCTACGGATTTAATCGGTGAGATTAGTTAGTATGTGTCCTCAATTATAGTAGTAGTGTGATACTACGTAGTATGTCTTCTTGCAGATGTTGGCTTGAGAATTTCGAGAGGGGTGTCAAAACGACAGGGGGCCATTGCCGTGATGGTCCTGTGGAAGATACAATATAGGCCGGCCATAACTATCCTTGTCCCTGCCCCCTGCCCCTACCCCTGTCCTGTGGCGTGCCGTGCAGGTCATTGCTGGAGAACAATTGCTTTTTTTCTACTCTACACCTTCTCGGCTGGGGTTTCCACCCAACGGCCATGCATGCATAAGGTACGCATACAGTGCACCCCTTTGGTGTTCACAAAATATGGCCTATGATGTTGTCGCTTTCATGTGCAGAACTCCGTATTCGGGCAAATTCCCGAGAGTACTAGTCACAGGCTCAGGTACAAATAAGTATCCGTTCAAACGCCTACTGTACATGACGAACAAGTAGCGCGGAGGCCGCGAGGCTTCTCTTGCTCAGCCAAGTCGAACCCTCCCCGCCCAGCCCCGCCCATGTCAGAAAATTATCCACGGCATTTTTACTCTTTGTACTTGATCACACTTTGCATCTAGTTAGTTGTATGTATGCCTGCCATTCATGCCCCTGTGAGAGTGATAGAGCAATCTTATTTGGCACCTGGTCTGCTCTGCTGCGTCTGCGTATGCTGTCCCATCCGTGTTTAGGCTAAAGGGTCGCCTTGTGCTCTTCCGGCAGCAGGCTGGTCGTCTGCCGTGCCTGGAGTAGGCGAGATGATCCAATATCTCGCGATAACTTGTGAAAAGTGGGGGCGGCGAGACGGCACCAATCTATGAGAAGGATTAATGAAGCTTGTACCTTGAGAAAGGGCATTCTCTTTAAAGTTGCTCTTCAGCTTGTCACCCGTGTTTCTCTTGTAACCGATACTCCCAGCGCCGATGATGCGAGGGTTTAGCCTGTCCTGATAGGCTGCTAAAGTGCTCGATTCCCTTCATCCTTGACCCTCCGACATGGGCCAGGAAGCATACCCACTCCTAAATTCACATGATCAGAAGAGGTTGTAGTACTAGGTAATAGTCGCATTGTCCTAGTATTTATACTACTGTGGGGATGTATAGTTGTGGCTTTTGCGGCCTATTCCCGGCTCTCTATCCTATCCGACCAGAAATGTCTTAGGTACAACGCCAGTGACCCAAGCCATAGTTGATGGAGAGATAATTTCCGGCGCTTCAAGGTGTTTTGTGTTCGATGACTCTGGCGGTAAAGAAGGAATGGGATTATGCTTGGCAAGGCTTCATGCCTCGGTGGTGGCAGGTACTATATCAACGTCACTTGATCGATCCGCACCGCTAGCCGACGAGGATGTCTGCCCGTGAAGGTGACATTACACTGTTATCCATGTTTACGATCATGCAAATATTTGTCCTTTTGGCCAGACGATTTGCTCTCACAACCATCCAGAAGGTGGTAGCGCCCCATAATCAATGACGCAACTCATATGGGAGGATGCCGACGACAGAATACTTCTCTTGCAGCCACGAGGCCATGGCACAGGGAGTGCATATATAGATAATAAGCACAAGACCAAGTGTAACAACATTTGTATTTTCATCCATCGTAATAATGGTGTAAGCAGAGTCTATGTCACACGCAAGGGATATCATAACAAATTATAAACGCCGACGACAAAAGACGACCGATTAGTGGGCCATGACCTCGGACTGAGGATGGCCATCGGGGGCATCACCCATGTCGACATCCATCTCGTCTCCGTCGGCGGCGCCCTCCTCGGGAGCACCCTCCTCCTCCTCGTCGTCTTCACTCTCGCCCTCGATGTCGACACTGCCGTCCTCGGACATCTCGTCATCATCGGGGCCCTGCTCTCCCTCGCCGTTGGCGGCGCCGGCCATAGCAGCATCCTCGACATTACCGTTGGCGGCAGAGCTCTCGCCGTTGGCTTCGGCAGCGCCCTCCTCCACAATGTCCTCATCCAGATCAGCCTCGTCTGCACCGTATTCCTCCTCATCTACCTGCAGGTCGGCCTCAGGCTGCTCGGGGGGGAACTCGGCAGGGGCGGTGGCGTCGTTGTCCCTAATGTAACAACAAGGGTCAGTCGAGTTTGCTCAGAGAGTAGGCAAGGGTGAGCGACAACAACAGCGTATGACTGACCACTTGATCGCGAAGCGCGTAACACGGGGCTTCTCCGCGAGAATGTTGCGACGAATCTTCTCGATGATAGGCTTGGCAGGAGGGTCGGCGCTCAGCTCCTCGGTCTCGTATTCATTGTTAACGTAGTAGCCAACGCGCACGAACTCGCGACCATCGTAGGCGCAGGTCAGAAGGACGACGGTGACACCTAGAACCTCGGCGTCGGGAATGCGCTTGGTGTCAGGAGCATCGGCCTCGAATATGAACTTGTTGACGCCAACGGGAATAGGGCCAACCAGGAGAGTGTCGAGCTCCTGGTCGTACTGATCAGAGGTCGCAGAACCGACGTAGGTCAACTTCCACTCGAGATCTATTGTTTGCAGAAATGGTCAGACATGGCCGCAAGACCCAGGGGGAGCATTGCAAAATGATGATGGCTGGCAATGATGGGTGGCTGCTGACCCTTTTCGAGCTGCTCTAAGCACTCGAAGGTGATCTCAAACTGGTAGTTGTCGGTGAACTTGGCGGGGTTGTTGAGGATATTGACCCCAAGCAGCGAAACCACAGACATGATGAGCTGGGGGTTGTTGGCTGTTGACAATCCTTGTCTGTATTATTCAGGAGTCTAATGATGGGGAGACAGGTGTTAGTGCTGTATGAGTTAGTTAGAGTACGATCTGGCAATGTGAGCAGTCAAGAATGAGGCTGTTTATGTGTGGAGGAAAGACTGGGTGAATTGGCTTCGGAAAGTCGAGAGTTGACGACGCGAGAACCGCGTAAATGGGGCACATAACGCGCCAGGTGGGTGGGGGGGGGGGGAAAGCCTAGTGCAGCCTGTACTACAGAACTTTTTGCTAGCAGGCACTGGAATACAGCTGCTAGGGCCTGGACCGAACCAGGGTTCCTGCAGGGATTGGGCCCATGACGGACCAGGGTTAGCGCATTCTACGTCTTTTGCCTGCCGGCCTGCGCCTTAGTCGCCCAAAGAGAGGCCTTGTAATAATTCCTCTGGCATGGCCATTTTCCGACCGTCTCTTTTTCACAGCCGTAACAACCACAAACAACGAATAAACCGGCGAGCAACCGCAAAGTGCTCAGACATCACGACCTTAGCTGTCCTTTCTGGGCAATTAGCCGTCGCAGTACTGCATTTGTTGATTTGAGCTTTGTTCCCCACTCTCCCATCGACTCGTTTTTCCAGGAGTTGTCCACTCTTTTCACAACGTGCTGTTGAATCTTTCCTTCCAGTGCAAGGTGGCGCGCGAAACCATCGCAGACTACATCGTTTGTCGAAGACCGTTATCTGCATCGCTTGTCCTTGATGCACCCCATCTAGAGCCCCCAATCAACGCCTTCTCTGGGCGCATTATCGCGAACGAGAACAACGCGCGTTGCGACAACCCTCAAATCTCCCGATCACCTCGTGCCAACGTACCCCCTTCCTTCCCGCGATCTGTACGTGGCACCATCGCACGCGACAATGGCGGACGAGATCGTCGAGGAGGCCCCGTGGGCGCAAGATGGCGATGAATATCAGGTTGATGGAAACACAGGGGTTATACATAATAGTGACAACGCACAACAAGACATCAACAACCTTTCCTCTTCCGTGGCCCTGCAAACATCTGGTGATTCCGCATCTCCCAATGACGGCGCTTCCGAAGATGTGGGTGATTACGACCCAGAGTCTGTTGACTTGACACCTGTGCCTCAGCAGGAGCAGGTGCAGAGTCGGCAGAGCAGCCTCAAGCCTCTTCCTCAGCCCGCTGCCCAGCCTCTGCCTGTGCCCAAGAAACGCAAGACTGCCGGAGGCTTCCTAGTGGGAGACTCTGACTCGGAGGATGACAACCCTACCTCCAACGGTCTAGCCACTCAGTCGGGGCAGGATACTCAGCCTCTTTCCCAGTCTTCTCCTCCTCAGACATCTGTACCTGTTCATGATGAGGCTCAAGAAGCCGTGTCTAATGTGCCCTCCGCTTCCCAGGCGAACAATGCGCCAGCAGTCTCGGGCGGAACGATTGCTGCAGTGGCGGCTGCAACAGCTGCTACTGAAGCCGCTGCGCCTCAGGCTGGCGATGCTTCTGAGCCCCTACAAGATGTCGTAACTACGCTCGAGGAGCGGATCAAGCAGGACCCACGGGCAGCTATGGACTCCTGGCTGGATCTCATTGCAGAACTTCGTCGACGAAACGACATTGACGCGCTCAGAGGAGTGTATGAACGCTTCTTGGCTGTGTTCCCCCAATCGGTACGTCTGATAGTCCCTCTGGTAAGAAGCTCGAGTGCTGACTAGTCGCAGGCGGATATCTGGACCGCGTATATGGAAATGGAGTTGGGAATGAACAACTTTGGGAAGGCTGAAGAATTGTTCAAGAAGACGTTGACTACCATTCAGAACGTGAATCTCCTGACCGTCTACCTCAATTACATTCGACGACGCAACGACATAAGCGATCCCAGTGGCCGAGCCCGTGACATAATTACACAGTCCTTCGAATTTGTCCTGAGCAACGATGTCATCGGCGTTGACAAGGATTCTGGGCCGATCTGGACGGAATACATCCAGTTCATCAAGACAGGGCCTGGAGTGGTGGGAGATCAGGACTGGGAGAGCAAGAAGAAGATGGATCTGCTGCGCCGGGTCTACCAGCGAGCAATTGCCATACCCACTAGGAATCTCAACACATTATGGCGGGAATACGAACAATTTGAAAACTCGATCGATAGGAAGCTGGGTCGTGCGCTCGTCAGCCAACACTCTCCAAGCTACATGTCCGCCAAAAGCGCCAACATGGCTCTCGACAATATGACCCGCAGACTTCAGCGTGGCAATCTCCCACGCCTCCCTCCAGCGCCAGGTTTCGACGGGGACGAAGAGTACATGGACCAGGTCGAGCTTTGGAAGAAGTGGATCGCCTGGGAAAAGTCGGATCCTCTCGAGCTGAAGGCCGACGAGCCCAACACCCTAAACTGCCGTATACTCTACGTCTATAGACAGGCCCTCATGGCTCTCCGTTTCTGGCCCGAGATGTGGGTCGAGGCAGCTGAGTGGTGCTGGGAGAACGACATAGGGGGTGTTGAGAGCCGAGATCGAGGTCTGGATTTCCTGCTGGAAGGCATTGAAGCCAATCCCGAAAACGTGTTGCTTGCCCTCAAACATGGGGATCGGGTGGAAGGCACGTATCCAGTTGGCGAGGGCGACGCAGCCAAAGTGGACCGCGGAAATGCTGTCAGAGCCCCTTATCTCAAGGTACTTGATACTCTCTATGAGTTGATCAAAAAGTTCAAGGAGGAAGAGAAGGCGGCTATTGACAGGATCAATCAAAATGCTCAATTGGAATCCCAGGCACCCACCGAAGAGGACGACGAGGACGCCTACTCTGGTGATGCAGCCGCGAAGGATGCAGCCAAGCAAGCCCAGATCAAGGCGATACAACAAGGTTACTCCGTAAGAACCAACGGGCTGTCCAAGACCATCTCATACGTATGGATCGCCCTGGCTCGAGCTATGCGCCGTATTCAAGGAACGGGAGCTCCCCAAGTTGCCCTTGGTGGACTGCGTAATGTCTTCTGGGAGGCTCGCCAACGCGGGAAATTGGCCAGCGACGTTTATGTGGCGGTTGCTCTCATGGAATGGAAAGTCTATAGGGATAACGCTGGTGCTAAGATCTTCGAGCGTGGCGCCAAACTCTTCCCTGAGGACGAATACTTCATGGTGGAGTACCTGAAGTTCCTGCACTCCAGAGACGATTTTACCAGTGAGTCCTTCCGCTAGGTGAACAAATTCCGGGGCAGTAGACAACTGACTGGAAAACAGATGCCAGAGTGGTCTTCGAAAACTGCGTCAAGCGTCTGACAGAGAAGCCTAACACGACTCACAAGGCCAAGATGATCTTTTCCTACTTCCACAAGTTCGAGTCGGACTATGGCGACCGCTCCCAGATTGTTAAACTGGAGCAGCGCATGGCCGAGCTGTTCCCTGATGACCCAAAGCTCAAGACATTCGCGGCCCGTTTCTCGTCCCAAAACTTCGACCCTATCGCGGCGCGTATCATCATCTCACCCTCCCAGATGCGCCCAAAGAACATCCTTCCATCTATCGAACAGCGAGCTTCTGTTGTGAACAGCCCTCGGCCGTCGGTTCGACAGGGAAACAGCCCTCGTCCGCAGTTCATGCCTATGACGAACTCGCCAAAGAGACCCCACCCGGCAGATGATTTCGAGGATCTGAACCCCCCTCGGAAGATTCAACGTGGTGAATCACCATTGAAGGGCGCAGCTGGACGACGTCTCGATCAGCAGAGGCGTGTGCAAGCCGCCCCCATTGCTCGAGACATCACATTCTTGTTGGGCTTGCTCCCGCCTTCTTCGTCCTACACGATGCCTCGATTCAAGGCATCCGAGATGGTCCGCCTCGTCAGCAACACCTATGTCCCAGAGGCCAAGGACTGGAAAGGGCCAGACAAAGGCGGTCGCGGTGATTTCAGCCGTCTGCAGGTCGCGACGCACACCCGGCAGGCTTCGTCCGATCGCTCCCAGTACCCCTACTCGCGCGATTCACCTATCACGGGTCGAACCCAGAGTCCTTTCGATATGAGCCGCGGTCGTATTGCTACGGCTGCTAGCACCTACCAGCAATCATCTCTGCGGCCTGGATCCAGCTCCGGTTATGAGCAGCCTCTCGTTTCGTATCGTCAGGACCCACCACCTCCGATGGCCTACCCACAAGCCGTACCTACTCCTGACGCGAATGGAGCTTGGCCGCCCCCGCAGCCATCAATGTATGGCGGGCCCCCTCCGAGCGACTATACAATCCCATCGCCCTACGGTCAGGCACCTCCACCCCAGCAACCACCTTATAGCCGATATTACTAAGGCACGCCAGACAACGCTTCGTAGCGCAAAAGAAAGAAAGAAGAAAAAATAATAATTTTTGGCTGGGGATCCAGAGTATGGATCCTGGCACCTCGATTCTGGAGACACGCCACTGGATCTTGACAACGGTTCCACTCACATGTATACGCGATTACAAACATTCCACTTCCTGCATGGGCCCAAGGTATCTGCCATTTCTAAGGCGATTGGGCAAATTGAACACTGACATTGGGATTTTGGTTGCATGACAAGCAGATGAAGAAGGGCAGATTTTCCATGGTTGTCGCGGCAGGTGTCCTGCGCCGATGTACTGGGTGTTACGAGGTGGTCGTACAGACAAGTAGCCAAACCCAGATCACATATTATGAAACTTGCACTCGAATTTGAAAGCTGGTAGCCTGGAATTGCCGTGATATGGTGAATAATTGCCTTTCCTACTGCTCAAGTATGTATGAAGTTGTGACACACAGAGCCTTCGCCCCTGATGCGTTGACTATGTTCAAAAGAAGGATCGGCGTTCCTCACTTATAGTGAGTGCATGGCCCCCACATTGAACAGTCCAGCATTCCTCGCTTCGAACACTTCAGTGTCTGTCTCCCAACGAGAAGTGAAGCTGATCCATTGTACCGTCCAGCAACATGTCTCTGATTGCCTACCCCCACCATCCTACGTCTCGCGGCCCTTGTGTTGGCAACGACTGCAACACCGGATCCAGAATGTCGGCGAGATCTTGGTCGGAAAGTTCAGACTGAATGCTCAGCCCAGGCGTGGCGTTCCACCTCAGGCCTGGCTTCCCGAGCAGGCCTCTCTCGCAGTGAGCCAGCACCGTCTCGAGCCCGTCCCCGTGCAGACCAGGCCGGTACAGAATCTCAAACTCGGGCTCGACCCAGCTCGGCTCGTCGGCCTTCCTCTCCAACGACCAGTACCTGAACATCCAGAGCGCGTGCAGCAGGTCGAGCTCGGGGCACATGATGGGCTTCACAGGCGCCTTGACGGTGAACTTGCGGAGGAGTGGTGCCCGGCTGTAGAGGGCGTGCAGCTTCGTGCCGTGGCCTCCGTACACGTTCAGGTTATTCTTGCTCACCTCGATGACAATCTCCGAGAGGTAGCCCACTTGTACGTTCTGGACAAAAGTGCTAATCGACACTACAGGCAAGGGATCCGGGTTGACGGTCAGGACGGTCGGCCACCTGGTGAGCACGCCCCCGTCAGAGTGATCCTTGAAAGCCCGCTGGAAGAACCGCCGCGTGGCCCTGTAGGCCTCACGGTTCACGAGCAGGATCTGTGGCACGTTGGCGTCCGCGCGGAACGAGAGGCTCTGCTGGGGCGGTCTGTCGCGAGGCGGATCTCGCAGGACGACATCAGTCGGATCGGGGTCCGTGGCTGCCTGCTCCCAGATCTGCAGGCGGATCTCCAGGGGGAGCAGCGAGAAGGGGTGGAAGATGGGGCTGGCGTCTAACCAGGCTTGGCGCTCACGCCGCCACTTTGCCCTGGCGGCGGCCTTGCGGGCCTTGTACTCGTCTGCGTTGCGGCTGATCTGCCAGAGGCGGAGGTCGTAGGCTGCGGCGCGCTCGGCGGCAACACGGGGGAGCACGTTGGGAGGGGTCCAGCAGGTGTAGTTTGGGGAGAGAGGCGCGCGGCCGAGGGTCCCGTCTGGCTTGCGGATGTAGGTGGCGGTTGGTCCGTTTCTCTTGAGGGACCATGTCTTCTCGACGAAGGGGTTGGAGCTGGGGCAACATTTTGTGTGTGAGCGGAGGCTTCTCGTGCAAAGACTCGTGGCTGGTCGGTCGGGAGGAATGGTCTCAAACAAACCGTGGTTCAAACATATTGTTAGTCATGCCAAGATCTGTGGTCTCTTTTGAGGCCTTCTCGCCTGTGAACTGTTACAGTATTCATTTGGCTGCACTGCGCTGATTTTTTGGGAAGTCCGGTCGGGATGACAACATTGAAGGGTACTGGTGTTTTCGCCGCCCAGAGGGAGAGAACTTTATACCCCAAAGGGCGGAAGAAAACAAACAGGATGAGACATAAGAGGGGGCCCAGGGTATTTATTGTGCTGCCTACAGTGGTCCTTCTCGAACAGCGGGACCTGTCCGCCCACAATCCAATCCCAATCCACGTATTTCACGCGCCTAGCCGCACAGCTGATGATCCCTGTCTCGTGTGCAGGACATTCGGCCATGCACCTCTGCTGCTGCTCATATGCTGCGTAAACTTTGTTCCAGGCCCGCCCACAACATTTTCTTTTCTGAGCTGTTGCCTAAGAAGGGTCAGCAGATCTGCAAGGTGCTGCAAGTAAATAAACTCCGCCGTGATCGAGCTCCTAAAATGAATCTGGAAGCACCACTTCTGCATGTGTCTCGTATGTGACAAAGGCCACCCTTACTTCTATTAGCGTATGCTGTGGCTGGCTGCTGGCACGACAACGGTTCGGACGGTGACCTGTTTGGAAAGATGACTTGTCTTGTCTCTGGACTTGGTTCCTTTTTTTCTTTTTTCCTCTCTCTTCCATGCTGAGACATGTCCTATTATTATTGATCGGCCTGACGCCTTTCTTGGGCTATTCGTCTCTTCATTCTCGTCTTCAACAACACCTCCGCTCCGACTCTGGCGGTTCAGCCTCGTCCGCAGCCTCGTCCAAGCGGGGCCGCGGGGCCTCGAGACATCTTTCAATGTAGAGCATCCCACAGTATTACCAGCTTGTTGGTCCACCATCCACGCATTCCTTGTTTAATCATGTCTTTAGAGACATTCACCTCCTGCCTTTTCTACCTCGCATCGTCGAGACATTACCCTCCCTCAATACAGGAACTTCTGGCTTTCTGCTTTGTCGCCGCTGCCAGAGCTTTCTTGCAGAATTTTCATGTCTAGCACACCAAGCAGCGCCTACCAGCCAGGTATCAACACTGTTGATGTTTTCCCCCTCTTGGGCTGCAATCATCGTTGTTCTTCTTGAAAGCACATTCGACGAATGCCTAAGCCTGATGTGCGCTATTCCTTGCTGCAAAGATAACATAGCTGTCCATCGGGCTCACTTCTTGATGACCCATGTGCCAACTTGTCTGATTTTATTATTGATTCGATTTTAGCACGTTGGTTTCGGTGGTCACGGGTCTGCAGAGCCTGCGTCAGCCTCGTGTGTGCTCGGTTGGCCCGTTCAACAAGGCAGGAGAATCTCTAGAAGCTTACCTGGGAGACGACAACCGGAATCTCCAGTAGGAGCGGAGGAGGTCTGTCATCGATGTGCCCTCAAACATCCTGATGATCTCGTCGCCTCTCAACACTGACTTAAATGCTGGTTGGGTGGGAAGGTCGACCACCAAGAGAGCTGGTAAAACGATAGTTCACTTTCCACAATGTGACCATTTCATGAATGCATTTCTGGCACTATCTATGCAGGGTTATAAGACAGTAGATTTTCAAGGGTGTTACAGGTTCATTGTGCAAATAAGGTGTCAGGTGCAGCAGATTGATGAAGATCATCTGGGCCTGAGTATATGGGTAAACTAATGCGGGCGACGAAGTCTAGGCTAGCGATGCCGTCAAAGCAGCAAAACAAATATTTAGTAGTCTCCAGAACTGTGAGGTCTCTGTTTTGCCTTCTTTGCAATCTTCGCGAGTCTTAGATTTTGCAGCTCATAGCTGCTCCTTGTAATTACACCCTCATACTCCAACCTTGTCTATCTTCCAAGGCCCGAGCATCTGCTGTCCCTTCACATATCTATACTCATCCAGAGCCACCAGCGCTGGTAAAATCGGGGCCAGATCTACACAGAAGATCCTTCAAAGTTCCCTAACTATCCAGACTCCCCTCTTCCAGCTCACCCTGAGCCAACTAATTCAATGATTCACTCCTCTCTTGCCTTTCGCGGTATCTGGATGTTGAGGAATCCCAACAATGATACAGCATTTGTATGTCCATCCTTCACATGAAGAATAGGCTTGCAGGGACACTTGAGTGGATTCTCTATTCTTGAGTCCTAAAGAAAATAGAACAATGGAGTCTCACAGCCTTGATTAAGTAGGTTGTCCTGAGGATGTTGATTCGTACATGCTTTACCGTCCTCCTACCGTAGTCTGCCCTCCACAATAGAGAGCTTCGGCACGGAAGATTAGATTGAGGAGGTGTGATGAACAGTTTCCTCAACACAAGTCACTGTTTTGTGAATTCATAGCAAGTCTCGTGATCCCTTGCTCACCACAATATCCCTTCTTACTCTCTCTCATAGAAAGCACTGTCCCGTCCAGAGTCTTCCAGCAACCCAACAGATAGAGAGTCAGAGCCTTTCAATCACCCTTGAATTGGACCCACTGCCTTCACTTGAGCATTGTGATCTATCGTTCATCGAAGAGAGCATTGCTATTTAATGCTGCCTCCCAAGAGCCTCTGAATCAGCCCGCACCTTGCCTCTCTTTTTCTTCCACAACCACCCCTTGAAGTACCCATACCCATCCATACTGGGCTCCTTTTGTCCCCCTCCTCTGTCTTTCCAATCTTAACTGAACGGAACAGCCGCCTCCCACCCGTCTACTCAACTTGAAAGAAACCACCATCCAGCCTCTTGTCTTCTCTCTACACCAGCCTTGAGAACATCGCTACGGTTCGCCTTGACGCAGCAGCTTGGACCCTCAAACGCAAGCATCAACCCCACAGCAGGTACGTTTCTCCCAGAGTAAGGCCATATCCCAGATCCGGCGTGGTACCTCAGCAGCCTGCCTCACCAGACCCTTCTCTTTCATCTTCAGCCCCCGCCTCATTAAGTCGAAAACAACACGCCCGGTCCCCAAGATACCCTCTGCCCCGGTAGTCGCACACTCTCGTGTTTTTCAGCACATGACCAATAGCCTTCCAATTAGCTCACACGCACACGATTTATTTTCTTCCGTCCTCTGATCCCCACACAGAATCGTCAAGGTCGATCCCGTCTCGACTGTTCTTTCCTCCCCGAGCCTCAACAGCTTCCGTCTGGTGCCTTCCCACGTACCTCACACCTTCCCTCCTTTCTCAACACGCTTAACTTTGCCTCGAGGAACGGTGACTACCATCTTTTCCTGGGTACCTTCAGACAGTTCATCGAATTTTCTCTTCACCTGCCCATTGTTGACAATCAATCCCACCTCTCTTTACCCTTCCCCATCCATCTACACAGCCCATTCATCCCAGGCAGCCATTGTTGACCAACAAATCCAAGCCATCTACAGAGTCACTGGTGATTCAGTCAATACCAGCACAGGCACAGGTATGTTTCTAGCATCTTCCCCAATCTGCGCAGACTTTCCTTGGATGCCTTTATCATAATGCTCAGCTGCCCAGGTGGACTTGATCCTACCAGTTTCCAGCATCTACCTACTCCATCCTCTGATTGTAATGATTTCTTGACGAGTCCACCTCCATATCAATGCCCCTTGCAACTCGCCAGCTTGCTGACAGCGTCCAGACAACACAACACACACAGAACTTGGAGAACACTTTTCTCATCAATTAAAGTAAGTCAACATTCTTTTCTATACTCATCCTAATGTTTTCCGATTTTTCCTCCCATATTCATCTTCTGCACCAAAAAGTCTCAGGCTAGTCTGGAGCCATAGCCACCAGATTGATCCTGCCTGACCAGTCTTCCTCCTTCTCGCACCTTCTCTTCAGCTTCACCTAGCGGAATCAACTGCTATGTGGTGCACCACATATCCTTCTTTCCTCCCATCTTTTTCAATCGACCCCACATTTTTCAGCAGCGTCTTTCCAGACTGTAGTTTCATTTCTCCCTTTCTCTCTGTTACACACACACACACACACACACAAAATCGCGTTTCCCTTTCTACCTCATCAGCAAGCCCGTCCAGAGTAAAATCATCTTCCCTCTTGACACTGGTAAGCTTGAAGCTTGACCTTTCTCCTTTACTGCACTCTCAGCCAGATTTACTCAGCACCTCAGCCCTTCCCAATAACCTGATCAGATCTTCCATGAAAGTCCCTCCATCTGGTCAAGGCTTAGCTGGGATGCAAGGCACTTCGACGTTCCCACACTTCCAAAGAGACATCACACACCTGCACAAACAATTGCCAACCCACAAGCCGAAACAAACACCAACAGTGTTTGTTTCTATGTCTTGGGCCATCCCCTTGCAATACTTGATCAGGATCGAAACCAAGTCTGCCTCGTCTTGTCCCTGCCCTGCCCTCTCTTCTTCTCTCAGACTCATCCCGACCCACAAAGCCCTTCAGCATCGCAACGTTGAGGCGGCAGCTTTCTGAGACACGAAGAGGCCTGTAATCCACTAACATCATTCCCAGACACTACAGGCAACAGCCAAAATGTCTCGTTACTTGAGTGCCCCGTCTTTCGACGGTCCTTCTGATACCCGTTCTCGCAGCGGCTCTCAGCGCTCCACAGGCTCGCAATCTCAGCAGTCTCCTCCTCGTGGTGGAGGTTCCCAGGCCAGTGGCAGCACACGACCGCCTAGCAATGCAGGAGCTTCTTCTGGACCTATGGGTTACCCTCCTGCTCTCGGATATGACCCTGCCCGCGACGAGCCCGAGCTCTCGACTGCGGAGCAGCACCGTCTGCGTGTTAACAAGCGAGTTGATCTTCCTCCTGAGGCTTTCCCTCACGTAAGTTCCCAGGTTCATTCAGTATCGATGGCGCAGTCTGACTAACTTTCCTTCTTCTTGCTTCTCCAGTCTGGTGAGATGCACCCTTTTGCGCAGCGACCCCAGCTAGGTACCCTAGGCAAGAAAGTCCAATTGCGTGTGAACCAGTTCCGGCTGGTAGGCGTGCCAGCCTTCGACATCTATCAATACGATGTAAGTTGAAGCCATTCTGGTGTCAGTCTGTATGTAGGTTTCGGAGTCCTAACCTCCCCCTTTAGGTGTCCGTCACGCCGGAGCCCAAGAAGGCAGCCTTTTGTAACGCCGTGTGGAACACTCGACTTGCTCAGGAGCACATTCGGAAGGCGGGCCCTCATCCCTGGATCTTTGACGGCCAGAAGATTGCGTGGTCGCGCAACCCTTCTCCAGAGATCCGAATCCAGATCAACATGGATGAGGAGCGCGGCCGGGCCCCAAAGGCTGGCCGGACCCCAGATGTGGTCTACCTTGTCGTCAAGCGTACGACCACGGTGCGTCTGGACGCCCTTCGTGCCTATCTCAAGGGACAGATGGGCTGGGATGACCACGTTCTGGAGTGCCTGAACTTCCTGGATCACCTTTTCCGCGAGTGGCCCCGCCAGAACCTGGTTGCCATAAAGCGAAACTTCTACTCCGACGATGCCCCCGAGCGATACCTATTAGACGATACTCACCGGCATATTGAAGCAATAAAGGGTATATATGCCTCCATCCGTACTAACTCGTCCATCAGATCCGGAGGAATGGGCCTGGGTATCAACGTCGACGTTGCCAATACTGCCTTCTGGAGTGGCGGCGCAACTTTCCTCGAGCTTTGCACGGCATACCTGAGATCTTCCCGCCGCGAGTACATCCAGCTGCGCGATTACGATCTCGGCAAAGCCCTGGCGCCGGTGGAGTACCCCAACGGTCAGCTCGGCCAGTCGCCCATGTGGAAGATGCTTCGGCGCATGTCGAAGCTGTCATTCTCTGTCAAACACCGTGGCAAGATGAACGACGTCAAGCCGTATAAGATCAAGGGCTTCGTTTGGGATCTGAAGAAGTTCCCGCAGGGCGCGAATGCCCGCAACTACAAGTTTGAGAAGGACGGACAGTCAATCTCCGTTGAAGAGTACTTCCGGCAGCGCTACGATATCAAGCTCAAGGCCTGGTACATGCCGCTAATCGAGACCACCCGTGACGGGGTTTTCCCCATGGAAACCATTACCATTGACAAGTTCCAACGATATAACTTCAAGCTTGATGGCGAGCAGACGTCCAAGATGATCAAGTTCGCAGTTACCAAGCCTCCTGTGCGCCAGTCTGGTGTTATGAACTGCGTCAAGACTCTCCGGTGGCGCGAAGACCCGTATCTCAAATCCTTTGGTATCCAGATCAAGGGTGAGATGGAAGCCATCGAGGCGCGGGTATTGCCAAACCCGGTGATTCAGTTTGCCAAGTCGTCAACGGATCCCTCCACATCTGGACGCTGGGACTTGCGAAATCAGATCTTCACGATGCCCAACCCGCGCCCGCTCAATGCCTGGGCTGTGGTCATCGTGAATAACTGCGTTCAGGAGCCGAGCGTTAAGAATTTCATCAGCACGTTTGTGAAAGTTTATCGCGGTCACGGTGGCAAGGTCACAACCCCCTTTCCTCCTATTAAGCCTCTGAAGTTGGTTCGCACTGAGGAGACAGGCAACATGATGGTGGATATCTACAACTCGGTCGGACGCCAGTTCCAGCAGTCCCCGGATCTGATCTTCTACATTATGCCGAGCAAGGACATTGTTGCCTACGAGCGGCTCAAGAAGAGCATGGATGTTCGTGTTGGGACTCTATCTCAGATCGTGCTGGCGCCACACGTGATGAAGGCGGCTCCGCAGTACTGCTCGAATGTGGCGACCAAGGTCAATGCCAAACTTGGTGGCTACACCTCGAAGCTGAAGGAGGGCGGGTTTTTCAAGGTCCCCACTATGATCCTCGGCGCCGATATTTCCCACGGTTCATTCGGCCAGACGGGTAATCTGCAAGCATCCCTGGCCGCCATCACCATGTCTATGGATCCAGACGCCATCACGTATGCGGCCGGCTGTGAGACGAATGGCTACCGGGTTGAGATCATGACCAAGGATACTGTTCGGCGAATCCTGCCACCCATGGTAACCCGCTGGTGCCAAAAGATGCGGACTGCCCCGCAGCATGTCTTCTACTTCCGTGATGGCGTGTCGGAAGGCGAGTTTCAACAGGTCCTCGACTACGAGATCCAGGAGGTCCGTAGTATCCTGCAGGAGGTTGGTCAGCGGAACCCCAAGATCACAGTGATCGTGGGTACAAAGCGGCACCACATCCGATTTTTCCCCATCAAAGGCAGCGACGGTGACCGTAATGGTAACCCTTTCCCCGGCACAGTGGTCGAGCGCGAGGTTACCCACCCCTTTCACTACGACTTCTACCTCAACTCCCACGTCGCCATTCAGGGTACCGCCCGGCCCGTTCACTATCAAGTTCTTGTCGACGAGGTTGGCATGCCTGTCGACGCACTGCAGCGCATGATCTACCATCAGTGCTACCAGTACGTCCGCTCGACCACACCAGTCTCTCTTCACCCCGCAATCTACTACGCCCATCTGGCCGCCGCCCGCGGTCGGGCTCACGAGGACATCGACGCGTCAGAGAAGGATCCTCAGAACAGACTGGAGGAGATGCGTCTGCCGCTCGCGAAGCACGACAACAAGTCTGTTAACAGCAGCAAGAAACTCGAGAAAGCCCCATACCTTATGGAAATCGGTGCCGACAAGAAGCTTGCCCGGGCCGACAACATCAACTTCTTCAAGGGCACCATGTGGTTTGTCTGAGACCACCGGCCAGCGAATGGTGGCCTTCAGCTCAAACTCCACACCGCACGGTCACTTTGGGGTGCGCTTTGGAGTTTTTATGTCAGTCAAGGTCGAAGTCTTTCTTTCACTTGTTTTTGTTTTCTTTGGCAGGGGGAATGCGATGGCAGGACGCGAACAATGCGAGCTTCACGGTTACTAGTGACAGCATTGCCATGACATCGCAATGAAGATACTCGATAGGCGTTGAAGTAATCGTGAAGCCTTGTAAAAGGTTCCAGTGCCTTTTTAGAGGATGATCATAGGCAGACAGCATAGAATTGATACGCAATTTTTTGAAACCCATGGCACAACATAAATAAGCCGGACGAAAAGGGCAGTGCGTTCACTAGCTTGGTTCTATGGGCAGTATTTCAGTCTATAAGTAGAGTGCTTACGAGCACGGAAGGATTTTTAAAGGTCATACTGATTCCATTGGGTCACAGAAACATGAGAAGCTGCGCTCCGAAGACGCATCTTTGAGCCCGTCACGCTATGTTGCACATCTTCCTCGCATGGCTGCAAGAGGGGCCGGACATGGAGGAACAGGAATGAAAAAGCCGATATGACTAGCCTGGCTCAACCAAATTGAGGTTCAAGGTCAAGAAGCCGTATCCACCAAACAAACTTCTGGAACGATGTCTGTCTACAGATAAGATCTTAATGGGGACCGGGGTGGGGGGGAGGGAAAGAGATGCAACAGATTCACAAGGCAGCAGGGTATATACGCATATTCATAGCTGGATACCTAACATACTCTGTTTACAAGTCATCGGAAGGTAGAGACGTGGCGGTGAGAGAAAGAAAAGAAGATGGCAATAGGTAACGGCGGATGCAGTGACAAGTACAGGCGGCTTTCAGCATTGATGAGGTAGGTAAGGGCATACGGATAGAATGAATTATTCTGTCATCCGTAAGTGAGTAATTCACGACCATGGATGGACTTTTCGACAGCCACCGCCTTATTACCATACGACAGGACGGATAATCACGAAGGGGATGAGAAGGAAGGGGGGGGGGGAGATACCGTTGTGGGAGCCGAAAGACAAGTTCGTCAAGACGATAGCTGAGGCGGGTGGATATTGACAGTGGACCTTCAGGCATCTTTCTAATCCATGGCGATAGTCACAGCCTCGATCGTGGCTGTCCAGCAACGAGATCTTCACTCGAATCCCACCCGCCAAAACGGCCAGGCCCGGGGGCCAGGGGGGGGGGAGGGCATCAATCATAGAGTAACAACCAATCAAATCCCGGCACGAGACTGAAAAGGGAAAGGGGGGTGTGTGTGCAGGACGGCGGCCGCGTCAGGCATCAAAATCCACGCATGAGGCAACTAAATTTTCCGCCCCTCTGCCCGTCTCAGGCACCTATTTCCTCGCTGACCCACCAGGCCAGCGATGGATGCGAGGCTGATAGATGACGGCTGCTTCCTACGGGGAAAGCTTATTGTCATGCACGCCCTAGATCTGCAACAAGATGAGATTTGGGATTGATTTTCCCGCGCGGGCCCTGGTGAGACGCCTAGTGTCAGCTGGGGATGGGTCCTTGCGGGTGACTGCGCCCACCACGCAATGCGAGCTAAACGAGAAGGTCGCGACGAGCACGAGAACGAATGATATTGGATAGATTCCAATTCAGTGATGAGATTGGGACTGTGGTGGGATGGGATTCGATGGAGGCCCCAACGGTGTCGACCATGTTTGGAGCCTGAAGAGCGCAAGTATAAAGAAACTGAGATGGTCTCGTGTAATCAGAGCCTGGAGGAAAGTCTTTCTGCATAACCCTTCTTCTTCCTCCTCCTCCTTCTTCCTCTCCATCCTTCAAGACAGACAGATACGGCATCTGACTACATCAACGCATCTCCCTCCCAAACGTCAGCAACGGCCAACATGACGAGTTCAGTTGTGGGATACGCAGCCGCTGTGCTGACCATTTACCTCGTTCTTCTGGGCCCAGCAATCTACTGCTTTGCCAGGCACGGCGTCAAGCACCAGATCTGGGTCGGCTGGCTCTACTTTATCCTCTTCTGTCTTTTGCGCATCATCGGCAGCGCGATGGAGATTTCGAGTCCTGATAGTATCGCCGCGGCCATCATTAGCAGTGTTGGTCTGTCGCCATTGACCATTTCTCTATTTGGCATACTGCACGAGGCGTAAGTTTTCTGTCTTTTTTTTCTTCTTGCTTTCTTCTCTTTCTCTCTCTTCCACTTCTCCTTCTCCCTCTCCCCAAAGAAATTCACAATGGCCCCCAATTTTCGACCTGATCAATTCACAATTCCCTCACTAAACTATACTTTTCAATGAACCGTACAGCCGCTTCTACCTCCTCTCCCTCCACGACGCCCCCGAGGCTAGAAAAATCGAGAACATTATCGTCCTGTTCTTCCACATCACGGTTGTCACCGCTGTTGCCCTCATCGCAACTGGTGCCTCGGGCCTCAGCTCCGCCGCCGCCCGCGCCGACCCCACCAAGCTCGCCAAGGACTGGAAACTCGCCGGCGCGGGCGGCGTCATCCTCCTCCTGACCGTCGCTGCGGTTGCCGCGGGCGCCATCTTCACCATTCTCACCACCTCCTCCGGCACAACCGGCAGCGGGAGGCAGCAGCAGCAGCAGCAGCAGCAGCAGGCCCGCCGGCTAGCACTGGCCATCGCGGTCGCGGCGCCTGTGTTGTCAGTGCGGCTGATTGGGACCGTGGTGTATTACTTTGGGAAGAACACGGATATGAACCCGGTCACTGGGCTGCTTGGGGTCAAGGTTGGGTTATATCTGGTGCCGGAGGTCATTACGGCTGTGCTGGTGCTGGCCGGCGGGCTGGCGAGCAGGAGTGTGAAGGTGAGGGCTGCGGAGGGGGAGCCGTATAAGATGGGCGGCCGGAGCAGGTATTAGTTGGACAGATAACAACAGGCCTTTGGCTGTTGTTTGTTTCTCCTGTTGTTTTGTGTCTTTTTGTGTTTTCCAACCACACGTTCTGTTTTCATACGTCGTTTGCAAAGATTGGGTGGGATGTGGATGGGGAATATGGTCAACGATACCTTTGGATAGCAACTTGAGTTTGGGAGCTACGGTCAAGTAGCTATGGGACAGGTCGCGTACATCCTGATTTGTTTTCAGAGGGATTGATGCAATTTGGGCAGGTTTCTTTTGATAGACAAGAGTTAAATGAAAGTAGAAGGAGTTCTGGTTTTTCTTGTTGACCAAGTTCTGTCCTCCTTCTTGAATGACATTGGAGCAAAGCCAGAAACCACGTCAATCTCTAGTTAAGAGATCATACAAATAATTACCTGATGATAATGATTATGATGACGATGACAATCAACTGGTTGCGTCTAGCACTGAAGTTTTCAGCAGATAGGGAGGAGGGATTTCTTGTCACAATTACTCGCAACCACTATGTTACTCCAATACTTGCCCAATAGTAGTAAACACCAAAATTGTCAGCGTCATCCAATGCTGGGCGAGTAAGGCTGTGTAACATGGTGCCAAGCAACCATCAGCAGAACCCCGCATTATTGCTCCCACACGGAATCGACTGTACACGCGCTTGTCCCCATCAAATGGGGACCCGAGGCTTGCCCAGAGATTCTTGACGAGCTGAGAGGGGAACCTTAATACATGGGCTTATGGACTAGAATTACGATTTACCCCGCGCGTCGGAAGGAGATGCTTGGCTTGTTAGCCAGCTTTCCATGGCGTGTGTGTGGCCCAAGAGATTTCGATGAACTGAACCGAGGTCAGAGGGTGCTGTTCCCTTGACCTACAACACAGTCTTGTCCTTCCTACATTAATAATTCAATGGGTTGACTCAAGGTTCTCAAAGCACGGCTGACGCTTTTTCTCGTTCATCCTTTACTCATATTATTACTCAAGAGCACCGTCTGTCGAGGTCATCAAGTGACAAACAAGTTGGGACAAGATGGACGACAAAGGCGAGAATCAGTCTGCAGACCAGATCGAAGACGCTGCCCAGCGCATCGACTCGAGGGTCTCGAAGCCAGAGGACCTACAGCCGCGGTCCCTGGAGGAGGAGAAGCGCATTCTCAAGTCCATCGACCGACGCCTGGTCACCACGCTGGGTGTCATGTACTGCGTGTCGCTGATGGACAGGACTAACCTGGGGGCTGCGAGCATCGCTGGCATGAGTACTGAGCTGGTGCTCATAGGAGAACGATATGTAAGTGTTGCATTTCGCACATTCTCCCTCTTGTGCATGTTACCGCTCTGGTGAAAAGGATAAGGAAGCGAAGGGTCGTTACAGATGGTACAGGTGGAAGAGAAAAAAGAAACATGGAACAAAAGAACAAAGGAAATGACTGACCTCGATAATTTATTTTGGACCAGTCTATTATTACCCTTGTCTTTTTCGTCACCTATGTCATCTTTCAACCACCTTCGACCATCATGGTGCGCGCCCTGGGCCCGAGAATCCACCTGTCGGTCATTACGCTGCTGTGGGGAGCCTGCATGATCGGGATGGGCTTCGTTAGAAACTGGCAGACAATGGCTGGTCTAAGGGTCATCCTGGGTGTTCTTGAGGCCGGCTTCTTTCCAAGCTGCGTCTACCTGCTGAGCACCTGGTATACAAGGTGTGAGTGATGCTCTCTCTCTCTCTTTCTCTCCTTCTATCTCTACCCACACACACACACGGCTGACGACGAGGATCATGACGAGGGTTGAAAAACAACAGATGAGATGGGCAAACGCTACTCTGTCTTTTACCTCCTAGGCTGCGTAGCCTCAGCCTTCTCAGGCATCCTAGCCTTCGGCCTCATGCAAATGAACGGCCTCGCCAACCTCACCGGCTGGCGCTGGATCTTCGTCATCGAGGGCATCCTGACCTGCCTGCTGGGCATCGCAGGCTACTGGCTCGTCATCGACTTCCCCGACTCGTCCCGCCCCTCGTGGCGCTTCCTGACAAGCCAGGACCGCGCCTGGGTCGTGTCCCGCGTCGACGCCGACCGGGGCGACGCCAAGGTGCAGGCGTTCTCGCCGGCGCTGTTCTTCCGCGCCGGGCTCGACTGGAAGATCTGGTGTTTTGCGCTCATCTTCTTCAACACCACGACCGTCACCTACGCGCTGGCGTATTTCCTGCCCGTCATCCTGAACGAGAGCCTCGGGTTCTCGGTCGGCGCGTCGCAGTGCCTCGTCGCCCCGCCGTATGTGCTCGCCGGCGGCGTCATGTTCGGCACGGCCTGGCTGGGCGATAGGTATCGGCTGCGCGGGGTCCCGATCCTTATTAATATGACGCTGTGTGTTGTGGGCTTGCCCATCATGGGATTCCACAAGAACCCTGCTGTGCGGTACTTTGGGGTCTTTCTAGTCACGGCGGGGGCCAACTCGAATGTGCCTGCTGCCATGAGCTACCAGGCGAACAACATCCGTGGCCAGTGGAAGAGGGCCTTTTGCAGCGCCACGCTGGTGGGGTTTGGCGGGATTGGTGGTATCTGTGGCAGTCTGGTCTTTAGGTGAGTTTTATCAGTTTTTGTTTTTATCTCTTCGAGGGGATGCATCTAGGCTGTTCTTTTTCTCTTTGATCAAAGCCTTTCTCTGAAATGGAACACTAATTTGGTTGCTCACCCGGACAACAGAGAACAAGATAAGCCTACCTATAGGCCTGGGCTGTATGCCTGTATCGCATGCTCGCTGCTTAACATTGTTCTGGTGTGTGTTCTCACGGTGTACTTTAGGATCGAGAATGGGCGGGCAAGCCGTGGTGAGAAGGAGCTGGAGACGGATGACGAGGATTATCAGCCTGGATTTAGATATACGTACTGATTAAGTGAGGAGGTTTTGTGGTATAACATACGTGGTGGGAGATGGGGTGATTATTCATCCATGCCTCTTGGGCAACTATTTGGAATCACGCGTGACTATTGTATGGATTAAGTAGACTATCAAACATATACGAAGGATTGTAAGCTTCAATCTTGAACTTACTGTAAACACGTCTCAAAGATCGGCGTGAAAGAAGACGGCGTTGGGAATAGTTATGAATTCATCGATGACATTGACACTCCGATGATGTACAATCATTCACAAATTACTAGAGCACTTATTCTACAGCAGAAAGACACTTTCAACACACTTCAAATTTCCCCCCTAAGATGGTGAAGTGTTTCGGGCATCTCCAACCGAGTGCAGAGATAAGGTGCGGGCGGATCGGCACGTTGGCCGGCGACGGCGATGTCGGACAATTGACAACAAGCGAAACCGGGATGCTGCAGTGGTCTTGTCAGCTACCATGCATGATGTATTATTTCTCATCACTATTTGCTGCAGTACTTGTCAGTATGCAAGCATACAGATGCGGAGGTGTTGCAGGAGGATTCTGTCCCTCTTTTCATCCATGCTCCTCTTTCAATTTCCAATTGTCTATTTCATCATTCTCATATGCCCTTTCCCTTGGCTTCGTTAAAGTTCACTTTTATTTATTATTTCGTATTCATTCAGACGATAGGAGACATTTTGTAAAGGACAACCACTGATTAATTCCCAACATGCTCAATATGCTCAGATTTCTAGCCGCCTTGGTGGCGATCCAAACAACAATAACTATAACAACTGCCGCCAGTTTTCAAAATGAAGAGCAGAAGCCCATAGCCGACCCCTTGGCGGAAGAGTTTGATGACTCGTTCTGGACGTCATCACCCTTTTACGAGCATGCTCTCTCGCTCATGAAGGAGAGTCCCCTCATCGACACTCACATTGACCTTCCACAGGTCATCAGATCTCTTGGTACGTCAGCCTGGACAAACAGATAGACATGACACCGCTCTCTTGTTCACACAATTAACATACTTCTCGTCCCAGACCGCCACCCGTCCTCTATCCTCCCAGACCTGGCCACGCACGTCCCAGGCCACATAGACATCCCGCGCCTCCGTCAAGGCCACCTGGGCGCGGCCTTCTGGACCGTCTGGGCGCCCTGTCCCGACTTCCTAGGCATCGACGTAGGCGAGGACTACACCCTCCCCAACGACGGCCTCCGCGACGCCCTCGAGATCCTGGACCTCACCAACCAGATGATCGCCGCGCACCCCGACCACCTCCGCCCAGCCCGCACCTCGGCCGACATCCAATCCGCCTTCGCCGCCGGCAGAGTCGCCAGCCTGCTCGGCATGGAGGGCACGCACTTCCTGGGCAACTCGCTCGCCACGCTGCGCCTGTTTGCCCAGCTGGGCGTCCGCTATGTCAGCCTGACCCACATGTGCCACAGCGCCTTTGCCTCGTCCGCCGGGTTCGGGAAGCCTCTCCCGCCCTCCGGCCACGGCCCCACCAAGAACGGCCTGTCCCCGCTCGGGCGCGCCCTGGTCGCCGAGCTGAACCGCCTGGGCGTGCTGGTCGACCTCTCCCACAGCAGCGACGACACCGCCCGCGAGGCCATCGCGCTGTCGCGTGCCCCTGTCGTCTGGACGCACTCGGTCGCCCGCGCGCTGTATGACCACCCGCGCAATGTGCCCGACGACGTGCTGGCGCTGATTGGCGACGGGCCTGGGGCGGTGAATGGTGGGGTTGTGCAGTGTGTCATGTTTCCTGTGTTTGTCGGGCCGGATGTCGAGAGTGCCAATGTCTCGCGCCTGGCGGACCATATTGAGCATGTGGCTGGGGTCGTGGGGAAGAAGCATGTGGGGATTGGGTCGGATTTTGATGGCATGTATACTTCTGTTAAGGGGCTTGAGGATGCGAGCAAGTATCCGAATCTGGTGAGTTTTCTTTTCTCTCTCTCTCTTCTTTCTTCCCTTCTTTCCAATAAAGAAGAAGAGACTGCAATTGTTAACCCAAGGTTGGCATAATTACATAAAAGATCACCGAAATGCTTATCCGCGGCTGGACCGACGACGAGGTCAAGGACCTCATGGGCCGCAACCTCATGCGCGTCATGGACGAGGCAGGCGCCGTTGCGCGTGAGCTCAAAGATCAGCTGCCGTCGCCTGCCATCTGGGAGAAGCGAAAGGACCTGCCCGCCCAGTGGGGTGGCGAGGGAAATGCCTTTTATCCGTACGACGTGCAGGATATTCAGGCCAAGATGATCCCCAAGCACGATGAGCTGTGAGAAAGGGAGAGGGGATGTTAGATAGTATGAGGAATGAAGTGTGGGGGCTCAACCGTAGGCTCTGGGATTTTATCATGAAGATGTTCTCTTTCTCTCTCTCTCTCTCTCTCTCTCTCTCTCTCTCTCTCTCTCTCTCTTTTTTTCATATTTGTTTCTTCTTCATTATTACAGACGTGCCATCTCGAGTAATTCTGTACTATCCTCCACAGATTGATGTAGTCTTATGTACACAATCAAACTCCCAGACTCGTTATTTCTTGCCGATCAAGCAAGACTGTCCCTTCGGTATGGTATAATCTGTACATCCTGCACAAGTCCATACTCTGCCACACTCGGCGGATCCGCCACTACCTCTACAGCATGTCTCCCACTCGTCATCAGATCGCCCCAAAAGCTCCGCAGCGCATTGCCCAGCGGCGTGCTCACGATGATATCAACCGCGTTCTCTCCCTCGACCAGATACTCTCCGACATCCGCCCTCGCCCACGTCGGATCGAGCGGCGGCAGGGCCTGCCCGTTGATGCGCACGCGGGCCGTATGCACGGTAGCGCCCAGGTCGACAAACGCACCAGAGATGGTCGCGTTGCTGCTGCTGCTGCTGCTGCTGCTGCCGTCGTCGCTACCCGAGGAATCTGGCGGCCAGCTGAAGGTGGTCTGGTAGTATCCGCGCCCCGAGACGTTGGCCAGCGCGTCTGACATCTGGGACCACGGCACTAGGTTGTCTAGGGTGTAGTAGCTGGTGTTCACCTTGGACGCTCCTCCTTCAATGTCAAATATGTCGTTTGGGGGTCCCCATGACTCGATCGTGAGGGTCCAATTTCCAAGCTGAAAAGCTTGAGACAACATTGGCTGGACGGTTCTCGATGAATTATCGGAGAGAATAATCTCCTGGGGGGCCGGGTTGTACGTTGATAGGACAGCAAGCGACGACGAGTTGCTGGCCAGAGCGGGAGGGCCAACGACGACTGATGCAAGGTTGCTACTCGTGATGTGCAAGCCTCCTTCTATTTCTTCCTCCTCAAAGCCGATGATTACAGACTGGTTACCAGTCAGTTGTAGCTGGATGGTTGTGTGTGTTTCTGTCTGTTGGTACGAGGACAAGGCAGTGACATCGCCAGTCCAAGCGTCATAGACAAAGGGCTTGCCGGTTGCCTCGAAAGAAATGCTTCCCGTCGTGATCGCCCCGTTTGGTGCAACCCCGGTGGCATCATTGTAGACAAAGACATACTGCGTAGAGGTCGTGTTGTCCTCTCGCCAGTACGTGTACCACGACCCATTCGAGCTGGTCGCGGTTCTAGGGAGTATTTCCAGAGACGAGAGCGAGGAAGACAGGCCGTCATACGGAACGACATGCACATTGTCAAGCTGCGTCAAGTCACTAATCATAGAAGTGACGTTTGCACCGCCGTCTTGGTGATATCCGGACACGTTCGATGGTAGCCCCCCGGAAAAGATGATAGGGAGGCCTTGTTTGGCGTAAGAGGCCAGGTACTCGACGCCCGATAGAGTCAACGACGCGTTGGCACGGACAATCATGGCTTTGAACGCCTGCCGCTCTGGTGCGAAGATACCGTCCTCAACATAGGCTTCTGGGAGTTTAAAGTTGTCCGGGCTCAGGTACTCATAGGTATAACCTGCTCTCCTCATTAGTCATCTACACATACACAGAATCTTAGGAGCCCCCAAGACTACGAGTCTCTTCTCTGGCTGGCATAGACAGCTTACCTGCGTCCTGTAGATCTGTAGGAGCATACTGGGTCTCGATGGTCCCATACGACGTCAATTTGGACCAGAATACTAGGTCAACCTTGGGCACTCCGGTCTGAGCAACGTATTGAGTACGCGCCGTCCAGTCCAGCCACTCGCTGTAAAAGTCCCAAGCCGGCTGTTTTGGACCGTGCATCTCCGAAAAGAGGTACGTGAAGGCCGTGAAGGCAGGCCAGGTGGTGTTTCCGTAGTCTCCAGAGAAGGGGTATGCATGGATGACGAACTGATTGACACCGCCGACGACGGACCGTTTGAGATCCCACAGGAGCTCCGGAATGGTCTGCTGGTAGGCCAAGTACATGACGGCTCCGGCCTCGCTTGAGATGATACGTTTGCCGGCGAGGTTGGCAGGACCAGAGAACTGCCTATACCCGTCTATGTTGTGCAAGAAACCTAGAGTCTCACACTCTGGTGCGTCCACATAGGGGATGTTGGCAAGCATATCCATTGGGAGGTTGTAGACGACCTGGCTCGAGAACTGGACACCCAAGCTGTGGCTCCAGTCGGTCAATGTTTTGAGGTATATTGCATTCAACTCGGTAAGCTGTGTCATAGGATATTAGTTGTATGAAGCAGGGTGAGGGTCAAGAAACTCAGTATAAAAGCAGCTGGATGACGTACTGTCTGTTGGTAGTCTTGAATATGACTCTGGCCCGCGTCTGTCTCGTCTGTCACATACGTGATTGGAAATGCAGCGACCCCAGTGTCAGCGAGACCCGCGCTCACGATCAGAGGTATGTATTTGTGGATGGCATAGCCCCGGCTCTTCTGAAAGGCATCCGGCAGCTGAGGTGTCCAGTAGACGCTCGAGTTGGACCCGTACTCCTGGCTGTCCTCCCACAAATAGTTGCCCACCTCAAGTATGCTTGTCGTGGTATCACCCGACAGCAACGTCTCATTCCAGAAATCAATGACGAGTTGGGCACCAGCCGCCGAGAAGTGGTCGACCGCCCGTGAGCCGTTCTGCTTGTAGTCCTTGATGGGGGACTGCGGCACTGCTGCTTCCACCAAGTCGGAGGCCTTGACCTCCCAATAGTCGGCAGGCTTGAGATAGAAGGCAAACAAGACGAACTCGGACCCGCTGCTGCTGCTGGAGGCGTTGAAGACGAGGTTCAGATGCCCGCTGCTGTTGACTTGCGAGGTGACATCAGCCAGTGAGCTGGCACTCAAGGTCGCCTCGGTCCCGTTGGAGTCGACAATTAAGCCTGTAGTGGCGGCAACGAGAGACTCTGCGTTATACGCTCCGCCCCAGCCCGGGAGCAAGTCCGAAAAGGTTGTACCCGCTGGCACAGTCACATTGAATGAAGCAAAATCCCACAAAACCCCGTCATGTCCGTACGGGGCCGGAACGCCTGCACGCCTCTCCTCAGTATGTCTAGAAGACTAAACAAGACACACATATGGGTCGAATAGACTGACCTGCGCCCTGGTTCGGTCCTATAGCCAGGTCGACCAGTATTTCTTCGTCCTTGGCGGTCCCCAGGACAGTATCCAGTAGGTTTTCTGCAGATGTCAAAACGGGTGAGTGAGGCGCTCAGGACAACAGATGGAGGAGGAGCAACGCCTTCTATATCGAGGTGCCCAGTATACTCACTCCAAGCAGAGCTTCCAAACCCATAGATTGTCCAGTCTGACTGCAGCGGAGCGTCACTGCCTCCACCGTACACCCCATTGTCGCCATAGAGATAATATCCTAACAGTTCCAAACCCCCGGCGCCGGCTCGGGCCAGCGATCTCACATCCTCGCTTACACGGCTTAGATTGTGAGACGCGTCATTGGCCCAGTATCGAAATCTTGGTCGTACGTTTGAAGAAGGATTCTGAAAAGTTCCGTACTCAATATCCGAATCGACCAGGTCGTTCGTACCAGTTGTCTGCGTGTGAACCACACGGGCTGCCAACAGCAAGACCTCAGGCAGAAGAGTGTGTCGCATAGCTGCTACCATGTGGAGCACAATGCAGCATGAGAGACGACAAAGCCCATCTTGCCATACTGGTGAGCCTGACCAACAGGATATGCACGCTTTTTCAATAATTCTTCTGGGTTCTCCGCACTGTCACAGGCACACACGATGATCTCTGGGCCCTCTGGCGGGTCATCACTTGCCGAGACGGGATAAGGAGTTACAGAGGCAGGCCTGATTATCCCCCCCATCAACAGAACCACAATCCAGAGGCAAGCGAGATAGCATTTCGTCCTGATGTTTACCCGAATCGCCAGCCTGAGCAGGCCTACAGAACGCTGAGGGGGTGGTTTGAGCGGGGCCTAGCGGGTACCCGTACCTAAATAGTCATGCCCCGTAGTCCTGAGCAGGGGCGGTAGCCGGCTGTATGACGAATCTTTTCTCTCTTCCTTCTTTTCTTGTCGCCGTAGCAAGTGGAATACGTGGGTGCCATACATCTCAATATAGTGAAGAGTTCTTATCGCAATCATCCCGGGGGCCGCCAGCCACACACCTCGAAAGCTGATCTCTCCAGACGGCTGTGAACGTCTCCAGACAAATACTTGGGCATTCAAGATGATGAACACCGCCTTTGGGTCCTGCCTCAGGGCCATGGCCGACTTCTGTATGTGGACCACGTAGCGTTGGGAGCCATGGTTGGGCTACCACTGGTAGAGACAGACTTCCCCACGGGGTACAGTAAAGGTATCCACAGATCCACTCTGGAAGCTATTAGTTTTCTGTATCCAAATCAGATCTTCGGTCTCTCCCGCGGGATTTCGAGAGCTCATGGACCACTTTCCATACCTTGACAACTATCGCCTCCGGGACAAACCGCTGAGGCCGGTCCATCGGCTCGGCTTCGACCATGGTGATCACCAGCCGTGCAGCCTCGAGAGACATCCTTTATGCCGCGGGTGGACAATAATCCGGATCCAAAGCCTAAGGCAATTAGATGTGACAGACGGTTTCTGCCCGGAGGCCACAGCTATGCTGCAGAGCTGGATATTTGTGCGTGTGCTTGAGGCTCTCACCGACGAGCAAATCTCCGATGACCAGTTCCTTAACAGAAAGCTCCAACGCACTGTTGGTACAATACTCTGTTGGGTGGCTGAGTTCATAGCTGCCGCACTCAACCCCTGCCATGCTTGCCTGGCGTGCCCGGGTTAGTACTGTGTAATGATGACCTCCCAACCCTTTTCTAAAAGTCCTTTGTCCATGCTGCTTTAATTAAGCTTGCCGAGGCTTTCGTGCCCAGGATGAGCGGCTATCGATGAAATCACCTCATCAAGCTCCCCTACAGTTGGCATCCTGCTCAGTTTTCCTCTTCAGCGGCCTCGATCTGCTTTGGCATCGGCATGGCGACTGCGCAGAAGCTTGAAGCCACCTCTGGTGGCAAAGGTGGGACCTCCGCGGTAGTTTATCTCGTTTATCTCGACCGAAAGGACTGTAACTGACCGTCTGTCGGAGCAGAATACATTGAGAGAACCATCGAGGTCTTGACACCTACATTTGAGAACGATCCGGTTTACACATGGCTTCTTCAAAACTTGCCCGTTTCTAAACACCAGTCGGTGTTGCCCAAGCTACTCCGCGCTTTTTTTCACCAGGGCACGCGCAATAGTGGTGTGTTTATTGAGGTGGGCGATTTCGGGTCTTGCGGTCTATTCATGCCGCCGGGCGCGCAAATCGAGAACCCATTCACGATGTTGCAGGCAGGACTGCTTTCAGCTCTTTATAATGTCGGCTTTGGGCCCTTCAAAGTATGATACTATACTCCCTAGCTCTATCCTCTGGAATAGCTCCCTAACTAATATAATTCTTTTATAGCGTGTTATATTCGAGTATGCTAGCGCTACTGAGATCAAGCTTAAAGAGACCTTCACCAAAGAGGAGCAGAAGAGCTATTGGTACGTTTTCATTATGGGATCAGCAGTTGACCGTCTTCGGAAGGGCTACGCCAGTGCATTGCTTGTACACTTGCAGAACCGAGCAAGAGGCGATGGGCATCCGATCTGGCTTGAGGCTACCACCTTGGAGTCTCGGGATCTGTACTTGAAGCATGGATTTACGGATGTTGGGAAGATTGTCCTAGGTGCGGGAAAGGTCGGCTCAGACGGCCTACCCAAAAAAGACGGCGAAGGCATCACGATTTGGTCGATGTTTTGGAGGCCCTAGAGATGAAGAAATAATCATATTTCAATTTGATTAATTTATTTTTATTTTTATTTTTATGTTACACAGGTTGTTTATGGCATCTACTCCCAGCCCTTCCAGCCCCTCCGTGGAGCTCAGGTGAGACGATCGTCTGCTCCATGTAACTACACGACAGAGTAATATGAGACAAAGGATGAGGGACGATTCGATGCTCAATGAAAGGCAGACTGAGATGGAATTGGTGGTCGCCTTTCAAAAGGTGGTGCTACGTGGCATACCATCTCAGGGACCTCAATGGCCCCGCATTTGAGGTCTCTTGCTCTGGTCTTCAGGGATGACGTTGCACCGGCTAGGGGTTTTCTACCCCTCTACAACCTAAAATTAGCAAGCCTGCACCTTTTTCCAAGCAACTAAATACGTAAGGGTACTAAGCTAGCAACACCTTACCTAGAACAGAGCTGTCAGTCTCGACGTCGTCAATCGTCCAGGACAAATACCCCAACCTCCCAGGAGACTGGTGACCACTTCATCCCAGCTCAGCAGTGACAATGGCTTCATTCCTGCGCGGGAAGCAGGCTGGCATGCAGAATGATCTGTCTGCCAGCATCCTGCCCCAGCTCTTCAGTCCAGACGAACAGGCGCGATTCGGAATCAACTCTCAGATCAGGTCAGTCTTTCTGACGCGCGCAGATTTTCAAGTCAAGACGATGATGGACAATGGAAGCTGACGGGCCCATCCCTCTTGGAACAGCTGCCTCGCATACGACCCGGTTCAGTCCCTCCTCGCCGTCGGTACGAACGATTCCAAGTTTGGCCAAGGGCAAATATATGTCTTCGCCCGAGATCGCATCCAGAAGTTTCTCGTCCCGAACAGACCGGCCTCGATTAGGACCGTGCAGTTCTGCGCCAACAGGCTTGTCAGTCTAGATGCCAAGGGCGAGCTGGCAGTATGGGATCTGGACACTGCCAAGAGGGTTGCGGGGGGTTCTTATGGCGGTACCGTTGTCACCATGATCACAGACCCCATGCTCGACTGGGCCATCGTCGGCCAGGCGAGCGGTGATGTGAGCGCCTTTGACCTTGACCGAGGGAGGCTTTCTCCCTTCAGGATACCCAACTTCTGGAGGAGCAAGGACCCCAAGGCATCCCTGGTCACAATGGTCTCCCTGCAGATGCATCCTCGCGATGTCGGAAAGCTGTTGATAGGCTATTCTCACGGTGCCGTCATCTACTCCTTCAAGCAGAATCAGCCCACCAAGTTCTTCGAATACGTCCTGCAGCCCGGCGCCCCGGGTGGCAATGCTGAAAACGTCAACTCTGTGCGCAGGCCGAGGCTGACGCACGCCCTGTGGCACCCGACCGGTACATTCATCCTCACGGCACATGACGACGGAAGCCTGGTATTCTGGGACGCCAAGGACGGTAGGATAGTCATGGCAAGGTCCCTGTACGAGACCAAGGTCGACCAGACCGTACGGCCAGCACCGTCGCCCAGGCCCATCCAGCCATATGTGAAGATATCGTGGTGCTGCAAAGACAATCCGGACGACACTGCCCTCTTGATCGCTGGCGGACAGACAGCGGACGAGCCCGAGAGGGGCTTGACCTTCCTGGAACTTGGGCAAACTCCAAACTATGCCACGTCGACCTGGCAAATCCTCGAGGATCATCTGAAGGGCAAACGTCAAAGTGTGCTCCCGACACCGCCTGGGACGGATGTTGCAGACTTTTGCCTGCTGCCTCGCTCTTCTCCTCACTTTGCTGGTGCTCAAGACCCTCTTGCTGTTGTGGTGACGCTCTATTCGGGTGAGCTGATCACCATGAGCTTCCCTTCGGGCTTCCCGATCAGCCCGACCAACCAACTCCATCCCTCTCTGTCATTTGTGCATCCTTTCGTCATGAAAGTGGTTGTCTCGACCTTGGATCGAGGCCGATGGTTGGGTATGATGGAGAAGCGTAGCAAGGGAGAAGATCTACTGAAGGGGGGCGCTGAGGCGCCAAAACCCTGGCGCAGATATGAGGGGCGCAACATCATTCAGGTGGCTCATGCAGACAGCACCATTCGGCTGTGGGACCTCGGACATGGCGACGAGATGGAGAACACGGGCCAGCTCCAGGTCGATATGGCCCGCGCCGTTGGCAGGTATGAAGACGTCAGCGTGACCGCCATGCATCTGGCCCCTAAGACTGGCGACTTTGCCGCGGGCACACAGATGGGCGAGCTTGTCATCTGGCGATGGGGCGGAAACCCGCGAGCCGGGCGTGACGAGGCCAAGGAGATGGATCCAAACCCAGGCCACTTGTCTGACATTACGTCAAGAGCTGAGCCCTCGCTGAAGGAGGGCCTTCAGCCGTACGTGCTGTACGAGATGGCCAAGGGGTCGATCTCCGCAGTGGCCGTGTCAGATGTCGGGTTCGTTGCTGTCGGTTCTGAAGGAGGCTTCTTCAGCATCATCGACCTCCGCGGCCCTACCATCATCTTCCAGGCGTCGATGGCCGATTTTGCGAAGAAAGAGAAAAGGACGTCATTCCTCAAAGGCCATTCCAAATCCTCTGCCACTATAGACTATCCCGTCAAGATTGACTTTGGCGTCATGACCCTGGATGATGACGGCTATTCCAGCATCGCGTGTTTCGTTGGTACAGACCAAGGCAAGGTGGTCACATTCAAGCTTCTCCCGTCGGGAAATAGCTATTCTGTCGAGATGGTGGGCAGTGTTTCGCTCAGCGACAGGGTGGTGGCTCTCTGCCCAATCGTGGCGGAGACCGGCCGGGCTGCCGGAGCTACGCCAGAGATTGTTGGCGGCCTCAGGAGTGGTCAGCATGTAAACGGCGTCCTTGTAGCTGGTAAGTACTGTGCTGCCTCTTAGGCTTTCGGACTGTCTTAGGCTAATGACGTACAGTAACCCAATCGGAAATACGTGTCTTCAAACCCGCCAGCTCCAAGGGTGCCTCCAAGACTTTCGACGATGTCATATGCAATGCAGCGTCTGTGGCCAACGTTGAACCTCATGGTTCCGCCCTCGTCGCTACCTTCGGTGACAACACTGTCCGGGCGTTCAGCCTACCCGGCCTCAAAGAGATCAACCGAGCATCATTGCCCATGCTCGACGCCTCGCGAAATACGCTTAACATCATCGCGTGCACAGGTGATGTGATCGGCTGGGCCGGCCCATCGGAGCTGGTTGTCATCCCCGTGTGGGGCACCGGTCGGGGCCGCGACAAGCTAAACGACGATGACAAGCTCATCAACCCTGAGGCTGCGATACCGCCGCGTCCCACCATCTCGAACATGCAGTGGCTCTCCGGCACGCAGTACATCTCACCTACGGATCTAGACCTTCTTATCGGCGGACCCGATAGGCCGCCCAGCAAGCGCATGCTCGACGCCGCAGCTGCAGAACAGCAAGCCGCAAAGGCGGCGGGCTCAGGCTCCAGTGCGTCGGCAGGGCCTGCAAGGCCGGGCACAGTACAGGAGGGATGGGGCGAGTACCTGACAAGACAGATTAACGAAAGGACGGACAAGCTGAATTTGATGACCGATAACGTGGGGGATCTCGAGGAGCAGAGCTCTCGCTGGGCAGATGATGTCAATAAGTTTGTGGGCAAGCAGAAACGAAACGTGGTACTGGGTGGCCTGAAGAGCAAGTTCTTCTGACGTGTGTGCTTTTACTATTTATATCTACATGTCTTGGGGGATGGGACGGCGCTTTGGGACGGACGGGCAATTCTTTGTACATGGACATTATAGGCGTAGTGGTCACTCGGACTGCCATTGTTTCTGCTTCCAACTACTTGACCAGCCGTAGCTTGAACATTTTAAACTTATTCTTCTCTAGCACTCTTTCTTCCATGCCTCTTTAATTCGAGAGTGGCCCCTTCTCATCAACCAGTACTGCAAGAACGGGTTGAGAAGAACGCCCAATACTGCAATGTTGGCTGAGCACGTTATCGAGGTCACCATATAATACGTTATCCTGCTGTCGACATTCATCCCTTGCTGGCGCATGTACTGCAGTGCCTCGATCAGGCATCTCATACTCGTAATCTGGACAATTATAAACAAGAATAGGCTGCTGAGCAGCATTGCATTGGGACAGTCTAGCATTTTGGTCATGTTTTTTGCTTTTTTTTCTCCCTCGGAGGAAGGATGTGTGGGTGATGTGGTAGCGGTTGTGTCGGAAAGGGAGGTTGTCTTGGTGGGTGTTCCAGGTAACGTTTCCGAGAAGGTAGTGGTGCTTGGAAAGAAAAGAATGTAAAACTTGCGGGGAGGAGGTGGAATGTGAGGAGTTTTATATGACATGTGATCTGGAGGGATGTTGTTGTTTGCGTATAGGGAGGATTTAGTCATGTTGGGTGCATGTGATTAGGCAAGGTGTGGTAAGTTCCTCGCTGTCAGCAGCAAGTCACTTCATGTCATGAATGTTATCGTATTTCCAGGGCAGTGGCCGTGGAGTCAGTTTAGTAAGTACTGAAGTGGTTGGGAATGAGGAATGACTTGCTCAATTACGCCAGCGTTCAGAAACTTCTGCCTGATCACACTCGGACTTGGAACAACTAAAGATGGAGAGAGTAATCACCAATGCCAAGTACAAACAAGTAAGGTGATTAGAATGCGTCACAGAAGAGGTTTTTTGATTTCAATAAGTATGATCACCCAAAGAAATACGAACCGGGAAACAAAATGCTCATCATTCCAAAACACGATCCCAGCTCGTGATGCGAGATCAAGGGCCAGGTCGACACTTCATTCAATGCTGTCTACCACGATGAGAAAACAAACATCTCTTCCGTTTTAGTCCTGCTAAATCGGCAAGTTCTCTCCTTGAAGGAGATGCCTCAGGCTTAGGAAAAATAAATGGTTAGTGAGGTAGCTCCGTAACTACTATCGCAGTGTCACGACACGACAGTCCCCAGTGCCGCTAGCCTCGCTTCCTAAAGGCTCAGTTCAGCTTCTTCCGAGCAATGTGCGGGCTCAGCCACGCGCCACAGAAGGATCAACACCAGAAGCCTCGTCGTCCTCCTCAACAACTGCGTCATCGGCAAAAGGATCATCACCACCGACGCCCTCATCAGCAGCAGTAGCAGCATCCTCGATAGAGGCAGACTGAGGTCTCACCAGATGCGCAGCAGTCTCAAGCTGAGCCCTGCGCTCCGGCGCCTTCTTGGAGTTCCTGCGGACCACATCCTGCAGCCTGTCAGCCTGCAGCGTGTGCCTTCTTCTCGTTGTTGTTGTTGTTGTCGTCGTCGTATCAGCAGTAGTAGCAGAAGACGGCGCGGTCTGGGCAGGCCGTTCCATAGGCTTGTGCATCTCCTCAATGGCCCGGCGCATGACCTCGGGATCGACAGGGTGGTACTTGTGGCGCTCCTCGGCAAGCTCCAGCACCAGCTGCCTGTTCCTGCCCTCCTCGAGCTCGAGCGCCTTGTTGAGGATCTCGGCCGCCTGCTCGAGCAGGTCGACCTGGCTCTCGAGGCTGGCGATCTGCAGGGCGTCTTGCTCTGCCTGCGAGGCCTGCATGTCCTCGTGGCCGTGCCAGGCCTGAGTGCCAAAGGGGTGCGGATTTCTCGATAGAGGCGGCGCGGGGAGGTGGCCGAGCTCGATATCCATAGAAGAGGAAGAGAAGGGTGAGGCGGCGGCCTCGGTCTTGAGCTGCTTCCTGCGGGTGGTGAGGCGGAGGTGGCGCAGAATCAGCCAGGTGCCGAGGAGAAGGACAGCGAGGGCGAAGAGAACGATGAAGACGGCTGCCACAGTGGACCAGTGCTGAGGAGAGGTGGGCATGGTTGTGCCTTGGGGAGATGCGGTGGGCTGGGCCATCATGTATCAATTGCGCTGTTGCTGCTTGAGGGGAGACTTGGAAGACAGGTTTTGTGGTTGTTTGGGATCTGTAGTGTAGTTCTGAGAGGCTTGCTTACCAGAACCTTTTTCCTCTCAGGAGTGCAGATGCGTCACACAAGAGAGATAGATATCCAAGTCCAGCAGGATGTGGAGAGAAGGACACTGCAGTCAATTCTCGTTGCGAACGGAGCCCAGTATTTATGAGCATGGAAAGACACTCGACACCGTGGAGAACAATAGCTTTATGCTATCCGGATTGTTCACGAACAATCATGTCGGGTTCAGCGAGCTGAAGCCCATGGCTACTTGAACAAAGGGCATAAAGAAACCTGTCTGTTGCGGAACCAACAACAAAGAAAGATGATTGATAACCACCAAAGACAAGAAGGGGAGATTAACTTCGTTCCCTACGTTGCTACTCAAATTTGTTTGGCGTGGCCCTATGCAGAACAAGCTAGTTATGAAGTCTAGTCAGAAAAGGCAAGTCAGAAATAATGAGGAGTTCATATGATCAGTATCATTGAGGCTTTTTGGTAGACAGAAGCCTGCCAGTAACGGAATTGTGGACTGCCAATAGTAGCATTTTGACCTCAAGTGCATTTCTTCTTTTTGTCTTTGGGGTCGGAATACTTCAGATATGGGTGGGATAATGGTAGGCAGGGCTCGAAAACAGCCATTCTGTATATTGCGAGACATCATATATTCTCTTAAAGTAGGTATTCAATGGTAACTGACAACAGCCCTTTCTAAACGTCCACAATCACATCTTATGGTCAGTCATTATCCTTCTCATGCCTGTAAACCCATCATCAACCACATCCCCTTTCAGAGAAATTCCCGGACCTGCTCCTCACTCCATTCCCAAAACTTGGCCGAATGTCCATTGCCTCCCTCGGCCTCAGACTTGGTAGCCTCAAGCAGGTCCTTTCGCAGCGGGTAAAATCTCCCCCAAGGAATCACTAGAAAGGAAAAGTACTTTCATCAGTCATATGTTCTTTCGTTTCAAAAGCCCAGGATGGATTTCTTTTTTTTTTAAATTCAAAGTCTTACCCCATTCGCCACTCCTCTCAATAGTAACCTCCTCGCTCAGCCCGGCCCAGAGCTCCGTGTACGCGCCGTACACAACCGGATGAAGCATCAGCGTGCTCAGGACCGTCTTGAGCAGGCAGCCCCAGTCGCGATACAGGTCCGAGCTGAGGTTGCCGGGGTTCAGCGGGATGCTGATGACGCCCTGGCTCTTCAGCCTCTTGGCCAGCTCGACCCCGTGCAGCCAGTTGCCCGCCTTGCTCACCCCGTACCGATCCAGGGGCGACAGCTGGGGCCAGTAGTCGACATACTCGGGGCTCATCCCCTTGGACGGCTCGCCGCCGATCTCGGTGCCGGACGAGCTGACCCACACGACGCGCACCGTGTTGGGCCTCTTCTCTGCGCTGGCGGTCGCGACGAGCACCGGCGTGAGCAGCTGCGTGAACAGGAATGGCCCCAGCACGTTGACGCCCAGGTGCACCTCGAACCCCTGCGCGGTGCGCTGCTCGCCCTTGTCGTCTGTGATGGCCTGCAGGCCTGCGTTGTTGAACAGCACGTGCAGCTTCGTCTCCTTCTCCAGGAAGGTCTGCGCGGCCTGGCGGACGATGCGCAGGTCCGAGAGGTCGAGGTGTAGGAACACCAGCTCGCCCTCCGAGGATGGGTGCGCCTCCTGGATGGTCTTGATGGCCCGCTCGGCCTTGGGCTTGGACCGCGCCGCCATGTACACCTTTGCGTTCTTGGAGTACAGGATGCGGGCTACCTCGTAGCCTACGCCGACGTTGGAGCCTGTTACGATGTAGACCTGTGATGGGGCAAGGTGGAGCGAGGTGGCACGACAGGTTAGAAGAGAGAGAGGGTTAAAAAGGAGCGCAGCAGAGGGAAGCTGCAATGATAATGATAGGAGTTACCTGAGAGGTGAGGTCTGGCAAGGAAGCCTCTGTGAAGCTGGGTTTGGGAGGAAACGCCTGCGTCCATGTGCTAGCGAGGCCTTGGCTTGGAGGCTTGCCCGGCTTCTGGACTTTTGTCTTTGTGCTTGTCATGGTGACTCTTGTTTCCTTGTTTCTTTCTTTTTTGAAGATTCTATATAGTCTTGATGTCTGTGACTTGGACGGGAGGAGCCCACTCTGTCTAAGTAAGTATATGACAGCGAGGAGAAGGAGGAGAAGCAGGATGACGAGGAAGAAGACGAAGATCCAGTGGAAACAGAAACCCCTTCCTCTGGTCAGTATCACGACCCTCCCTTTTATACATGCCCACTTGGCACTCATCCATCCTCCATCTCCATTTCATGCGGCTAAAAATCCCAACCCATTCGTCGTCTACACATGGTCGGGCCCCGCTGGCAGTCCGTGGGTCCGATGTTACAAGAAACCAAATCAGGAAAAAGCCACGTCTAGCTTATGTATGTAGGATTTGGGGCTGAACAAGTTATTGCATTCTTCCAAAGCAAATCGAGCAATGACAATCCATGCAGGCGGGACACTTGCGGAGCCTTCGGTATTTTTTTGTCCAGCACCAAAGCCTGACCAATGAGAGGCACTGTTACAATTGCCGAAAGGGGATCTTACTGGGCACCAGACTATTCAGCTGGATGGATGGCTATGATGGGATGATCTACGTGAGATCGTTCGGCCTTTAAAATCGTCAAAAAGCCGAATTGAGTCAAGGTGTCCCAGTACAACGTTAAAATTTGGGGTCCAGACTTCTGCAGAGACCGTCGTCATACGTACACGCAGAATTGAAAGGGAAAATAAAGTTTCGACCGATAGACTGGATGCAGGGAAGCACGATCTTTATGTTCTGAATCGACGTCCTTGACCTCGGGTATTTTATCTTCTTTTTTTCATTGCAGGATCTCATCGCAGGATTTCTATCCCAGTTCGTCTAGTATATAGTGTCATGTATGTTGTATCCATGATCAGCTCAATCCCCAAACCCCAACGCTCCTCTCACGGTAATGCTCTCTCTCTTTTTTTGTGCCCAATCAATAACACACACAATCACAAGGAGCGACGTGGAAGTCTATGACTTGACAAGCAAGCTCTTGCCCGTCATCTCCTCGGGCTGCGGCAGCCCCATGGCTGCCAGCACCGTCGGCGCAACATCGCCCAGCACACCCTCGTCGCCCTTCTTGAGACTCCAGCCCTCGGGCGCGTTGGCCATGATCAGAGGCACCTTGTTGGTGGTGTGGCTCGTCTTAGGCTTGCCGTCAGGGAACTTCATCTCCTCGGCATTGCCGTGGTCGGCTGTGATGAACAGGACGTAGCCCTCCTTCTTGCATGCCTCGTAGATCTTGCCGATGGCCTTGTCGGTGGCCTCCACTCCCACCAGGGCGGCCTCGTACACACCAGTGTGGCCGACCATGTCGGGAGGCGCAAAGTTGTTCATGACGAAGGGGAACTTGTGCTCGCCCAGGCGCTTGGCCACCTGGTCGGCAACACCGGCTGCCGACATCTCGGGCGCCTTGTCATAGGTGGCGACGGACTTGTTGGAGGGCACGAGGTCCTGCGACTCATCACGGGTCTCGAGGGGGAAGACTTTCTCGACGCCGCCGTTGAAGAAGAAGGTTACGTGGGCGTATTTCTCCGTCTCGGCGATGTGCACCTGCTCGACATCTTGCTTGCCCAGCCACTCGGCCAGGACGTTGCCCATGTGCTGGGGCTTGAAGGCAACCTCGAACGGGTAGTCGACCTTGTACTGCGTCATGGTGACGAGGTTAATCTTGGGGTAGGCGAAGTCAGGGCGCGGCGAACGGTCGACGTCTCCGAGAAGCTGGGTGATCTGTCGGACACGGTCGGATCGGTAGTTGAAGAAGTAGACATTGTCGCCATCTATCATCAAAGCGTCAGCAAGGGGGGGCCGGGTACCTCCAGTCAATTGGACTGGAAGAAAGCTTGGGGAGAGGTTCGTTATTACCCTTGATGCGAGCCTCGTCGCCGTTCACGATGATGGGCTTGAGGAACTCGTCGTTCTCGCCCTTCTCATAACGCTCCTTGACAGTGGCCACAGGGTCGCTGCTGGCTTCGCCTTCGCCCAGGATCATACCCTTCATGGCGAGCTCGACCCGCTCCCACCTCTTGTCACGATCCATGGCGTAGTAGCGGCCCACGACGGTCGCCAGCTCGCCGGTGCCAATCTCCTTGATGGTGTCGAGAAGCTCCTGCATATAGCCGGCGCCAGACTTGGGGTCGGTATCACGGCCATCGCCGAAAAAGTGGATGTAGACCTTGGGAATCTCGGCCGCCTTGGCGGCCTTGAGCAGGGCATACAGGTGCTCCTGCTTGGAATGCTATTTTTCGTCGATAACCATCAGCTCTCGCTCCTCTGATTGTCCTTCTTACGCAGGACTAAACAGCTCCCCCCGTGTGTTTTTGATATCATGGAAGGGCTGCAAGTTGAAACATACCACACCACCATGGGAGATCAGACCACAGAGGTGGAGTCTCCCGTTGCCATTCTTGGCTGCCTCCAGCGTCTTCTTGATGACCTCGTTGCTCGCAAACTCTCCCTTCTTGATCGACTGGTCGATGCGCACGACATCCTGCCAGACCACACGGCCGGCGCCGATGTTCAAGTGGCCGACCTCAGAGTTGCCCATGAGGCCCTCGGGCAGACCGACGGCCAGCGACGAAGCCTCGAGCTCGGTGTAGCCGGTGGACGACTTTGCGAACTCGTCCATGACGGGGGTCTTGGCGTTGGTAATGGCATCGCCATTCTTGGGGGAGTCGGCCGAGGGGACACCCCAGCCATCAATGACGACTGTAAATGCGTAGAAGCATTAGGATCAGCCAGGACAGCTCAAGGCAAATGAGGACGAGGCAGGAGACGAGCAGGTAGTCCGGGCGCGTGCGTCCAGGTCTGGCAGTGCTGCTGTTGTCTCTTTCCAGGCGAGGAGGCGATCGCGACTGGTGCATCACATCGCTCTGCCTCTGCCTCTGCCTTTGCACCTTGACGGCCGTGTCCATGTTGGAGCAAAGGGGTGGTGGTGCATCACGGGAGGAGGGGCTTCGATGAACATGGGAGGGGTAAAGTGAAGTTGGGACTGGACGTACTGAGACAGGCGTTTTGCTCTGGCTTCGTCATCTCGTCTGCCTTTCTCTTAGACATGGGTTCAGGGTTTCAGACGGATAGCAATAGGGAAGGGGAACGGGAGTGAAAGCGTGGCCCAAGGTGGCAGGAAATTCTAGGGGTGAGTGGTATAAATAGAAGAGGATGTTTTGGATTACGATGGATCGATCTTGTTCATCACCCGTTTTCCTGCGTGATTTTATGGTGGGGTTATTCTGGTCTCGACTACCCTGGCATGACATGACATGACGCTGTTCTCTCGGCCACTTTCCTGCCTAAGTACTGCTGGTAGCTCTGTTATCGATAAGCCGCGGGGCATCCCTCGCTAGATTTCCCACTGTAACTTATTGCGCCCAATCCCAGACCTGATCTCCACCAAATGCGATCCACCAAACCATCACTCCATCGACGCTGGACTCGATCGTGCGTACAACCGACCCGTCCTGCAGACAGGCCATTTGCCCCAGTTGGACGCGACACGTTTATTGCTGATTCTCATCATATCATCGTTGCTCTAGGCCATCTATCGGGTCTTGCGGCAGCAGCTCTGTCATCGTCTTGCCATAGGCTTCTCGCATTGTTTCGCTATTTCGAACAGATTCGACTGCATTCGACAGACTCCTCTATTGTCCCATTCCCTATCGAACAGGACTTTCCCAAACTCTATAAACTCGAGTTCTTCTCTCTCTTCTTTAATCTGCACGTGGAGGAACACAATATCGAGATGGTCCCTCAACAACAAATCGCAGACGGCGAAGGCCAACCCTATACTCTCCCCGCGGGCCTTTCCCCCGACTCCATCGACATTCCCTCCGAGCTCGCCACCATCCTCTCCCGCATTCACTACGTCTCTCAACCCGCCCCAGAGACGACTGACCCTTCAAATCCTCGCCCCAGAGACCAGGACGAGGGTGTGCGCCCGAAGGACCTGCCCACGGCGACCGACTCGCTCAAGCATAAGATCCAGCGCGCCCGCGCTGCAGTCCACACCCTCCCCGACATAAAACGCACCATTCCCGAGCAGGAGGCCGAGATCGCAGAGCTGAAGGCGCACATCGAAAAGCAGCGGGCTGCGCTCGGAAGACTGAAGGAGTATGGGCTCCAGTTCGCCGCGGAGGAGACCAATACTGACGGTGGTGACGTCGAGATGGGTGGTACGGGATCACATTCTGCCGAGGGCGCTTCAGGTTAGAGACCAGAAGGCCCCGCGCCTGTTGATGTTGCTGTCATTCCTCAAGAGGAGCTGCAGCTTGTTGAAAAAGACCAAGAAGAGGACGAGGATGTGGCTTCAATGGACATATCCTTTGACTGGGCCTCTGAGAATAGAGTGCCGGCCGTTCAGCATCATCAGCTCTTCGACTCTGTACTGTGCACCGTCCAGATGAATGGCGGGGAGACTATCCTGCGTGGTGGGGGAGGCGCCTCAGTGGGAGCAGCTGAAGAGCTGGCCTCACCTGCAAGCAATGGCCAGTATCCTCATACGGACCCCCGACCAGACAACCACGACCAAGGTGTCGGGAATGTGCCGATGCGTCGTGGACACCCTGAAGCGTATTCCATACAAAGCGCAGGAGATATCGCGACGGTCTCACTGGCAACCAATTCTGAGTCACAATATCCAAACCGTCTGTCTCGCCGTCGTCGAAGCAGTCTCGTCTCCGAGGATGAACCCGTCTGCAAGAGGAGAAAATTAAACAACGATGGCGTGGGCGAGGAAAATCTACATGCTGATCCGTCGCCAGTCAGCCAAGACCATACCTTCAAGGACTCACTGATTTTCATGGTATCTCAGCCTCTATTTGTGGATGCTGCCCGGGACAGAGAGGACGGTGTGCGGAACAAAGAAGAAGAAGAGGGAGCCTCTCGCCCTGCGGCCGATGTAGGCGACCTGACACCTCATCATGTCCATCCACCAGACAATCACGGCCTCATAGTCGAGACGGAGGACGGTCCGTCACTGCTGGTTAGCCAGCAGTCTATCGCAGATAACACAAGGGCTGATGATGATATCGCAATAACTGGATCGGAGGTACAATCTGTTCCACAGACTGGTATCAAGGCAGGCAGTGTTGATTTCGCCTGTACACCACTAGACAATCATCTTTCCACCGTCAACGAGGGCGAGAAGAATGCAGCGGGCCCACTGAGCGCTCATCCTCATCTCAAAGTCGATACGAGCAGCTCATTCCCTACCGTGCTTCTTCCACAAGACGGCCTTCATTTCCCCGTCGAGGACAGGCTCCCAAGTGCCAATGCCTTGACAGCCGTGGATAATACCGAGCTCTCAGTCAATCCATCCGACCGGGACGAACCAGTTGGGAATCTACTCGTGGAGCCACTCACTCCTGTCATCGAAGCCATTCTCCGAAGTATCGTGAATTCCATCAGCGAGCCAGAAGCGCCAGCCCACGAAACCCGCCCCGACGTGGCAAACATCGTGACCACCACGGTGGGCGCAGCCGTCACTGAGGCACTGATGGAAGACGGCGGCAATTATTTCCCGGCTGCAACACAGGAACCGGTCGAGACTCCCCCCTGCCTGCCACCGCAGGGTAATGACCCCAAGACACCACTCTACCAAGGCGTTGTCGACATAGACTGCGACAAGAAACCAAAGAGCGAGGAGTGCGCGCTTCAGTCGTAGGCACCGGTTAGCCGGCAGCCTGGACGATCCGATCCCAGAGGTATCCTTGCCCCGGGCACAGCTCGGTGGCACGGTTGATGGCCATGATCATGGCCATACCTGCGAAGGGGACACGAGTAGGACGGTGGGATGAGGTGTTACGCAGAGGCTACCCTCACGGCGCTCGGGCACGTTCTGAAGGGCCAGAGGACAGCTTGATGCGGATCTGACTGTGAGAAATTCACGGGCCGAGGCGACCGGCAGTCCTTGGGGCCAAAGTCATATGCCCTGATGCAAGTCATGATGGTTTTAGACATAGTGAGTGGATACTCATGGAGGTCAAGGGGACGCGCAAGGAAGAGACTGCTTGATTATGATACCCCTTCAATCAAATACTGCTTGCTCTTTGGGCTTTTACTCCTCGCCGTTAAATGCCACAGGTTTCGGCTGACTTGAATTTCGCTCCATATGCTTGCTTAATAGTTGGAATTTCCGCCCTTGGTGCGCCTTGTGATGCTCCCTTCCCGAGTCCAACCCAACGCCTTGCAAGCTGGTTTGGAAACACACCTCAGGAAATCGAAATCCAGGCAAAGATCTTGCACACAAAAACCAGCGCCGTCTGTCTTTTTTCTTTTTAGTCTTCTACAGGACTCCCGCCTTTCTGAGGATGTCATTTGTGCTCAGCGACGGCCCGCCCCGCACGGTTGTCTCCCAGAACTCTGCAAGGATGTGCGCATCGTCCTGCGCCGTGATGGTCTTCCAGTTGGGCGAGGCCTCAGTCTTGAGCCAGTTGAAGTCGTCGACCTGGTTCCATTGGTTGTTCGGAGGTTCCTGACCATTAGTCAACTGCTGGGCATGTCAGTTCTCCTGTTGGCTGTGGACAGACAGATAGATAGGGCTAAATCGGGGTGACCAAGACATACGTAGCAGGTTGGGATCTCTGCAAATCTCACCCCCTTGCAATCCTCGATGATAGGCCGACTGCCTGCCCACAGATACACGCTGACATTCTCACACTCATGGATCCGCACCTGCCTCGCGTTCACCACGAGCACGGAGTCCTTAACGCCGGTGATGTGCGCTGGGCCCGCCACATGGCCGGCGATGATCAGGCTTTGCGATATGTTCTTGATGGCGAGGCTGGCAAACGGGCTTGCCTTGGGGCGTCTCTTCTTGGTGGACTCGTCGTCCTTCTGGTGCAGAGTAGGCACCGACATGTCGAGCACGCACCGCTGCAGATCTGTGATGCTCCCCGAGGTAGTAGCTCGGCTGGCTGTCGCAGGCAGGATGATGTGCATCTCTTGGTGGGATGAGATATCAATGTCGCGGGCGGCGGAGAAAGACGGCTTGCGGATGCCGATGCCGGTCTGGGAGGCCATTTCGGCATTGTAGTTCTTGCTCTTGGTGTTGTCGAATCTGGGCAAGTCGCCGAGGCCGTCCTCTTCCGACGCGGAGACAGCAATATCATTCTCGTCGTCCCCAACAGCTGGGTCTTTGTTAATTGGCGGGGAGGACGACAAGAACTTCTCCTTGGATTTGGAGCTGAAAGAAAAGCGACTCCTGTCTGGACCAAGTCGAGAGGTCTGGATATTGAGCTGTTCGCGGAGTGCCTTGAGAGCCTGTGTGCATGGATGCGTGAGCGAGTGAGCTTCGTTGGTGGTGCCATCCTTGTACCCTTGCCGGTTAGGAAACGCCTTCACATACCTGGGTGTAAATCATCTGATCACGCGCAGGAGCGAACTCTGATGCGTCCGAAACTTCGTTTGTGAGACGGGAGATGGAGGCGAGGATGTGGTCGGTGGCGTCCTTGCGCTCGCCGCCCGTGACGGCTATGTTGCCTAGGTTTGCGATGTCATCCTGGAGAGCTAAGCAGAGACGCGAATCAGTTCAAGTTCAGATACCCGCATCGATAATGGAAAAATAATGGAGGGGGGGCCAACCTGTTGCTTGGGCTTCAAAACGCCTGTAAAAGTGCTCCTTGGGATCCATGGTGGGCTTTAGACCTTTGAATGCGCCATCGTAAGCCGTGGGCCCGTACAGTACTGACTGCATCGTGATTGTGGTCAAGGTGATGATGTTGGTGGTAAGTGTGGGGAAAGTGGGGAGGGGTAGAGGGGGGTGATTGCAGGTGTGGGTGAGTAAGTTTAGCAGTGTCAAATGTCTCGAGAAATGGGGAGATCACTCGTTAGAGGAGGTATCAAAGTTGAAGGGCAGGGGAATGGGAGAGAAAGGGGCAGGCAGGAGTGAGCGCGTGCAGACTGCAAGATCAAGGGCAGAGGGGTAGAGCATATATATATATGTATAAAGATGAAATATATCGATATAGACTTGTATATCCAGATCATCTCACCACCGTTCTTCTTGCAGCACCACACAGGGTTAGCTGGTGGCCTTGTGTGTATGAAAGTCTGTGCTGTATGTGGGCGTTGGTGTGTTGGCGTGTTGTCGACTAAAGGGAGGGTGACGACATGAAGCGTCGAGACAATGCCTCGTGATGTCAGGTCGCGGGTGGGGTGATGTGCAGGGTCTGCAGCTGCCGTTGCGGGGCGCGTTTAGTGCATGTAACGGCGGCACCCAGCGGTAATAAGCCTATCGTGGCACTGTGACAAACAATAGGTGGGGTCTCAGCAGGAGGGATTACGGTAAAGGAGGAGGGTGGGTGGATGGATAAATCATCGATCGATCGCACTCGAGGGAACTGAGTGAAAGAATGTGGGTGGCTTGAGCTGGGTAGGTGAGTACGTACGTTCGGCAGGCATGGCTCGATGCAAGAAGAAAAAGGAAGGAAAAGGGTGTGTGACAATGAACTCCACTCTTTCTCGTTCATTCTCAGGAGAGGAAGGTACCACCACGTCGAGGAGGGGAGGGAGAAGGGAAAGGCACTTGCAAGTTTCAATGACTTGTATGTGCCTGGGTATGAACTTCACTCTTTGGTGTCGCCTTGACGTACCAATACTCCAGCGTTGCACAGCCATTACATGTCATGCAGACGTGTAGTAGTCATACACGGATGATCAACTTGATACGGCCTTAACGACATGAATTGGCCAGGGGTTCATTGGTACTACTCTTCTGAGGTTTGTGCAGACGTTTTTGGACCTTGGGGGTGCAGTATGGCCGCCCGGTGCATCGCCCTCTACTTTCATGGTTGAGGCTAACCACTGAGGCCTGAGAGTCAGCCCATGGTTGTCAAGCAATATTTGCTGTTCCTAAACCCAAAGTATTCATACGGTGGTGAGCTTCTCCGGATTTGTGGCGTCTTCCCCGCATGCACCCCTACTCGCTCCTTCTAATTGATCGACAATGCATGTGCCCTGACGTAGGCATGTTATTTATTGCTGACAGCGCATCGGGACTGCCGCGATCCGAGGAGTGAAACGAAAATACGTCAATACAGACTTCCAATTTCAGGCTGGCGAGGGAAAAGAAAGACAGAAAAAGGAAAGAGAAAGATAGACCGAAGACGTGAGAAAAAGCAAGAGAGAATGAATGAAGAAAAAAAAACAAAAAGAGGGGGGGGGGGGGGAAGACGTGTGAGCATGCAAGTATTAGCTGCTCGGGTCAATGCTGATGGTGTGTGGTACAGTGGTGGAAGTCTCTCCATGGCTTCAACCAAGTTGGCGTGCAAATCCCAGATGTGACAGTCTAGGGTAAGTGTGCTGACTGGATTAATCTAGGGTGGGTCTGAATTTGCCCTAGACCTCGAGTCAAGAATCCATTTATTGTCCCTGACTGAACAATGTTGTGGAATGGGCAGTGCACAAACATATTGTCAAGCTGCAAGTACAAGCGCAGAAAGAATGTATTTTTAACTTAACCGTAGCACAACTAATGTCCATCACTGAAAGTCATGGTCCACCTGGCCGCGGTTCTGGTCTTGGTCCCGGGGGGGGGGCTTGCTGGGGGTAATGCTGAGGATCACCCAAAGGTTTAGTGGTGTTTGGACCTAAACCGCGGTGTTATGCTATTGGCCAACTGCAGGCAGGCGTTACGATAACGATAAGCATCTCTTTCTCTTGGCTACGTCAAAACGCTTCTTTTTTTCCTTCTTTTTTTTTCCTGTTACTGCCTTCTGATTGTCCCTGCGACACGACACCATTTCCAGCAAAGCAACCCTCCTGCGACAAACCTAAGTTTCCAGGGAAGCCACCCTACTACCACTTCCATGTCATCATAACTGTAACCTTTTGGGGCCCTTCAATGGCTGATACGGCACCAACATGCGCTTCCCTCACACCCAGGTAGCAGCAACCCTCTGCCACGGCTTCCACGCCGCAGCCCGGTCTACCGCCTCACGCCCTCTCTCCTGCAGTCAGCGTTCCCTCCTCCACCAGACCTCGGCCGCCTTCCGACCTCGCCAGCGCTTCTTCTTCACCTCAAATCTGCGGCTCTCCAAGGATGGCAGCGGTGACGCCAGCACAACCTCCCCCCCGATTGTCTCGACTGACCTCGGAACCTCGGAGGCACGGCCCGACCACGCTCAACAACAACAAGCTCAACAGCAGCAGATCAGCCAACATGGAGGAGGGAGCAGCAGGAGGAAGACGGCTAGACCAGCTGGTGCTGGAGGCAGTGGCAGCAGCAGCCATGGCAGCAATAGCAGTGGCGCCACCAAGAGAAAGCTCCGCGACCCACTCCGCCGCGTGGCCTCGCTTGCCCAGCGGTCCAGCGGCAAGCCCCCCAAGGCCACGCGCGGCGGACAGGGCGAACCGGGCAAGGACTATAGCACCACCATCTGCGCCATCTGCGTCGCTGAGTCCTTCGACATGAAGGCCGTCGTGCGCTCCCTCCAGGACCAGCACTACCTGATCGACCCAGACGGCCTGGACTTTGACGACGAGGAGGTTGTCCACGCCGGCGTGCGCGGCGGGCCTGGCGACTTCTTCATCTTCGAGACCGGCACTGTCGTCACCTGGAGCCTGCCGCCCGAGAAGGGCATCGAGCTCGCCACAGGCTTCCTCGCGTCTGCCCACCAGAACTCGTACTTGACGCAGATGGACCGGGATGACATGACGGAAAAGCTCGAGTTCGAAATGGACCCGGCCACGTCGTGGAGCCTGATGCGTGGCGACATGGTCGTGCTGGGCACCCGGCGCGATGAGGGGGCTGCCGCCGACTTCGACCCGACCGATATCGGGCGCGCCAAGATCGCCTTCTCGTCCGGCCTGGCCCGGAGCACCAAGGTCGCCGTCCTCGAGACCCTCCTCAGCGCCTACCTCGAGCGGACCGAGGAGCTGCCCGCCCAGCTCGAGAGCGGCCGGCTGCGCGTGCGCATGCCCGAGATCCTCCAGCGCACGGGCGAGCTGCTGCGCCTGCGATCCCAGCTCAACTTCTTCTCGGAGCTGACCGACTCCCTGCCCGACAAATTCTGGGACCAGCGCGCCGAGCTCAAGCTCGACAGCATCTACGACCAGGTCGGCAAGGCCCTCGATGTCCCCTCGCGCATCCGCGTCCTCAACCAGCGCATGGACTATGCCGACTCCATGCTCGAGACCTTTCGTGAGATGCTACACTCCACTCACAGCGCCCGCCTCGAGTGGATCATCATCGTGCTCATCGCCATCGAGATCGGCTTCGAGCTGTATCATATGTGGAGGGAGTACGTGACCGGCGGCGGATCTGCACAAGTAAAAGAAAAAGGGGAGGAAGAAATAAAAGCCAAGCAGGCCACGTTGGTGTGAGGGACATAAGTGCTGCTGGCCGTGGTACAACGGGCAAAGATGTATTGTTGCCGCCGCCGCCTCTCCTCTTGGCGAGCGTTTTCATGCAAGAAAAAATGATACCCGAGACTTTTTGTTATATGATGATCATCAGTTTGCATTGTGTGATGAGCGTTGCGCAACGAAAGGAGGGACAGAAAGAAGCAAAAAAAAAAAATAAAGTAACTCCACTCAAGACTCTTCTTCAGCCTTGTGCAGAAATTCTACCGCGCTAAGGTGTATAAGTACTATCGCCAGCTGATCACTTAAAATACGTATGCCCTGTGATCTTCTGTGACCAAATAATCTTCATTATGTGTGCGCAAGGGAGAGCAATGCAAAAAGAGTCCAAGCCCATAGGAAACTGGATTGACTATACATCCAACTAAAGAAATGCCCACGATAGTCGAAAATGGAAGGGGGAAAAAGCCGGATGGGGGGGGGGGGAGGGACCATGGAACGGGAACCGGATTTGTTTCTATTAGCGGTGGCTGCATTCTTCAATTACATAATATCCACATCAAGGCCTAGCAACAAGAAGAAGAGAGAAAGGAAAGGAAAGATTCTTGTACATAGTCCACCCGGTAAAAAGGGGGATGGATATGGTATAGGGAGGTACGCGCAACAACATACACAACCGTATTGAACTCCGCTTTCCTGCCCCCTCCCCCCCCGGGTCCTTTGAATCAAAAGCATAGTGATCTGCCTCTTCAGCCCAACAGAGATAGAGAGAAGAACATGACCAATCCCTCCCATTTTAAAGAACAAAACTGGTAACAAGCCAGACAGAAGGTCAAAACTCTCAGAACGCCGCGACTTGACCCGGGTATGGGGATTTGTCAAAGAATGTCTGCCCCCTCCGCCCCGCCCCAAAAATCTCCCATGATGCTGTGACATCGTACACTCATCCCAATCTTTTCCGTCTAACATCTAGCTTTGATAATCCCGTCCGGTATGATAGGTATCAGACAGGAGTTGGTGGTTTCGCCTGTACATTTGCAGACGGTGCTGGCGAGGGTGTGGCTCCCTGCATGGGACCCGGGCTCGGCGACGTCATCTGTTGAGGTACACCGTTCATGCCAGCAGGGGGAGGTGGTGCAGCCGCGCCCGACAGCCTAGGACTTGGTGAGGTTTGACCTATGCCGCCGGGCATATTGGCTCGGAATTGTGCCAGCTTCTGATAATCTACGGGAGGCCCTCCAAGGCCGATCCCGCCTAGGCCGGCAACACCGTGATGATTCGCAGAACCAGCGTGGTGGCTTTGCTGCATCTTCTCGTTAAATTGATTGATGCGTCCAATGGCTTGGTTCCTTTGCTGCAGTTGATGTTGATACCGCTGCTCCGGTGACATCTGACCAGCCCATGCAGGCTGCTGCGCCACTGCCGGCCCAGCACTTTGAGAGCTGGGCTGCGCACCATTCGAAGGATAGCGAGGAATGCCTGTAGGATGTCCACCTGGCTGTCCGGGCGTCCCGTAAGAAGGCCGCGCCTGAGGCATAGGCGGTTGGCCAGGTCGTGGCGAATAACCCTGCGCGCTCTGGTATGGTGGTGACATTTGTGGAGACATAGTCCTCGTCTGCATCGTTCCATTCATGTGCGGCGTCATGTTGCCAGGCTGTTGTTGATATTGAGGCTGCATACCGGGCTGTGGCTGCTGCTGCGGGGTATAACCTGGATAGCCTTGACCATAGCGACCAGGCGTGCCAGGCTGCTGCTGTACATGCTGCTGATAATTGGAAGCCGGTCGCTGTTGTGGCTGTTGTTGGCCTGGGGTGCCCTGATACGCTGGAACAGCACCCGGCGTACCATAATTCCTAAGTGGCTGCATGGACTGCTGAGGATTCCATCCGTTCGGTCTCGCAAAGGGCTGGCCTGTCGGTGGCCGTTGCTGAGGGGTTGGCATGCCCGGTATGGGAACCGACATCTGGCGCGAGTAGGATGGGGGTATGTGATTGCGCACAGGAGATTGACGATAATGATTCGGTACAGGCACTGGTGTCTGGTTGGGCATCTGGAACTGGCGGTGATTAAACTGCTGGCCGGATTGGTACGGCGTGGCGTTTTGGTAGCTCGGGGTCCGTTGTGGCTGTCTCGGGGTCTGTGCGGCCTGCGCCGCTTGTTGCTGCTGGTGCTGCCGGAGCCTCGCGGCGGCCTCATCCTCTTCCATCACACCCTTGTACACGTCGCTCCTCACCTCAATCTTGGTGCTCACACTCAGCTCCTCCAGCTTGTCGGAGTTCAGGCGAGCCACGGCATACGGGGGCAGGCCGGAGACAATCACTGCAAGCTGGTCCTTAAGCATCTCGTATGTCTCTCTTTCTTCCTCAGAGGGCTCCTGGAATGGCGAGCCAAGCATGTTATCGGGCTTGGTGGGGTCAGCCGCGCCCCGGTTCTGGCTGGTCGGCAATGTCAGATGTCGGTTTCTCTGGTAGGATGACAACGTCTCGATGAGATCCGAAATCTCCTGCAGAGTGTCATCGAGCTCCTTCTCTACCTCCGTCTTCTTGGCCAGCGCCTCATCATCACCAGTCAGGCTCGGGTCGACGAGGCTGTCATCCCAATTCTCAATAGCCTTGGCAATCTCTTCTTCCTCGATGTCGGTGATAGCAACTGAAGGGTCCGCCTCGGCGTTTACGTCGTCAGCCAGTTCAGCGGCGATCAGCTGTTGCATGTACCGGTATCCTAGGCGCTGGTACCACACACGGCCAACCTCGCCCGACGAAATGACCGCACCACCGTCGTCCTTCTCCGGTGCAAAGCTCGAGAAGGCGCCGCGGAACAGAGCTTCCATCTCCGTGATCTCGACGTCAATCGAAGAAGAGGAAGAAGGCTTCTGGTCAAGCGTCATATCCCGTTGGTGATCCTTGTCCCTGCGGCCCGGCGTTGCATTGCTGTAGTCCAACCAGACGCCGGTAGTGAGCTCCTTGACAAAATACGAGTCCTTGTCGTGGCGGTGTGTCGCCTGTTCTGCCAGCTCGGGGTGATAGAACCCCAACAGCTTGCCCTTGTTGTGCGCCTTGGACGATTTCGGTGCCTCCACAGGGGGAAACGTGGCTTGTGAGGGAAATAGTTCACCCAAGGTCGGCACTCGAGTGGGTTTCTGTTGCACTGCTGGCGGAAGGACGGTTGTCGTGGACAAACCATACGGGAGTTGCGCATCGGTCAGCGGCTTAGGCGCGCCGCCTGCATCCCCGCCATGGTGCCGTTTCGGAAGACTGGAAAACAGGTGTCGTCCTTGTGGTGCTTGGCCGAAGACGGTCAGAACTGTGTTGTCAGCGGCGGGCTTTTGCACGAGATCATCGAAATTCTCAGAGGTATCAGCATCGGTGGTTGGCGCATTGCTGGGATAAGACATTTCCCGGTGGTGCATATCGAGGGCTTTCTCCTTCAGCTTGTTGAGCTGGATGAGGTCGTCATCGTCAAGATTGGTGGCGCCGTCGGCAGGTTCTGCGGATCGCAGCTCAACAGCACGATCATCGATAACCTTCTTGAGGTCCAGAACGAGCTGGTCAAGTAACTTGTAGGCATCCGAATTGACCTTGTCCTCAATGCACCGGGGTGTAGAGACATCCTCATCGGACTTGTGTCGCTTAGACTGGGGTTCGTCGGCGGTAGAAGCATCTGGTAATGGTCGCTTGAGGATGGAGGGCGTCGTGTCGTATCTAAAAAGATGTAATTTTCAGTAAAGAGTGGCCGTTGGATGCAGGGCAATGTGGGCATGGAATCATGAGAAGGAAAAAGCGAAAACCTTGCAGACGTAGAAGAAAAAGAAAAGGAAAGGAAAAGGGTTTGTCGCGTACCTTTGAAGCACATCAAAATAGTCGCGAATCAATGTCCTCTCGTCGCGGAGTAGCTGATCATCATTGACGACCGGTGTGACCCCGTTAGCATCATCGAGTTTTGTTGATCCATCGTCGCTGGCCTCACGCTTGCGCTTGGTGGTGGTGGGACCGTCGAGTTGAGACTCTGATGGAGACGACGGCCCCGGGCCAGCAGCAGCTGCAGCAGCATGGCCATTGACCTGCACAGCAGCCTCAGCAGGCGAGGCCATTGTGACAGCCCAGCGAAATTTTGGCGGGATGCACTCGAGGCAGGTCGAGGCTGCGGGCGGGGAGGGGGATCTAGGGCGATTCCAAGAAGTGGTCGAATGATTTTCAATAGTTGAGCGGCAAGGTGGTGGTTCGTCGCGACTTTGCTCGTCGCGTTGGCCTCGCGCGCAATGGGGGGGATGGGGGGGCTTTCTTGCCTGGGTAAAGTTCCAAGGGAGAAACGGAGACCTTTGAACCTCTTGTCACTGACAGTGGCAGTAAAGGTCCTGCCGGGTGCAAAAGGCAGAATCAAGCTAAAATTTGTCCACTAGTCCTCTTTCGGTCATGTCAGGACTTACGTAATCACGAACCTCACCAAGACCCTTTTCAACTTCGGCCATGGACATTGAGGTTCAATCATGAGAAACATCTTCCTCAGAACAGTGCATGCAACTCACATTACAACATTACAGATGACTCACGCCATTGCATCGACTAAAGGCCGTTCACAAATGGGAAAATCAATACCTGAGCGTCTTTGGGGCAGGCCAGTTGCTGCGTCCTCCTTCTGCACAGCCTACGATAGGGACAGTCCGTCATGCATGTACCATGCAGAGCTGTTGTCTTCACTGTAGATACAAGCTTTGCATCCCTACGACATAGCGGTGGAAGGGCAGTGCTGGTATTCTCCAGCAGATGTTGCGGTGAGGGTCCTCACGTGTGCTTTGACCTACCTGCTCCCAGAAACCAGCAACTTACGAGTGCCCTCCATGACAAGTCGCGCACGGTCTTACGTCGAAGAGAGCATTTCCTATCTGGCCGATGAGCACGGGAAGGCTGGAGAAGAGTGTCTGCAAATCGCATCGTCGGACAGAAGTGTGCAACACCACCCACGAGATGGTCGCTACCATAAGGATTTCCACACCTCTCTCTCTCTCTCTCTCTCTCTCTCTCTCTCATATCGTATTGTCCTGTGTATCGGAGATTTTATGTCATCCCAAGGTCTCTCATATGCTGGACTGGGGTATTGGTATGCCCATGACGGTTGCATTCCCTAGTGGTGGTCATAGATCATCATAAGCAGCCACAGGTGTCAAGCACCAGGGGCAGATGACTCTATAAGAGGTCGTGCAAGTCGACTGCGAGCGTTCCCAAGTCCGTCCTTGGACTTCAAGAAAAATCGGGTTCTATTTCGGAGGCACATTTGTTAAGACCCGAATAGGAATCCAACGGTAGGCTGTGCTCGTCTTGGGACTCAGCTTGACGTGCGTGACCCGAGACAGACGCTGACGAGAAGATCGGCCATGGCAGTCTCATCCATTCTAGCCATGCGTTGCCTCGACAAGGGATCTTCCGCAGTGTTGCATTCGACATGTACGTATGGATGGTTGGGAATGAAGACATCAAAAGTGCCACAGACAAGGTCACGGAAATGTAAAGACAGAGAAAGAATCGTAGCCCTTGTGTGAGGGGGCTGTGCTTCAGTTGTATAGACAGAAGTGGGGATGGGGCGAAAAAAGGGAAGAAGGAAAAAGACAACTGGCCAAGGTCAAACCCGAGGCTGAAGTTCGAGTTTCGCGCGCCTCGTAAAGAAAGAAAGTATTGAAAACTGGAACGAGGGTACTGGACGGCGAGGCTTTGACTTAAAGAAGATCTCCAACGGAGCCGCCCCGAGGAAACTCACTGAAGGTCCAAGCCCTTAAGCCTAGAATGGCAGGGGTGACAAGGGTTGTTGGTAACCCTGCATGGGCCTTCCGCGTCAGGTCCCTCTAGCGGGCCTGCATTGATTGGTGCCAGACCCCTGGTCATTGTATTCACTGGCGGTAGTACTGGGGTTCACTGCCCACTTACAAGGTCGTCTTCGCGCGCGTCTGCCCATGGATGACTTAGTAACCTCGCGATATCAACCTCCACGTCGACCTTCGTGGGGAGGGCCGCGGCAAACATCCTCGTCCCGTCCCCCTTGCTCTCTGCGCTGGTCGGCGCTTAGCTAGATGGTGGGCTTCATTTCTCTCCCCTTCCTGCGATGCTGCTTGGTCCAACCTCACTCCCCACCCATCCCAAAAACCACCCCATGCGCCCATGCCATTCATGTCTCTTCGGGTGTCCCACCTGGAAAGACACCTCAACGGTGATGCCCACCCTGAGGTTGCTATATCTGGCTCGAGAGCAGGGCATTGGACCTCGACGCTGCCGCGGAGGGGTGGTCTGTCTCTGTGGCCTCATTTTCCTATCCTCCTGGTGCTGCAGTTCGTTCATTCGATGATGGACTTCATGCTCCAGTGGTCTAGAACCGGGGCTGCGTTCCGGGGAGGGCTGGGCCGGAAACATCGTGGCCCTACCTTAATTCGCCTCGTATCGAGATCTTGTTTGCATACTCTCAAGGTTCGTACAAAAGACATGCAGATCTTCCGCCAAGTCGAGTTGATCTTCTTGCGTCTAGACCACATCATAATTTTTTAACCCGCTTGCCTTCTCATATTTGTCTTCATTCTCTTTCTCTCACTCTTCAGTAACACAACACATCGTTTGTCTAACTTTCTTTCGTTTTCTTCTGCCAAGTCGTGGCGCTTGCGTACAGACACTCAGCATTCGCTTTACATCTCTTGCTACTCGAGGGATTCGCCTTCACCTTCTCTTCCAATATAGAGAGTCTGGGAACCCTCATTACTGTTTACGCTTTGAGCATCATTAACTCATTGAGCTCACTTGTCACCCATTCATTTACTTTTTCTCCCTCTTTTTCCTTTCCTTTCGTCTTCACACTCCATTCGTTGAGAGATTTCAAAAGAATAAAAGCATTCAAAATCACAAACATGCAACTCCAATACTTCTTGTTTCAGTTTCTTCTGTTTTCTGCAGTCGAGGCCGGTCCTCTGAAGAAGGGCTCTCAATTCCACCCTGGAGGCATACGCGGTCGACAGCAAGGCGTACAATACACCAACACCACCACCTCAGTCTCCTCGACATCCTCCTCCTCCTCTGTCCAGGGTGCCAGCCTGTTCGCTGCGAGCCAGACGTCCGACTCACAACAAGCATCAACCTCCTCAGGGACATTGGAAGTTGTCCCCGTGGGGCAGTCGTCAGCAGCATCAGCCGCAGCAACACACCATGCCTCCACCACCGCACCGGCGATAGCATCCCACAACAATGCCCTCCAGACACCAGGCACCAGTAGTACTGTGCTGTCTTCTGGTACTCAGGCCGAGACAGCAACCGGGACAGCCAGTTCAGAGACTACAGTGATCACCGTCACACCACCAGTCTCGACGCGAAAGTCCTCTCTTCTGTCGTCGACAAGTTCCCAGGCTGTCTCAGGGAAGGCCTCCCAGGTCTCCTCATCCTCCTCCTCGGCCTTGCTCAGTGCCAGCGGGCTGCAGTTGACTTCCACGCTGTCACAGGCCACCCCAAGTACCACCGCCCTCATCTCATCTGAGCCAGCGTCACCCGAGATCTCTTCTTCATCCCCACCATCATCTTCATCATCATCAGAGATTTCAGCCTCCTCATCGGTCAGTGCTCAGGCCCTCACTAGAAAACCAGCACAAAGCACGCTAGGTCCTTCGGGTGCCTCTTCCACCTCCCAGACTGCACAGGATAGCATCTCCTCGTCTTCAAGCCCATCCGAGACGATCCAGTCCAGCGAGCAGACGGTCAAGGCATCCTCTACTTCAGAGGTCAACGAGGGCAAAGGCGTCGTGACGGCCACTGTCCCGTCGTCGACAGCAGTTGTCACAGTGCAGCCGATCTCGAGCGACAGCACTGTGTCTTCCTCTTCGACGGATTCTGCCACCACCATCACCAGTAGCAGCTCGAGCCAAGATACAGAAACATCGACGGCAACCGACAAGGCTATTGTTACTGGCGGCTCCTCGACAGGCTCAGCAGAGACCGTTCAGTCTAGTGAGACCGCTTCAAAGTCGTCGGACTCGAAAGCAACAGGTGGCGCAGGCGCTGTGACGGTCACTGTACCATCTTCCACAGCAGTCGTCACAGTCCAACCGAGCAAGGCCAGCAGCGAGCCCTCTTCCTCCGAGGAGGACAGGACGTCGTCCTCGTCATCGCCCTCATCCTCTGAGGAGGCCCACTTGCACAACACCGGCGTCACGACCATCACCGTCCCCTCGTCCACAGCCTACGCTACTGTGACGCCCTCCTCCTCCTCCTCCTCCTCCTCCTCCTCCCCCCCGACCACAAGCTCCTCCTCAACCATCCGCGTCGCAGAGAGCACCTCAACATCTTCCACCCCCGAGGCGACACCAACAACATCCTCCTCCTCCACCATCACCACCCAGAGTCGACATGAGGCCCACCACCACACAGACGAACCCACAACAGTCTCCACAACCGAGACCCCCGTCGAGCCCACATCAACAAGCACCGCCATCACCACCACCCAACAGCAGCCAAACGAGAACCTCCCAACTACCACCTCCGCCGGCCCCTCCGAATCAGCCGACGTCTCCTCAGCCGCAGCCCCCTTCGCCGTAGTGCCCATAACCCAAGACCACAACAACCACAACGGCGCGTCTCCAACCACCACCATCACCACGCCGGCACCCTCCGCCGAGAACACCAGCACCGCTGCGGAATCTCCTGCTGCCGCCACCACCACCATCGGCAACGGCAACGCGGTCGCCCCGCAGGCCGCCGGCACCTCGACCAGCACCACCGTGGACGGGATCACGACGAGCATCTTCGTGACGGTGACGGCGGTGTCGACGCTGATTGAGAGGGAGACGGTGACGGTGGGGCTGGCCACGACTACCCTGTTGGTTGCGACGGGCGGGATCTTCTAAAGAAGGGTGGGTGCGTTGGTTAGTTGGGTTTTTTGGGAAGGGTTTTTTTTTTTTGGCTTGGGTTCGTCAAAAGGCAGAAAGCTGGATGGGAAGGGGAAATGGGTTGTTGATTGGCGCATATAGATTGATTCATGCAAAGGATATTCTCGCGGGATCTGGATACTTTTAGCACGCACATAAACACACACAAACACAAAAAACACATACCTAGATAATCTTGGATAGTACAGAAAGAAAACCACCCAATACATTAATCGTAATACAATTTTTGCGGCCACACCCGACGATGCCAATGACATGCATGGTGCGTCAGAATGACCAACTCTATACGTTCAATTAGAAATTAAAGAATCCATTACCCAATTGCTCCACGCAATGCAGCATAAGCTAATCAGCCATCGAAGTTCGCTACAGCCATAAGAAGGATATCAAAGTAAGCAAAACCCCCAGTCGGGAAAATGGGTTTCATGGTCCCCCTCCATTGGCCGTGTCTCGCCTGCGCTCTCTGTCCGAATAGACCCAGCCGCCTGCTCTATCACCGTGAATCCATGCAGTTCCATCTCCTGCTCCTCCCTCACCTCGTGGGACTGAGGCCCGTCGAGGCGGAGTTTCTTGGACGGCGGTTGCTGCTGTTCGTCGTCATCGTCATCGGTGACCATCCTCGAAAGCGGGTGCTTGCCGTTCAGAATCACCACCACGTCATCAGCCATACTATCAAGGCTTGCCGTAGGTGTCAAGGCCGGGCGGCTGGTGACCGGTGTCGATGCCGTGTCCAGGCCAGGAGTGTGAGAGCTGCTCCGAGAGGTTCCGGCGTGACCACCATCCAGCTCAGGAGCCGCAGACGGTACCAGAAGCAATCGGGTATCTTCTGGGCGGGCCTCCAACGATGGTACATCACCGCGGTCCTTTATCCAAAAAGAGGAGGGAACGGGCACATGCGCATCTTCATACAGCGTGCCCATAGCCGCCTCCCGCAGCGCCAGCCCGAGCGCCATACTGATGCCCCTCGCAACGGCGTTGCCAAGCATCTTCCACTGGTCCGCCGGAGCGCCCAGCACGACCTCGTCGTCCGGCACGCCTTGCGCCCTCCGGATCTCCATGATCGATAGCGGCCGCGGCTGGTCCCAGTGCATGAGATTGCCCCCGATACGGGCATCCGTCATGTGGCAGCCCGTCGTGACCGTGCCAAACAGTCTATGGGGGTGGGCGCGGCCCCAGCCCTTGGAATCCTTCTTGGTCCGGTGAAAATGTGCCGGCGGGAACGCGTCACGCTCGTGCTCAAACATATCCGCCTCGCCCTCGGGAGTCTTCGTGGTGTAGTACGCCTTGGAAAAGTTCACCCCATAGGGTCTGATAGGGATATTAAAGACTTGCGTGCGCCTGTTTTTACCCTCGCCCAGCCGACGCCGGTTACGCTGGTCGCCGGACGATATCGAAATCGACAGCCTGTGGTCTGGGAAGGGTATACAAGTGTCTGGTTTCGCATCGAGAATATCCGGCAGGTCCGCCGTGGCTTTACTGGCCGTCACGTACTCAAAGGCGGTAGGTCTATCAATGCGCTCGACATACGGTTCGCCGTTCGTCATCTGGCCCAGGCGGCTGCCAAGTCGGTATTCGAACGCTGGGGTCGAGTGCGATGGGTAAGGCGGCTTTGGAAGGCTCACACCAGGAGCCGCGAAGTAGAGGAACGCGCGGACTCGTCTCTGGGGACAGCCATACGACCAGGCCTCGCCGAGGATGATCTGACACTGATAGCCCATGCCTACCAGCGCACAGATGAGCTGGGAGAAGAAGTCTTCTGTGCGATTCCTCATGCTCTGGACAATCGTCCTGACGTTCTCGAGGATTCCCCACCGCGGACGCCAGAAGTCGACGCAAGAAGCGAAAGAAGCCACCAGAGAGCGATTCTTGGTTTGATGCAGTGTCGTCTTGTCGGACGTTATGAGCGAAAACCCCGGGCAAGGGCTCCCACCTGAGATCACGTCTACCTCTCCTGGTCGTGGGACCGCAGCGCTAAACTTACCTTCTATCCCACTGAGAAGTAAATCGTCTATGGATCCCAGAAACGGCTGAACAGAATCGGGTTCCTTGGTATTGGCCATATAGGTGTGAATAGCCTCCTTGGAGATATCGTTGGCCCAATTCGCCTCCACAGCACCACCGTCCTCAAGACCACGGCCAAAATTGCCACCTCCACAGAAGAGATCCATGCCTCGGAGCCTCTTTTGCGCCTGGTTCGGGTCAAAGCCTTGGCGGAAGTGTGGCTGGTTGTTCTGCCCCAGTGGTTGAAGGGAACCGTCCTGAAGCAGGCAGTGGGACACAAAGAAGGCATTGCCGGTTCCATTTCGATTGTATGGCGCAGGAAGCGGCTCCCCAGGAGGGTAGCATCGCACGATACATCTTGTAGCCAGAGCATTAACCGACAAGTGCAATTCGTCCTCTGCGTTCGCTGTATAGACCAGTTCGTTGGGAGCACAGACAACATCGAACTCCCTCCGTCTCCTGAACCTTCGCAGCAGGACGCTTCGGTTTCGGTCCAAATAGCCCAGCAGCTCGCATGGCTCGAGAAAGCGACTGTTAGGAGTCGAGGCGAGCACTGTATCCCCAATGGTATATTCTGTCGCGGGCTCATTGTCGTGGTTGCACTGCAGATGAGCCTCCTCGAGAGTAACAAATCTTCGCTCAGCGGTGTGGTAGGTCTGTCTGACGAAGAATTCAGCTTCTGTGTCTGGACTTCCAAACCACTCCACAGAATGGACGTCGAGGACTTGACCCTCTCCGATCTTGGACGTCACGCTTTGGTCGCACGTGCAGTGCTCGCTTAAGAACAGCTCGTTGGGCCACGGATACTTCATCGAGCAGCAAGGCGTATCCTCGGGCTGGTAGAGCCAAATGACATCGTATCGCCGCCCGCCCTTTTTCGTAGTGTGCACCTTCTGCACAAGACCGTACCACTTCTTGTCTGGACGGTCTGTCATCCACTTTGTGCCAGACTCCTCGGCATCCGGCGGCGTGGAAATAAGATCCCCCGGGCAGATGCCGCTGACCAAGGAATTGCGATTGGTTGAAGCAGGTGCGGTCCGAGTGAAAGCGAGGCGCCTCGTCCGGTCGTTGCCCCAAGACAGCCTGGTGGCTTCCTCGGCACTGATGCAAGGCTTCACCGGCTTCAGGAGTCCTGCTAACCGCAGGCGCGAAAAGCATTCGTATATGTAGGGCGTGACAATGGTGTGTGGTATGATGTTGGTCTTTCGCATGGTCCCTACACCTTTGTAAAAGTCAAAGGGCTCTGCGATCTCTCGGAAGATGTGTAGGCGCTCCAATTGGTATCGATCGAAAGTACCATGCATCTCCTTGCGAAGGAACGGCTTGTTCGCGATGATACTCTGGCGGAAGTCGTCACTCTTGCGCTGGCTGTACCACTTGAGGAAGGAACGGCTGCCCTGGTGAACCTGTCGCAGCCACTTGCCAAAGTCTTCCTTGAAGTTGCGAAGGCAGACATCGCGGCCGTCTTCCAAAAGATGTTCACAGAAGTCAAACATGTGCTTCGCAAGGTCAGCAACCCACAAGAAAGCCTCGTGAAATCTGGCATATTCAGGGGCGGGGCGCTTGAGCTGATAGTAAATCTCCCTCCTCGCGTTGAGTTGGGAGCGTATCCACATCTGGTCGCCCACGGCAGGCTCGTAACATCCTGTATCGGGGTCCTTGCCGTAGTTGCCCAAAGGAATTTGGTCGAACTCGACTCCCTGAACCAAATAAGCGGCGTCACCGATGCGCAAGGTGCCATCGAAATAGAAAGCCTGTTTGCCAGTACGAGTAGCGTGATCGTGGAGACCGCGCATTTCACATGGGGATTGGTCGCTGTTCATGTAGCAGGCGAAGTCGTCGAGCTCGAATTGGATAAAGTCCTCGTTCCTCTGGGAAGGGTCGGCCCTCAGCAGGGCCTGCAAAGCCTCTCTCTCTGTTTTGCGTGATGCTGGAGGATCGAAGGGTTCGTAGGCCGACCGCGGGCTCACGAGGGTCGACCTCGGCAGGTCCACGACGATACGCCGCAGCTTCGGCTCCTTTGGCAGGGTTTCTGAGGCGGCCTTATCGACGTCATCATCCTCTGCAACTACTTCGTCGATGGCAGCAACAACATCTTCGGCATTTTCGTCGAACCGGGAAGCCACCCACGCCTCCGTCGGATCGTCATCTTCCAGGGCACAGAGGAGGTCGCTCTGAACTAATGGCTCCATAATAGCGCAAAGTCTGAGAGAAGGTCGGCATGAAACGCTGCGATGCCAAGGCCTCCGGGTTATTCTTGTACTGCAGGTGCGAAGGGGTCAAGGATGTGCGCCTCCCAAGCGAACAACACGAGGAACGGAAGGACGGATGAAGCAAAATTCCAGCCACACTTCAAGGGTTGAAAAGGCAAAAATTAAAGAGGTATCGTAACAAATAAGTGTGGGCCAAGGTGGGAGGCAAGATAGCCAGCCATCGAACCCCGACACACCTCCCTGGAGAGACAAGGTGAGGTGAGATGTCGCGTCGAAAGGGAGGGGCTCTTCAGACAGGTGAAGATGTCACGACAGAGCAAGTCCAGAGACACAGGAGGAGGGGAGCTCTGAGCTTCAAAGGTTAGCCTCAGTCACCAGGTCCGTGAATGACAAAAGAACAGCCATTCGATGAGTACTTTGTCTTACTCAACAGTTCATGATGGCATGTGACTTACCCAAGCTCAGAGACGGCAGCAAGAGGAGAGTAGATATGTGCCTTCCAAGAAGAAGCCAGGAACCCTTGGGAAAGAAGAAACCCTGATTTAAGACTCAAATAGAATATAAAGACATATACAACCATACAACCAGCAATGCAAGTGCATATAGAGAGAGCGCGCGGTGGGGCTGTTTTATGTGGCATAAGAATGTCGCTGCGTCTAGGAAGTAACTTAGTAAATAGCTAGCTAGGCGTGCTAGGAACGATCGCGTTGCAGGATGCGCAAGGGAACGCGACCGCATGAGCAGCGGTCCCATCCATTGGCCAATGGGGTTTTGCATCCGGGGCCCGCTTTGGCTGACATGGGTCAAGGGCCATTTTCCTTCCCTTTTCCCTACTAGAAACTGAGCCGTCATCCTGGATAAGCAAGCCTGACTGGTCCAGGAGTGAATATGGAGAGAAGCCTTTCTTTCTCTCCAGTAGAGAGAAGCGTTCATCTTCATTGTAAAATGTAGACCTCATAAGGATCGGGTATCTCGTTGTTCTTGTGGCCAATTACACAAGCCGGTGTCCACACCATTTCTCTCTGTCTCTCTAAAGCATCTCATCCTGTACGTTCTTGTAATTTCTATACTGCTCCACGTCCTCCTCGCTGGGCCACGTCCACGTCCCACCCCGCTCCACCAGCTCCTGGAATCGTCTCTCCATCGCCTTGGCCGTCTCTACGTCAAAGGTCTCGTCCGTGAAGGCCCGGAAGCAAGCGAACGCCTGCATGAGCATGCCCCACTGCTTATGGCCCGGATCGCGAGCGTTCTGCAGAACCTCGCCCATTTCCCACGACGAGAGCGCCCATTCGACCACGCGCCTGCCTTCGTCCACGTCGCCAACTCTCATCAGCACCTCCAGGTACATCTGGATGTGCGCGGCACTGAGCTCGTGGTACAGTGTGGGCAGGTCCGAGGTCATCATCTGGGAACCCTCGGGAGCCTGAACACGTGCTATGAGCTCTGCGAAGGTGGATTTGAGCACCCCAAGCGCGCTTTCTATCTCCTCTCTCCCGGGCGCGGTTTTGAGGTCCGTAGTGGGGCCTTTGTGGCGAAGCACTTTGAGGATGCAGCGGGCCAGACAGTTGAAGGGAATGGGGTGAAGGGCCTGGCTCTCCCTGTAGGTCCTGAAAAGCTGCATCATCATTCCCAGAGCCTGGATGTCGTCCTCGACTTGGGTCACATAGGGCCGTAGGACAAGCTTGGTGTTGGCCAGGGTCATCATGACGGTATGCCAAGGAAGTGCGGCACGCTTTCGCCCTGGGCCCATTCGGGCACAAAGAAGCTTGACTGCACGGTTGACACACTCGTGCTTCATGACAACCTCGGGTCGTCGACGATGTTCAGGATCGTCGACCCATCGCCGGCGGGATTGAAGGCGACACAGCAGGCCAAGGTATGCGTCAAAAGCGGCGACGGGGATCCGCTGTAGATTTTCGTGTAGTGGCGTGAGTGCTTTGGTGAGATCCGTCACTGCTTTTCTGTCCAGAGCGGCATCGCTCAAGAACTGAGCCGCTCTCTCCAGCGATGGAGCATTTCGTATCAGCAAGGTGAGGCAGTGGCGGGCTGGTCTGTTGCCGTCTCGCAACATCTTCTCGTAGAGCTCCTCTGGAGAACACGGTCTCAACCGCTCGCGTTCGAAGTCGGTTAGATTGACCTCACAGGCGGGGTATGTCTCCTTGGCTTCGCCTGGGAGAATGGATGACATGTACTCGATCTCTGCAGAGAAGATCTTCGAGAACATTTCCGCGTAGACCTGGAAATTTGGTTTCATACCATGTTGAGGAGGCTCGTGAAATCTCTGCCATGCTTCGTGTGCATTCCGAGTAGCCTTGACCGCCGCAGCCCACTCTGTGAAAACATTAAGAGAACTCAAGTCGGAGGGCCAGAGCCGCGGAGACCCCGAGCGCTGCTGAATTGACACCGATTGTCCAGGCGCGGCACCGCCAAGGGTATCAAGAGCCTTGTCCACGAGGTCGTCGGGGTACCCCTCTGAGCGCTTGAGTATGCCGGCCTTGACGCTCCTGCCGAGGTACTCCTCTTCGCTCCTCGCCTCATCAAGTCCGTCAAGGTGCCTCACATAGGGCGGCCAGGTCTTTACATGCCGGGCCGCCGTCATCTTTTCGGCTTGCGTCTTCTTGAGTCCCAAGAGCACTATCCGGATCGCCCTGTAGCTCCCTCTGTCGATGATGAGCGGGCGTTTGAGTTCTGCTGAAAAGCCAAGCAAGATTCTCTGGGCTTCCCAGCTGTGAAGCGAATGGGCCACAGGCGATGACGCTGGCGTCCGGCGGAATGTCTGCAGCGCGAAGTTGAAGACCATGCAGCGATCCCCATAGGCAGTACGCCGGGTGGCCTTCTTGGGCACGGTGTCGTCCAGCAATGTTTGTATGTAACCAACCACAAGCCGAGAGATCATGACTATGGAGGAGGGGAATGTATCCAGGCAGTGTCCCACTAGACGCTCTATCAGGAGCATGAAATGAGTGGGTGTCATGTTGAACGGATCGTCCAATGTACGGCTGAGTGCGCCTTGAAATATCCGGGTCTGGAATTTCACGTCCGGCCTAAAGTAGGTTCTAGCGATGTAGTCGTACAACTTGACCAATGAAGAGCCTTTGAGGAAATGCTCGTCGGAGCGAAGTATCGCCATGAGGACAAAGATTGGCTTGAACCGGTCATTTCCGACAAACCTGTCAATCTTGGTGTCCGAGTCCTCGGCGTCTAGGATCCAGACCCAGTGCGCCAGGTCACTCTCATCAAGTCCTTTGTGTGCCAGCCTCCTGAGCCGAGCCCTCAAATTGTCCGGATCGTCCAGCAGTTCCGATATACTCGTTTTCAGCCTGGCCTCGTCCTCCTTCAGGACATATTGGTGGGTGAGGACGGGGAGTCGTGGATTCTGCGAGCGGGCCACCGCTTGCGACTTCCCCCAATTCTCCCATGTCAGATCATCGCCCCGGATTTGGAGTCGCTGTTTGAGAGAATCGGTCGGAGGACGGCTCAAGTAGTGTCGTTTTGCCCTGGGCCGTGGCCGTTTAGATTGGGTCGGTTGTGTCGCATCCTGTTGAGCCTGGTAGTCTTCGGGCTCTAGCTGTACAGCTATGCCATGAAAAGACCGCGTCACAGGTAAATGTCTCGCTGGGACCTAAACGACAGAGGCAGGTTAATTTCACGATTGCCTGCGGCCAAGAACAACAACGACAATGCGGTCAAAAAGGCTCGCTCACATGCAGACGAGGGGCTTTTACTATGGCGATGAGGGACCGGTTCACCGAGGAAAGTGAGAGCAGATGCATGGAGGGAGACATGCACTCATTTTGAGGGCCTCGAGACTGTTCACTGCCTTCAATGGCAAAAAAATGTCAAGAAGGGCTGCCGTGGATCGATGTTGCAAAGTACTTATTATAGTACAGATTCAGGTGCCGGCGCAAATCTGGAGCTCTTAAAAAAGAGCGGACCTATCATCGTAGCGGGGGCAATGCAACAAGCGGGGCTGATGTAATGCCGCTTCGGCTCCGGAGACCCGTGTGAGGCAGCAAGCGACAGCCGTGGGCGTTGGAACTTGACGAGAGACATTGCAGGAGCTATCTCTGGATCCCAGTTCTGTCAACAGTCCTATACCAAGATGAACTGCCTGTATGACGACCATCGCTTTTAGAAGCTGAGTGTCTGCCGCTGCAATCCCCCCTCTTCCACTCGATCCCAAAGCATGGCCCCGACCAAGCGCAAACGATCACACGACGCAGCACCAAAACCAGGCCCACGCCCCATCCCTACGGATGCATCTCCAGTTACGCGTCGTGCGACACGCCGGTCTTTGGTGGCCCCGCTCGAGCTTCCTTGGCAGGCCGACCCAGAGCCTCGCAGGCGCCGCAAATCACGCGCTGCCGAAGACGGGCGGCCCGACAGGAAGTCGATCCACCAAGAAGACGACGAAGAGGGAGCAGTAAATGACGACGAGAAATCCCACGTACTGCTGCTCCAAGAGAATAAAAACAAGCACAACGCCAGTGTGCGCAGCTTACGCAATGCAAAGGAGGTTGTCTTGACGCCTGCGCCTGCTGCTCCTGTGTTAGTTGCGGCGCCGGGACGCGCCCGCGCCGGTCAGGGAGGCCGAGGCTCAGCCCAGCAGCGCCGCCGGTCCGTGCTGAAGTCAACGAATCAGTCCGACCCCGACATGGTGCCCAAACCTGTCATTGGAAACAGGTTTCTCCGCCATCAACGACAATACAGCAGCGACGACGACGACGACCACGTCGACCACGTCGACCACGATCACCATCATCATGAGCCGGACGAGCTGATCAGAGGAGACACAGACGATCTTGTCGCACCCATGCATGCCCCAGTAGAAGTCCCTACGAGATCAAGACGCCGTGGTTCAGCCGTGGATCCACTAGAATTGCAGCCACCGATGAAGACGAACCAAAAACGCCATCCGCCCCTTTCTACCACAGCGACTGTTCCTATAATGACCAGCGCGCCGTCGCGGTCGGTCAGGATCTCAGATCACGTTTCCGTTGCTGCCAACACCAGCAAACCCTTTGTGCCAACCGCAACCGCACCCGCCGTCCCGACGTCGCAGCCCTCCCCACGATCTGCGAAGAAACGAGTTCCTACTAAACACCCCGAGCAAAGAAGATCGAGCGTCATCGAGCGAAACATTGACAAGGTTGTCTTTGGTAATGTGTGCTTTTCGACCTGGTATCACTCACCGTACGGCACGGAGGCCTTAGGGGAAATCTCAGGGAACAGTGTCAAGACGAGCAATGTGGTCAACGGCCTGCACGATGGCTCCTCCAGCAAAGACGACGCCTTGTCGAACCCCTCGTCACGAAAGACCAAGGACGATAAGCTAGACAGGTTGTACGTGTGTCCATGCTGTTTCAAATATTCAAAGGAGCTCGTACCATGGTGGCAGCACGTACACCTGTGCGAGAGGCGAGGCCACGTCCCGGGCAAGCAGATCTACACACATCCAAAAGGTGGAAGGACTCGAGAGGGCGCGGCAGATTCTACAACATCAAAAGCACCCGCACGGAGGAAGAGAAATTCCGATACAACACAGCAGGCCGACGAGGCCGAGGTCGACGACCAAGGCGAGTGGTCCATCTGGGAAGTTGACGGCGAAGACGAGCCCCTCTTCTGCCAGAACCTGTCCCTGTTTGCTAAGCTCTTCCTCGACAATAAGTCTGTGTTCTTCGACGTCGGCGGCTTCAACTACTTCCTGCTTGTCCACACCTCCGCGCGTCCACCCTCCTCTGGTGACACCTTGGAACCTTTGCCGCCTAAACAGCAGGTTGTCGGCTTTTTCTCCAAAGAGAAGCTCTCCTGGGACAATAACAACCTGGCCTGCATCCTGGTTTTCCCGCCCTGGCAGCGCAAGGGGCTAGGAGCCCTTCTCATGGGCGTCAGCTATGAGATCTCGCGGCGTGAGGGCCTCCTCGGCGGGCCGGAGAAGCCCATCTCCGATCTGGGAAAGAAGGGCTACAAGCGCTTCTGGGCGGGCGAGATCGCTGGCTGGCTGCTGAGTCTCGACACCAGCGGAGAGGATGAGGTGGTCGTCGACGTCGATGAGTGTAGCCAAGCGACGTGGATCGTGCCGGAGGACTGTCTGATGATGCTCCGGGAGATGGATGTCATAGGGGAGGCGGAGGCTGGTCCGCCTAAGAAGAAGAAGAAAAGCAAGCGGGTGACTGCATCTTCTTCTGAGGAGGCCAAGGGAGGAGAGGAGAACAGGGAGGAGGACGTTATCAGTGACGCAGATGACGAGGAGGTGAAGAATGTGCCGCGTGTACAGGTCAGCAAGGAGGCCGTGTGGGCATGGGTCCATGCCAATAAGGTCAGCCTCGAGAAGGCGTGTGATCCAGATGGTTTTGTGGAGGGATATGCTGTCAAGCAGATCGCGAGCCAAGACGAAGAACTGTAGAGATGAGTTATGAAGCTGATGACTCTCACGAGATGCTACAGTATTAACTAACACTTTAGTAAGATGTGTAATTTTTGGAACAATTCGTTTTTGTAACTCGAGGTTCTTCCAATGCAGTGACAAACCCGGTCAAGTACCTAGATAAGTCTGCATACACTTCTGGGACTGGGGCAGGTCACCAGGGCCCCCCCCCCGGGGGGGGGGGGGGGGGTTAGCATAAATTTTTGCAGGTGGTGCCCTCACAACGCGATATCGAGGACGAAGATGCCTTTTCACAATGGATAAGACTAAATAGAAGAGATCATTGCCTTTTCTCTGTTTGGTTTCCATTTCTGATCTTATCTGGCTGTTGCGTGAAGGTATGAGCCGGGGAACAAAAAGGGAAAAAATAACGTCGTGTTCTCTCGCAGACCATATACATGAACAAAAGCACCAACGCTATCTTTAGTTGCAAAAATAAACCAAATATAACATATAAAAGGTAAATCAGACCATTTCCTATCATTCTTTGGCTATTTAGTCCTCACATTAGAGAGGAAAGAAAAGGCAAAAAACTCCCCCGCGTGGGCTCGAACCACGAACCTCCTGATGTACTTATAATAGTAACAGTCAGACGCGCTGGCCAATTGCGCCACGGAGGATTGTACTCATTGTATCATGTGATTGACTTGTCATGACAGAATTATAAGTGCAAGGCCACATATGACGGGATCAAACCGGTTTTCTCGCAGGTTGGTCGAAGAACGGGAAATAAATGGCTTTTGATTGATTTCCTTGTTTTTCCTCCGTCCCCCCCCCCCCACCTCTAGGAGGATATCCAACATTTTTGCATAGTGATATTTGCATCGTAACAAGGCTCCAATTACTGGGTCGCAAGACTCTTGGCTCGGCCTTGGGAACAGCATGCTTCTTATATTCGCAATTCACAGTAACTCTCAAATGTATCAAAAGGGATTAGACATCTTAAGCCAGTATCACCCAAAATGGCTGGTTCGAGTGTCATATATGACTCTGCAGAGCAGCTTCTTCCTCCTTTCCACCCTTCTCCCTCTGCAGTTCCTCCCTGGCCTTCTGGTTCTCCCTCCGCCACATCTCAATCCTCCGATCATGCCCCTCCATAAAAGAGCGAAACCACGCCTCCTCAAACTTAGGCAGCGTCCTCCCCTCTCCTGAGGCAGTAGGCTCGCCCGCCAGCCTCCGCACGTCCTCAAAGTACTCCTCAAACTCCGGGAAGATCATCTGGAACTTGGGCCCGTCCCCCTTCCGCGCGATCCTCTCCTCCTCCCAGACCCTCATCTCCTCTTTGCTAGGGAGTTGGCCTCGGCCGGCCAGGAGCCGCGCGGCGTAGACGGCTTGCCACTCGAAGATCTTGAAAGTGAGCCCGGCGCCCACAGCGCCGACGAACAGCAGGGTAGGGTCTTCGCGCCAGACGACGTGCTGGTAGAGGTCTGCCACGCGATTGTTCCGCACGCACACCTCCTGCGGAAGAAAGGGCAGCGACCAGCTGTAACCTGTGCCAAAGATGATATGGTCCACCCCTTCGATGCTCGTACCGTCGATGAGGTGCACGGTGCGGGTGGCAGCATCGACACGGGCGATGGAAGGATGCCGACGGATTAGAGGGTGGTGGAACGCCTCGTCCTTGAAGTAGATGTTGAAGTTGTGCCCGACGACGATAGCGTGGACGATGCCGCCGTCGCGGGTGACGCGGTGAGAGGCGAGGTCATATGCTATGTCGGCGCCGGAGACGGATGCCCCGACCACGACCACTGTCTGTGTTGTAGGAATGTGTCCTCGTCAGCTCTCGTCTCGGCGGAGGAAGAGGACAACCCCATGGTCTTGTTCACAATAGTGTCGAACACAGCAAGGCAGGGCTACTATTACTGACCATTCCCCGAAAGGCATCACGCCCCCTGTACATCTTGCTATGCAAGACACTGCCCGGCCTGTTCCGTTCAAACTCATCCAGTCCTTCCACCGCCGGTATATAGGGGACATTGAAGTGACCACTTGCCACGACAACGGCGTCAAACCTCTCCTGCCACCAGGAGTCAACTCGTCCCCCCGTCTCCGCCTCCTCCTCTCGTCTCCTCAAGGTCAGTATCCACTCCTCCGTTCCAACATCCTTCTCAACCTTCTCCACGCAGGTCCCATACTGCACCCACCCACCATAACCCTCCCTCGCAAATAGTGCCTCCACATACCGCCTCATCACAGTCCAGTGCCTGAATGGCGTGTTCTCGCCGTGCATAGAGATGGACCACGCGGACCGCTCGGCTGGGATGACCTCCACGCCGCCGCCCGTGAAGCACATGGCGGCGTCTTCGACATTGGTCTCGAGGTACGGGTAGATGCTTGATTCGACGAATCTGGGCTGCTCTGATGACGACGAGGATGAGGCCGTCAGTGGTGTTCGTGCCGGGAGGGACGCCGGGATGGGGACAGGCGGGTCTGCAGTGCGGGCTGCGAGGGCGGCGAGGTTGGTAAGAGGGGCCGGTGGCTCCTTGTCGTCCACCCTAAAATGTGTATTGTCAGTATATGAAATCGAGTAATAACCTTCATAATTTCTTCATGATAGAAGGAAACGGCTGTGTGTGTATGTGTGTATATAAGAGAGGTATTTGAGTCTTACCAGCACCCACCAGGCCTATCGCGCCTCTCAAAAACTTTGATCACTTCAAACACATTTTCGCGTGCGAGGGCGTCGACAGTGATGGCGCCTGAGGGACCCGCGCCGATGACAGCTACTCTTTTGGCTGGCTTCATAGTCCAGGAGAACAACAGTATAACAAGATCTTCTCTAGTCAGAGAGAAGGCTGTTTCTAGTGCCGAGGCTATAAAAGTATGTGAGTGAGTCGCAAAAAAAATCAAGAAGGCGATGGGACACTTACACTACGACTGGGACTGCTCTCTCTTCTGACTCAAACACACGAAATGACTGCTACATTTAACACACGAAAAAAGAAAAGAAAAAAATCTAATAAGAATCTCAATCAAGCCATCGTACGAATTATACACCACAGGCATGATCCCACTACTTAAAAGAGAAGAATCGGGTGTCGGCGACCGGCGATGGTGTGATTGCGCGCCGACATTTGCACATCCTCCCCACGCCGGCCGACTTCCATGACTGAAAAGACCCTGTCCCTTTTAGGCGCCTCTTTCCTCTTCCCCTACATGTATACTTTTATGCTTGTGATAAGGTTTTCCTGAGGTGATTTGTCGAGGACTTTCTTCGTGTTTTTCTGTTCGTCCCTGGCGACCGAACTATAATGCATATTCTAGAGTAGGCATGCAACGTAATGGTAGTCGTTGCGTTGCTTATCTTGCCGAGAAACTCAAGTGGTATTTAGCAAGTCTTGTTAGTCTAGCAATGTAGATCTACTAGACGAGACAAGAGTCTTCCTAGAGACACTTCTGCGTACTGTCAAATTGATCGCAAAAGGCAGAGACGATGATGATCTGACGATGCTCAACGCAGGGAGGAGGACAAGCTCATCGTTCCCAGCCGAGAAAAAACACACATGTTGTCATCTGCTAGATCGTCAAAGGGCTCTCTTTAGCTGCCCATTTTTGCCAACCATACCATACTAGAACGCCGGTCTATGCAAACCTCCCAGGTTGGGTCATTGATGAAAGTGGAACAAGAGCCCCAAACGCCACGCCAACACGTACACGACACACAAAGTTCATCCATTCCAGGGAAGCAAGCATCACGGAGCCGTCTCCCCGTTCATCTTGACCATCTCGTACTCCCCCGCGCCGTCTCTGCCCCTCCCTCTTCCCCTTCCCCTCGAGAACCCCTGCTCCTCATCGCCCGGCGGTGCACCCTCTGCAGCTGCACTCGAGCCTTCTCCAGCACTTCCTGCTGGTCCACCCACCACCGTCGCACTCCCATTCATAGTATTACTGGTGCTGCCACCGCCACCGCCGCTCTTCCCGCCGAAGAACACGGGCCTCAACTCGCGGTACTGACATCCCCAGATCCCGACCGCCACGCCCACCGAGCTGGACACGGCCATGGTGAGCCACCAGAAGAAGTGTCGTGGCACCTGACCCGAGTAAAGGGAGACGACGACGAGGTGGAGGAAGTGGGTGGTGAGGGCAAAGTCGAGGACGAGCTTGGAGCGGATGACGATCAGGACCATTGCCACGGACCTAAGAACAATATCCTGGTCAGCCACATGTGCACACACATCTTCCATCACACACAAAACCCGAGCTCCCAGAGAGATGGTTCGTTCCAGACAAAAGGATATACAACATCACTCACATGAACAGTCCCCCGTCCAATATCCACATAAAGGCATTCAGCCAGCCCTGCGTAGTATCCCCCCTGACCGCAGCCCACCCCAGCACCAGCTCCGGCCTGAACCCCCGCCCCGACACCAGCGCGCTGAACAGCATGAGCACCAGCGCCGCCGCGTAGAAGAGCGCCTGCAGCGCCGCGATCTGCGTCAGGATCTTGAGCGGCGGGAGCTCCGTCAGGGCGCCTGGGCGCGGTGGCCTCCTTCGGCGAGGCATTGCGATGTGGTTGTGGGTGTGGCTGTTGTCTTGTGTGTCTTGTCTTTTGGTGATGGCGGAGCGAGCCCGCGTAGGTATGGAAACGAGATTGATTTAGGAGGTAGACCGTGTTGCGTGCGTTTCGTTCGACTGTTTTCTTTGGAGTATTCGCAAGGGAAGGTCAAGTGAGGGAGGAGGACGTGGTGGTCGAGAGCCCTTATTTTCGGATTCAGGGAGTAAGGCTATATGCCCCTGGGCACATCTCGAAGAAACCAGACAAGGTTCAGAGTAGTAGATCTTCGTCTTCTTCACCCTTTAGCCTATCTCAGGCTCTTTCTCTATGTGCTTGAAGAGGTAAAAGAAAAACAACCCTTTGCTTGGGGAGGAGTGTTCTGGGCAACGTGATAGAGGATGGAGAAGAAAGAATGTAGAATGTACAACTGTCGTCGTGTGATGATCACAATTCATGTCCCAGGCCCCCAAGTCACAAAACTTCCCTGTCACGCCTGTATACCTTGATAAGCTAGCTGGCTAGGCTCATTACATTGCATGTGCCAGGCCCTGCAGCAGATGTGGCGGCAGGCATGGAAGCTCTGGAAGCCCACTTACAGCGGTACCCCTTCTTCTTCTTCTTCCAGTGACCGCCTAAGAAATTCTGCCGCCCCTCCTGCAGCAGCGACATCATCATCTAATCCAGCAGCCTCTCTCTCTCCAAAGAAAAATATTCCTGGGATTCCTCTTTGCCGCCTTTTTAATCTATGCCCCAAGCCATAATCAACCTCTGCGAAGCTTCCAAGATGGGCCTTACCTCCTACCTAAACCCCTTCGGCTCCTCCTCCTCCACCGCCGAGACCAAGCGTGCCGAGGAAGTCCGCGCCGGCCTCCGCGCCCCAGACCGCACCGAGCGCAAGCGGTGCTGGGAGTCCAGGGACGCCTATTTCGCCTGTCTCGACCGCAACGGGATCCTCGACGCTCTCAAGGACGAGAAGGACGCTGCTCGATCCTGCGGGACCGAGGCGGTTGGGTTTGAGAGGGATTGTGCGCGGGAGTGGGTGAGTCTCCAGTCTCTCTGTTTCTTTTTTCTTGCTTTCTTCCCTTTCCTTTGTGGCCGAAGTTATAGCCCCCAACCTAGGAATAGAAGGAGAGAGGATAAGAGATGATCTTGGCTGACCCCCGAACGTAATATTCTTTGGCGTGCTACGTAACAGGTCACATACTTTAAGAAGTGGCGCGTCGCAGACCACAACAAGAAGCAGCGGCTCAAACAGCTCGAGGCCCAAGGCGCACAGTCCGTGGAGATAACAGGTGGGCCTGGAGGACCACCGGCAGGACGATAGATATAACCGAAGGGACTTGGTCATGATGACGATTACGACGAGGATAGGGACAGTGAACTTTTTCCCCTCTTGACGGACACACGACAACATATGGACGAGCTGAAGGTTTCCGATTCCTGAATACGGTGATGGTGAAATGCTTCAACCGGGACGAGCCTATGTATCGGGGTGTCCGTTCATATACAAGTGTAAGATGGTATGAAGCGGAACGTTTGGGGAGAGGGGGGAGCCAAGAAAGAAGAAGAAAAAAGGTCCAAGATGGAACGAGGAGCAGAAACAACGCCCAAGGGACAAACTCTCCCCTACTCTTAGTAGCGAACAAGATCATGGGATAATTATATGTACAAAGCTAGAAAGTCCAAACAGCAGTATCATAAAACGCATCTCAACAACTGGCTGATCAGTTCTCGATTCATCCAACGTGCTAGTCTACGAGGTATCATCGAATCTATGTACAACAACCACCCACCTGCCAGTTTCCACCACACTCTCCTGCAACCTTGCATTTCTTCTTCCTTCCCTCTCCCCTTGCCTCCTTTCGTCCCCGGTATATCTGGCTTCCCTTCCTCCCGCCCTCTTTTATTTGCATTATCCAGGAGAGCCCCCTCCCGGCACATCGTGGTTCCATTCCGTTGCCTCACGCGCCCATCTACCCAACAAACGCCGAGCATCCCTAGATATTGATAATAATGATGACAAAGAAGAGAAGAAGACGGCAGGTCGGTGAACCTGACCCTTACGGCATTCTAGTTGATTGTGAGGTTGGATGTTTGGTTTCAGCAGCAACAAGAACAAAAGAAAAGAAGAAGACAAGGAAGAAACTGTTTGAGAGGAATGAAGAATAAACAACAGCGTAGAGGAAAGAGGGATATGGACAATAAATTCAGACGGCCTGTGTGTATCCGATTCGATGCTTTCTCCGAGGCTGCAATGGTATCATGTCTTTCTTTCTCTTCTCTGGGTAATAAACAAAATTTCGTAGAAGGAAATATAAAGGAAGTCGGTTTCGGAGGAACAAGCCTCCATAAGAATCTGTTTGCTCGCTCGCTGGCTTGCGCCGTCAACAGCAGCCGCCGGTTGGTTCCCCTCGTGTTTCTGTCATCTCAACAATCCTCAACGTCCAGGCACAGGTCTCCTCCTAGGCAGGACCATTCGCCATGGGCAGAGGGGGTAGGGCCTTCTCAAGGCTATCGCGGCTGAAAGGGCCCCTGGTGCCTTGCTTGCCGGAACCCTGCGTCCCGCTCCTCGCCCGACCAGACTCTACACCAATTCCACTGTCGGCTGATTCAGGTTTCGTCAGGCGCTTGTCGTTACTGTTGCCAAACGGTGCCCCAGCGGTCTTGGGTGGTGTCGGGGGCGCTCTCGAAGGCGCGTCGTGGATGTGCGAGAGTGTCGGATTGCCATAGAAGCCCTGAACATCCTTGGCTGGCGTCACGGGCCGCGACTCGGCTCCGCGACCACTGACCCGGCTTGCGCTGCGATCACGACCGCCGGTCGTGGATACTTCGCCAGTCTCCTCAACTGTCTCTAACACCGGGTTGTTGGTCGAGTCACGGCCGTTTGAGGGGGTCGCTCCAAGCAAAGATGGGGCGGCGGCCGTCGCGATCGAGGGGAATATGCCGGTGGATGCAGAGCCAGACGTTCTCAGGGTACGATCCGGAACACCCTGCTCGGTATGGCCATGCTTTTCAGACTTGTGCGCGGCTTCTTCTGCTCGTCGCATGGTCTCTTCAGCCTCGGGAGATCTGGCTCCAGAGGAACGGCCTGGCGGTGCCGGGGGCTGGTGTGTTGGCGCAGTAGGGTAATTGTTGCTTGTCGATTTGCGACCGATACTGCTCCAGCTTGGGACGCGATGCTTTTCCTTCTCGGCAGCGCCATCCGCAGCATGCTCTTGTTCCAGCCGCTCTGCCTCCTCGCGAGATATTGTGATCCCTTCCATGAAGTTGAGAAACCTATCGCCGTACTGCTCTGGAGGTAGGGCAGAGATCTGATTCCGATCGTGGGAAAGACCCTTCCAAAAGTGTTCGATCTTCTTGATCATTCCGTACTATATACAATGTCAGTATCTCCCTTCTCGAGGACAAAAATGAAGGAACTTACATGGGTGAGGCAGTCGATGACTCCCAGGTAATAAATCTCATCACCCGGTGTGTCGTCCTCGTGTGTAGCTCTCATGCCCCCATCATCCTGATAGAAGATCGAGTCAGACTTGGCGCCCTCCTCAAGAACATCGGGCATGCCAGCCGACGATCTTCCCATCGGCACGGGTCGCTCAGCCTTTATGATCTGCCGCATCTGGGCGGCACGGCGTTGGTTCTCCAGCTTCGAGGGGGTCCGCATCAGCACTTGATTGGGGTCCTGTTCCACCTGCTCGCCGCCGGGGCTGAAGACCTGCAGGTTCCGTGCACGCAGATTCTCGTCATTTCCTTTCCGGATGTCATGAACACCTATCAGAAGGGAGTAGTCCATGATTTGGAGCTTCTGCATCAGCTTGACATCCTTCTGAAGCTGTTCCATAAAGAGCCGCTTCTTCTGCAGGCCCAGTTCGAGGTGCCGTTGCCGCCGCAGCCAGTTCAGGTCCTTCAGCGTCGCCCTCGGGTTCTTCTCCAGGTCCTCTTCCTTATAGTCTCTCCCGATGGTCGATCCCTTCAGGTCGAAGGTGGTGTGGATATCTCGGTGCGGCGGAAAGAGGTTGTTCATGACGACAAAATGGATCTTCCTTCCCCATGGTGTCTTCACCCTGTGCAGACCATAGAACTGGGAGAGAAGCGTGTTCGGATTATCGGTGACATGTTGATAATACTCCTTTAGTATCCTCCGAAGGAACTTGTGCTCAGCATGGTGGATCGTCTTGATGATGAACCTGTAGTCCCTGGAGAAGTAAAAGAAGCTCCCGCTCTTGCCGGGGGACCCGAGCTCGGAGAGGATGTATTTGCCTGTCAGGGACATCAGATAGTCGGCTGGGTCCAGGCGGAATAGCTGTCGCAGATGTCGAAACACCCAGGGCGCATAGTCCTTGAACTTAAAATCGTACTTTGCTGAGGGAACGAGCTCGTTGCCGGTGCTGCAGCCAGACGTCATTAGCTTTTACCCCCCAAACTGCAGCATGTCTCAACAGGAATAGGAACGGCAACCTTGCAGACTTACATATCGAACGTGGTCTTCGCCTTGGCCTCAAAGTCCGCATCCGTCAGTGGACGGTCCAGCTTGGCATTCGTGCGAGACACCGAGACGCGGATGCCCGTGAGCATGTTGTAGGCAGTCACCCAGTTTGCATGTTTCTCATCGACCTTGTTGCCGATCAAGACGCGATCATCGTCTTCCTCTTCCTTCCTCCTCCTCTTACTAGCCCTCTTCTGCCTGTACGCCTCGGCCCACCTCATGGCGTCCTCGTCGGGAAAGGCCTCGTCTCGCGGGAAATCGCTGTGCATGGAGCGGGTGTTGCGCCTGACCAGGTTGATGGAGGCGCGCCTGGCACCACTGGGACCTGAGCCGGTCGGCGAGAAGCGCCCGCTGGCGAGAGCAGTGTCCACGCCGTCTCGTGACCCACGGGGCTGACCGGACCTGGGCACCTCCAGGGTGTGACGATGTTTCAGCCCTGCGCTTGCGGGGTGGAGATTAGACGTGGAGGCACTGAATCCCGTGTTACCCGACATCTGGGCTGGAGAGGAGAATCGCTGGGCGGGTGGCGCGCTGGCGTCACTTGCCGTCGGCAGCTCGCCCTTGCTCGGCTGGTTCGTGGGCACAGCTATGGGGGAAGGCTGTGGTCCGGTCATCGAGGCGATAGAAGTTCTTATCGACGGGGGTTCGGCATAGCTCATATTACTTGAGGTTCGGTCAGCCGTACCGTTGCCATTGGGCAGGTTTGGCCGCGGAGAGACAGTCCGGTCGGGCAGCGAGGTGTGGACGGGAGCAGCAGCGCCGTTGGGTCGCTGCTGCAGCTTTTTCAGGTCATCTTGTTGAGGGTGATGGAACCCATTGAGGGTGTGCTCCCCGTCGCGGTCGGTGACACCGTTCTGCAAGATGCTCGTGCTCATAGTCGAGGTTCTGGTGTCGAGCCCGTTGGTGTTGGGGGCGGCATCCGAGGTATCGGTGGTGTTGGTGGAGTGGGAGGAGCTGCCGTCAAAACTATCATTTGAGGTGTGCGTGTTAATAACGTGAGGGATCTGTCCGTTGACCTTAAGGTCGATGTTGGCCATGCCCTCGTACTGGGGGTCCTCGTTCAGGCGCAGTACCCCTGAGCTGTGGCTATAGATCGGGGTGTTGTGATCATTCAGGAAGGAGGGCATTGCTGATGAGGCTGCTCTGCGTCGTGGACGGATGGCTGCCGTGTTGATTATACTAATAGGGGAGAGCAGCGCTTTGTCACCCCTGATGCTGCTGCTGCTGTCGTGACGAAGGGGCCAGGAGGGGTGACAGAAGTCGGAGTGTAGCCCAGACGCAGAATGACAGCAACGACTGCCCTGAGGCAGTTGGCCGAGATCGCAAGTGGACAAGGAGGGCGGAGTCAGCTGGAAGGAGAGAGATTGGTGTCACTCAGGCAAGGAGTGGTGCTGACTCGACGTGTGTTCGTATGCGTTGGTGATGATGCAGGTCGAGGTCGAAGAAAGGATTTAGGAGATAACGAGACTGGACAACCGCGCCGGCATTGCTCGAGATTTTGCGGCACAATGGACCAGACAGTCAGTCAATCGACGTTGGAGAGGATCGAGCAAAGGCCAGGTCAGAGCGTGGTGTGGTGATGACGAAGCGTCTTGAAACTTGGGAGCGGGTCGCTAGAGGAGGTGAACTAGGTCGTGAGCTGTCGCGTCTGGCGCAGACGAGTGCGTGCTGATGCTGATGCTGATGTGCTTTGCTGATGCTGGTTGGGGGAAGGCGTGTCTTACGTTGGGGGTCGGATCGTGGTCGTCGTTTCGGGTCGAGGTCGTGAACGATAAACAAAAATTGTTGCCGGAGGAGGGGGAGAGAGGAGTCGTGATCGTTGAACTCGCAGCACAGTACCGAGTAGGAGGGTGAGGAGGAGTAGGTAGTGGTGGTGGAGGGCTGAGTGTGTGTGAGTGAACTGAGAGATTGGGGGAGGTCGTCGTCAGTCAGCCAACGGTACTAGTCCGCCTTGGAAGTGAAGACTTTGGGGCTGGGACTGGAAGGGCTGGGCGGGAATTGAAGTGAGAGCAAGGCACCTAGGCCAGCGTGGTGGAATTGGAATTAGAATTGGGGAAAGGAGGTTGGGTCCAGGGTGTCAATCTTGGTTTAGGGGGTGCCTATGGGGTTTAGTGCTATGCCGGGGCAGTCCACCGTCCGTCCCACCTGGGCAGCCCACAGCACACGCCACACAGTGAGCTGTTAAAGCGCTACTGGGGCACCACTGGGATGGTTTTGCAACCACCCACGGTGCTGATAGCACACTGTAGGGCGGCCCCGCGAGAAAGGGCCTGAGGCCCAGGGCCAGTCAGTGCTGACGCCGCGGAGATGAACGGGATTGGAAGACTCAAGACCCACTCTGCCACTCCAGCCTGGACGGATACGAGCGTCTTTGGCTCTGCATTACTGCATTAGATATGCAAGCCCACGTTGTTTTAGTGACAGCCGGACTGATGCTTTGCTGCAAGGGGCTCTGATAATGCTACCATGGTATGGATGAAGACACAGCCCTTCCCCACATGTCAATGCTCTCTCCTCTAGGACAAGTAAAACATCCACGATCATTATCAGATGCATTCACTATACATGGCAGTAGTATTTTCTCTTCGTGACGTAGTTTCATGTAATGTCTTCTCGAAAAGACAGAGTGATCTGCAGACAACCATCTCAGCGTCCACCACTAGCCCAGTCAATACGACTCTATACTTAAGTTTCGCTTGTCTGTATTCTACTACGAGGTCAGCAGTAACTGCCGTTCTACCCGTCTCACCCTCCCAGACTTGGCTTGCAGGCTTGAGAGAGAGAGAGAGAAATACAATTGCCAGCCGGATTTTAATGGCTGACCGTTGTCCGATCTGACGACGGATCCTGCCCGTCCGCCATGGATCTTAATAGCAGCTCCCAATCCCGAGAAGACCCACACAATCTCCAAGAATAAACACCGCTGTTACTAGAGTACTGCGTAGTCCTGCTGCATGCTGCTACAGAGTTCGTCCGGGGAAGAACAGAGGCATGACACAATGAGCGCATCAAAATAAAACCAAAGCAAGGATGGAGAAGACAGATAGAAGAGGGAGAAGAAAGAAAAAAGAGAGCTGCTCAACAATACCAGATTCCACCCATTCATGGATTGATTCTGTTCAGCTTCAATATTCAAGCCTAGACTCAAAGAAAAGAAGAACGTATTTCGAATTTCAACTCTGCCACAAGAAAACAAACCCCTGAAGGTCTGTCCTCCTGCAGGGTCCTGTATGAGGTCACCGCCAAAACAACTCATCGGGCTGCAACGCGCATGTTGAGATCGACGCTGAAACAGGAAAATAGACTGCTCTCAACTACGCGGGATAAAGAAAACGCACATCCAGTCTCAAAGATCCAGTTCGCCTTTCCCCTGGCCTCACCCCCTCGCTCTCGCTCTCGCTCACTACGGAGGAGAACATGAGTCATAAATCAGCAGACAGGGCAATACTATTGACTACAGAGTATGAAGCCATCGAGAGAGAGAGAGAGAGAGAGAGGCAGTGAGAAGGCAATGCCCTCGCATTTCATCCACACGGCCAGCACATGAACAGAGAAGTACTGTGCAGGAAGCCAGAGAGGGTGGGGCAACAGAGCTCAGCTGGACAGGGCTGAAAGAGAAAGGAAGAGAAAACAATTGAGATGAACACTGGATCCAAGCCTTGCACAGCCTCATCCACTCCCGCTTCCCCAGGGAATCTTGTAAGAGATCCACTTCTCATAAAAACAGAAAACAAGGGATGCGTGAAAGAGAAAAAAAACCCCTCCACTGCCAAACTGCCAAGGCTTTCAACGAGATTTCTGTTTTGTCATCAAATGTAAGTATCATTGAGACCTTTTCTCTGTCCAGTACAGAAAATGGTCCGGAGCATTTCGATGTGAGGTAGACACCGGTGCGATGCTGTACGTTTTCGACGGCTCGTTGACGATGGGCGTTAAAACTATTAAAGTTAATTAAACTTGATTTCTGATGCAATTGGTCTCGAAATTTACGGCTGAAGAGCTGTGAAACTGCATATATCTACTGAAAAGAAAAAGGTCCTCATATATCTGGTTCTTCAGACTACACCACCAATGACAGTTGTGGCTTATGTAACCCGGAGTGTCTGGTCCTTGGTGCTCGTATATAATAGTGGAGTGACTTGGTTCGGAACGAGTGTCAGCAATGCCCATCATCATGGCAATAATCACGTGGATCAACACGGTTGCCTCCCTTTTGAATTTTCATTCATAGTAAAATATCTATCCTATACCCCTTAGCCCTTCTCGTCATGAGTACGGATACAATTAAGCCCCAGCCACGACGGCCAGCCCATCGTAGATCATCCTCTTGACCGCCCAGAACGTTGTCGCGCCTTGCATGCCAGCCATTGCACCAGCGGCGCTCGGCAGCCCGATGCTCTCCACCTCGATCTTGCCCGTCGCACTTTTACGCACGGCGACGGAACCATCAATTAGTAGCGTGCCCTCGCCCCGGAACTCGGCCGTATGCCCTGATGTCTGCATTGCCCTCCGCAGGTCCGCCAGACGAAGGTCACCCACGTGGAGGGGTTGTGCCACGGATCGCGAGGCCGAGGCCATGGTGGTCGGAAGGACATCGAGAGTCGGCACTACCGCCGTGCCACTACTGTTGGCGGCTTGCTCCTCGTCCGCGTGCTCTTTGGACCCATCTGTCTCTGTCTTGAGGCGCTTGTTGGAGGCCTGCTCTTCTGCCGCGGCCCCAGGTAGGTGTGGGTGCGTATCGGCATTGCCCTCCGAGCCCAACAGCCTCGCCGTAACGGTCACGATGCCCAGTCCGCGCACATTCTGCCACTTCAGCCGCCGCACGAGCGGGTCGGCGAGTTTCACCACCCAGGCGTTGGTGTCCACGCTAGCATCGATCGAGACACCAACTTCCGGTGTATATACATCGGTCTTGGCGCTGCTGCCCTCCTCCATTGCTGATACGCCGAGCAGTTTCTTGCAGTCGGCTGCGAGGGCCATTGTTTCTTCCTCGTTGCCCGACACAAGGATGAGTTTGCGCGGGGCGATCAGCGGAATGAGCATGTTCAGTGAGCGCTTGTCGTGCAGACCGCTGAAATCCACAAACGCGATGCGGAGGCTGACGGATAGTTTCTCCTTCGTGATGATGAGTTTCGACGGACCCAGATTGGGTTCTTCTTCCTCTTCTTCCGCCAAGTCGTCCTCCTCGCCATCCGCTTGCGAGCCTTCGGATGGTAGTGACATGGCCACGTCGTCGGAAACAGCCCTGTTGAGCTGAGGTCGCTTGTTGCCGGCGTTGCCCTTCTTACCGACATCGTCCCACTTGCGCTTCTTCCCCAAGAACTCTTCGTCCTCTTTTTTGACCGCACCCTGGTCCTGACCTTCATCCTCGCGCTCTTCGGCCTTGAGGAATTCTTCTGGGCGGATGATGTCACCAAACTCGTCGTTTCTCTTCTTGCGTATTGGAATTGGGAAGATGCGTTCCCTGCCCTTCTTCTCGCGCACATCAAAGTCGTGCACGCCTTTCTTCTTGACCAACACATTGATGCCCAGGTCCTCATCTTTGAGGACAATCTTCTTCCGGCTTGCCTGACCCATTGTCGTTGATATGTTCAGGGCTCTGCCTTGCTGTTCGTTATCCGATGCATCAGACTCCGTGGATGATTCGGATGAAGCATCGTCCACACCATCGACCACACCTTCCAGAGCTGTCACCCCTCCCGTCTGCAGTGTCGCCTGTAGTTGTCGCTGTGTGGCAAGCCACTGCTGGTAAATTGTCAGCTCATCCCCTACAAGAGGTTCTTTAGTGGCCTCTGCAATCTCCATCTCGCGCCCTCCGCCGTAGACCTGTTCGAGCGAATCCCCACTGCTCGACTCCTCTACAGCAACACCGTCCTGTCGCTCGTTCCACAGATCCCATAATGTTCTTGAGATAGATGGTGTGTCCTGTGAGCTCAGATTCGGCTTCTCGGTCAGGATCACCAGGTTCTTCGGGTCCTGTGCAATTGACCTGAGCACTTCCTTCGAAAATCCCCACTGCAGACTGCGGTCGCTCGCGAGAATGACCAATCCCTTTGTCCAGTTCTCCTCTGTGGACCTGCGCAGGAGGCGGTCGACCTGCGACTTTCTTTCCAGCAGCTTGAGATGCTTAAAGTCAAAGGGGCCAGCCGCCTTGCCCTTCCTGCTGTCCCCATTCACATTTTTGGAGGTGTCGGCCACTGCTTCAAACTCCCGTACAATATTCTCGTCCATCCACTCGAACATGCTCCTTGCGTGTCGTAGGGTGCTGCTGATGTTCTTTGCCGCCAGATAGAGATGCGCCTCGTTCAGAGTCTTTGTCTCGTTCTTGGCAGCCTCCTCCCTCCAGGCATGCTCCATCAGATATGATAGTTCGAGAACACGGGCGCTGGAGTCCACCGGCACCAGAACAGTACCACCTTTAGCCACGCATGCTCGTATATTGTCGAGGAGCTGCTCATCTCTCTTGGCGCGAGCAAGAGGCGTTGGCGTGCGACTGCTGCAGACGAGTGCGGTGGGCTTGCGCAGCTGCTCAATAACCTCCGCTCCGCCGTGACCACCTCCTAGCCATGCCGCGCCTGCGAACACGTTTTCACGAGCCTGACTCCAATCGACAGCGTAGACAATCGACTCGAGGCCATGTTGAATATGCCATATCGTACCACCAAGCGTATGTCCTGAATTGTAGGCGGTGATTGTGAGGCCGTTCAGAGGTGGAGAGAAGGGCGAGGGCAGAGGTTGGTGTGGCTGTGAGTATTTGAGTGGTTGTATGAGGGAGAAATACTTTGCGATCTCGTCAGAAGTCGGCGCCTGGCGCAAGAAGTTGTCATCGGAAGACGCAGACTGGGTATACGCATATGATGCTTCGGCAAGGGAGCCATGATTTATGGTTGTCGCAGCAGCAGGAGTAGAGGCATATAGATCTTGTAGGAGGGTTCGCCCAAGGTCGATGACTGGTCGCGTCGCATACACAGGGATTCGAGTGAACAACGGGAAGTTCTTGCAGCAGTGTGCATAGGCGGCGAGGTGGGAAACGGTCGCATGGGTGAGGAGAATCAACGACAGTGTCGGAACTTGCCTGTGAGGTTTTGGTCAGATCTCTCGCACTGCCATACACATGCGGCAAACCGTTCAGCGTATCGCCGTAGGGCCGTGTTCCCCAGGCCAAGAATCAACATACTTCTCGAGCTCCTTCAGCTTGTCAACATCAAAGGATTCATCCCATCCGACATCAATGAGGACCTTGACACCTCCATCAAGCTCCAGAAGAGACTGGGAGGCAGTAGACTCGGAGAGGGCCCCCTGCAGAGGGCAGAAGGTGAACATTGTCGCCCTTGTATAGGTATCGTGCCTATATCCACATGTTCATCCCGAGGCTACTAGCATGAGGGTTTGTTGTGTGAATGCGCCTAAACGAGACTCAAGTGCAGAGAAAGAACAAATACCAGAGACTAATGTTTGATGATTGACAGACAACTTTGGAGAAGTTCAAAGGGTTTGGAAAGAGTGAGATTGAGAATGGTTCTTGACTAAGGTTGCAAGTGATGTCGACGGTAGGTATGTGTGGTTTTGCGCCAAGCACATACCTCAAGGACAATAGCAGATTTACAAGTAGCTGGGCGTTGATCACTAACCCGAGGCAAACCTACAGGCATTAGGCTGCAAGGGTCCTCCTCCAAGTGAATGCTGCAGCAGGGGTGCACACTACCACTGACCACTAGCCTTGCCCTGTAGAGGCTAAGATTGGGTTTTGGAGGGGCACCTTACCCCCTGCACGGTTGTTTTTTTGGAGACTCCAACTTATTGCAGCTGCAGGTGTGGTCGCACTGGTGTGGTGGTCGAAGTGGTCACATCTGATTGAAGCTCTACCTGGTAATTACTTGGATGCAGTTGAGGCCAGCTAAACCACATCTTCAACACCAAAAGCCCCCTCAACATTGACGAGACAAAACGAAACCAGGTACTCTTCTGTGCCTTGACTTGCACTGCTTCATAAAAGCGCCACCCTGTTATTGTTTATTTCTATTCAAAGTGAATTATCGGTTCTCTCTCATGATGCAAGCCACAGTGCTCCTTTGACTGCGAGCTACCTGTCTAGTCATTTAAAGTCAATTTGCGCGAAGACAACAACGCCGCCCATTCCCACCCAGAACCCTACCAACAACCTTCGACGAGTTCCACAAGCCTCCTCAGAGCCCTCGAAAAACAACTCCGGCCGTACGTCACCCGAATAACCCATCGTCACCCCAGTGCGCCCAGCACCAAATCCTCGCGCGGGCCGTCAGTATGGATCAGTATCACGCCCTCGGCGCGGGCCAGCAGGACCCGAACGATCCATACAATCAGCACAACAATTCAGGCCAGGGCGCACCGAACCAGTTTCAACACCCCATTGCTCCCAACCCCTATCAGGGACAGCAACAACCAGCTCAAGGGCAGCAGTATTATGGCACCCCTTCGCCAATGGGCCCTGCTGGTGGTCCCTCGCCCGTGCAGACACAAGGATACTTTCAGGGTCAGGTGCCTTCACCGGATGGAAACGATATAAATGCTCAGATGGCAGGCATGTCGCTGGGCGCAGAGGGACGGCACACTGGCACGGGCAAGAGGAAGAAGAAGGACAGGCACGCGTACCACGCCGTGGAGAGCCAGGGCTCGTCACAGGCATTCAATGGCATCCCTCCGGCCGGGACTCCTGCGACCGCCTTCTTGAACGCTGACCCCTCAGGAACCTCGGGTTTCGTCGGTCAGCCAGGCATGTTGACGCCCCAAAGCCAGTTCCCTGCACCTGCTGGCGGACAATATACCCCGGGCAGCACTGCTTCTCCGGCCGAGTTTGCTTCGAGGAATGGTTCGACCGAAGCTGCAGTGGCCGCCGGAGGCCAGGCCAAGGTCTCCCAGGACGAGCTACCCAGTGTGCCTCTGGCCCGAGATGCTGCACAGCAATTCTATCTGACCAATATCTATCCAACTTTCGAGAAGCTCGTCCCGCCTCCCGCTGCTACCTCGTTTGTCGCTTTCGACCAGGGCAATTCCTCGCCCAAGTTCGCTCGCCTGACCATGAACAACATTCCGGCGACATCGGAGGCATTGCACACCACTGGTCTTCCTCTGGGTCTCATGCTCCAGCCGCTGGCTCGCCTGCAGCATGGCGAGAGCGAGGTGCCTGTTCTGGACTTTGGCACTCTTGGCCCGCCCCGGTGTAGCAGGTGTCGAGCGTACATCAACCCTTTCATGATGTTCCGGTCTGGAGGCAACAAGTTTGTCTGCAATCTCTGCACGTACCCCAATGAGACTCCGCCAGAATACTTTTGCGCAACATCGCCCCAGGGCATCCGTGTAGACCGGGATCAGAGGCCGGAGCTGTGCCGCGGCACCGTCGAGTTCGTCTGTCCCAAGGAATACTACAACAGAGAGCCTGTGGGTCTGCGTTGGTTGTTCGTCATCGATGTGACCCAGGAAGCTTATAACAAGGGATACCTGGAAGCATTCTGCGATGGCGTTCTGGCGACGCTGTATGGCGCAGGTGGTGACGAAGAGAAGGATGAGAATGGTGAGGTGAAGCGGAAGTTACCACCAAACTCGAGGGTTGGTTTCGTCACTTATGACAAGGAGGTGCATTTCTACAACTGCAGCGTAAGTCGTGGCCAGGGATCTATTGACCAGAGTATCTGTTACTGACCGAAAGTGTTCAGGCCGCCTTGGAGCAAGCTCAGATGATGATCATGCCTGATATCGATGATCCCTTCGTGCCCTTGAGCGACGGGCTTTTTGTGGACCCAGAAGAATCAAGGTATGTCTTTATTTTTTCCCCCCAAAGCCTGAAAAAAGAAGAGGAAATGAAAAGAAAAGAAACAAGGAGAATCATGATACTAACCTCAGAGATCCAGGGCCGTAATCTCCTCACTGCTCACCAGGCTGCCTCAGATGTTCTCAGGAATCAAGAACCCAGAGCCAGCTTTGCTCTCGACCCTGAACTCATGTGTATCAGCTCTGGAGAAGACTGGCGGAAAAATCATCTGCTCACTGGCAGCACTTCCCACGTGGGGTCCCGGTCGTCTCTTTATGAGAGATGACGGCAAGCACCCCGGTGGCGAGATCGACAAGAAGCTGTTCACCACCGAGCATCCTGGCTGGAGAAAAGTGGGCGAGAGGATGGCAGCCGTCGGAGTCGGTGCGGATTTCTTCATGGCAGCGCCGACGGGTGGCTATCTCGACATTGCGACTGTGGGCTATGTTGCTGCTATCACCGGTGGCGAGACCTTCTACTACCCGAACTTTATTGCCGGAAGAGACAATGCGAAGCTGTCGCTCGAGGTGAAGCACGCAGTGACGCGGGAGACCGGCTACGAAGCTCTGATGAAAGTGCGGTGCTCGAATGGGTTGCAGGTGTCTGGGTATCACGGTAACTTCATACAACACACCTTCGGCGCGGATCTGGAGATCGGCGTCATCGATGCCGATAGGGCGATTGGCGTCACATTCAGCCATGATGGGAAGCTCGACTCAAAGCTGGACGCGCACTTCCAGTCGGCACTGCTGTACACAACAGCAAATGGAGAGCGCAGGGTCCGTTGTTGCAACGTTGTGGCTAGCGTAAGCGATATTGCCAAGGAGAGCATCAAATACGTCGACCAAGACGCTGTCTACTCTATTATCGCAAAGGAGGCAGCGACCAAGCTGGCCAGCACGTCGGCCTCTATCAAGGACGTCAGACTCAACCTGCAGGAGAGGACGGTCGACGTCATGGCCGCCTACAGGAAACACTTTGTCTCACAGTCCTACCCCCCAGCTCAGCTCGTTATGCCCGACAAGCTGAAGGAGTTCTGCATGTACATGCTCGGACTGATGAAATGTCGCGCTTTCAAGGGCGGCAACGAAACATCTGACCGGCGTGTGCACGAGATGCGCATGATCCGCGGCATGGGCTGTCTCGAGATGAGCCTGTACCTCTACCCGCGCATGATTGCGCTGCACAACCTCCAGCCGGAGGAGGGCTTCGCGGATCCCGCAACGGGCCACCTGAAGCTGCCTCCTTCCATGCGCAACACCTTCAGCAAGGTCGAGCCTGGCGGTGTCTATCTGATGGACAATGGGCAGCAGTGCATGCTGTGGTTCCACGCACAGACGTCGCCGAACCTCATCCAGGATCTTTTTGGTGAGGATAAGTCGAAGCTACAAGACCTCGACGCGTACATGAGCGACCTACCAGTCCTCGAGACCCACCTGAATGCGCAGACGAGGAATATCCTGGAGTTCTGGAAAACCACGAGGGGGTCCAAGGGCTTGACGATACAGTTAGCGCGACAAGGCATTGACGGGGCGGAGTATGAGTGGGCGCGGGGTCTGGTGGAGGACAGGAACAATGAGGCACAGAGTTATGTGGATTGGCTAGTGGTATGTTATGTGCTTCTTGCCCCGTTGCCTCCTCCATAAGCCTTTTTCTTTTCATGGTTACAGGACAACTGCTGACATTGACCATCACAGAACATACATCGCATGGTTCAGCTCGAATTGGCTGGCCAGAGGAAGAAGGAGGTTGAGACGAGTGAGGGCTCGACACTCGGCAGCTTCGCGGGCCTGCGACCGGCATACTGGTAGTTTACGGCGCGTCTTTGTGGGTCTATTATGTACGACGATGATCATACAGGCATACCAACCTCTCCTTGGTCCGCATCATCATTCATATGACATTGTTAGGGGGTCCGCTTGGAGGGACCAGCTGTTTTGTGACCGTGTTGAGGGCTTGGCATCAACTATGCGACGAGCGAAAGTGTACTGAGGCTCCATTACTGTGGATGTGAGGCGACAGCTCAAAGGAGCCACAATATCGATTATGATGAGTATACAGAGAGCTGACCAGGATCCCTTTTCAAAGAAAATCAGTGCGCAGGGAGGTTTTGGCGTCTTGCAAAAATGGCATCTGATGAATTCCCTAGTCAATAACATGTTTGATGATGAATACGTTGCAACATGTATGGGCCAATTTACGAAACGACCAGTCCTCTCAGCTTCCGTTAGAGACATGCCATGCCAACCTTTCGTATTATACATGTTCTCCAGGTCCTTATGTAGGTGCTTCTTGACATGCCATCCGACAAAGGTCAGTCAAATTCAGCAAAGCAGCAGACCATTCGCGCAGCACAATGAACTCGACGCGGTGCTGGATAGACTCATCTCCCCCCCCCCCCCCCAAGGACAAGTCTCTCGATTCTGGCCGCAGCCTTTGCACAATCAGGTGCCGCAAGGACCTGCAGCCACGATTTGTACCACTCGATCTCAAACCTTGGGCAACGTCTGGCCGAAATTTGTGAAGTACACTCTGCTGTATTCACCCGGCGCGTAACCGTCGAAGGCTGTCCCGAGCCGTCCCGTCTAGGCGTCCTGCTGTGGGCTGTGTAATGCCATAGAAGGAATCGTCATGTCCAATGCAGGCCCCACGCGTGGACCAGACACTCTCTCGTACGGGCTGCAATATTTGCTGCCACTTCAAGGTTCTCGATGTCAGAGTCCCAAATTTAATTACCCTGGGTCTCGGAGATCCCTTCTCACTCAGTCACTCACTCACACGCACACTACACTACCTTTTCCCCGAGGGGACACACTCACATCGAGACTCATCTCGTCTGCGAGCTTGAGGACGTAAAAGAGTGATCATTATCCCCTATCTCGCTTATATTAAATCCCGTTCGCCTGCAGCTTGCCTGTGATTCCCAAGATGGTGAGACGGTGTGTACCGGGACTTGCATCTCGGCAATCTGAGACAAAGTGGGTACAAGAGAGGCTACAATGGCCTGACTGTGAGACATACATAAATGACTGGTCAAGGTGGAACGTTGGGCTTGTCTGATGCTGTGGTCTCGATGGCCGTGTAGGGCTGCAGGTGAGGCTTGGGCTGAAGCTCTGGGGAGTGGGTTGGTAGGTAATGGGTTTCGGCGGTAGCGTTGTGATGGCTGCAAGTGGACTCCATGGAATTATATAAGTGAGGTTTTGTGCTTCACCTTGAGGTCATGGCGAGTATGTGAACCCTAACCTATACTATCATCATGGTACGAACAGTTGATAAGACTTGTGCTGAGGGCCAACGACGTATCGAATGAGCTGAGATGGCCTCAGGCCCACCAAGGAATACCTCTTTTGATTATCTCTGAGACCAAAGATTATGATCAAGCCTAGTATACGTCAAATATATATTGGATAGACTCTCTGACTGATGTGATCCTTAAGATTTCTTGTCTACGCCAATCACAAAACTAGGGCGATGTGAGAGATGTGAATATAACACATTTTCATCATTTAGAAAAGTTGAGTCTCCTTGGCCATACGGCACGAGTGAGTACGATATTGTTCTGCATCGTTTGATCGCTGATTGTCTCCAACTCACCCAATATTCCAGTCCTGAAAAACCAGGTGGCCTTTGACTCCTGGCATGGGCCCGGGGCATCTAATTCACTTCATAGGAAAGAAAAATCAGCGTTCTGCCCGTATTCCTCGTTTTGTTTGTTTCTCTTTTATAACTGGAACCACCAAGTGCATAGGCGCCTAACGGACGTGGATTGTGTTTAGAAAACTTCAAAAACACAACTTGATGATCAAAAGGTGGCCCGTCATCATAGTACAAGTAGTCAATATCAATGGTTGGCTAGCCACATCGTAAGGCAGCCAAATATGACCTAAAGCAATTTATCACTCCCCAAAGCGCCAATCATTAAAGTCCAGTTCTTTCCTTCTTTTTCTTTCGTTTATATGTCTGTCTTCCTTCACCGATAATGACCTTCCTCGTCGCGTCAAGGGAAAAAATAGAAGAAGAAAGCAGTTAATCTCAACAACAATTGACCACTTGTACAGTCAAACGAATACACCAGCAAGAGAAAGTAAAGAAAATAACACACGTTGTCAGGCCACACGGCAGCCGGCCCTCTGCAGCTAATCAGGACATGAGGTTCTGGACGCCCATTCGGGTGTCACGCTCCGTCAAGACCCTGTTGATCTCCGCACTGCTAAAGACATACGCGAAGATATCGTAATCCGTCGGATGTCCATCTGCATGGCCAGACGAGTAGCTCGACGACGATGACGACGCCTTGGCCGTTCCCTTGCTCTTGCTCTTACTCTTGCTCGAGCTGCTGCCCGAGCCCGACCCGCCGCTCCGCCCGCCCTTCTTGGCGGCGTCCTCGGCAATCAGGCGCGCGGTGCTCTGGCTGCGGTCGTCGAACACGAACGCCACGTTCTCGAGCTGGCCCCGCAGGTTCGGGTCCCAGAGGAACACCTCGCGCCACATCTCGGCCATCTCGTGCGGCGGGTTGCGGCACGAGCCCAGGCCAAAGTCGCCAATGACCACGCTGCGGATGTCGTTGTACACGCAGATGGTGAGCGCGGCGCGCAGCTTCCTCTTGGCGAGGTCGCGCTCCGACTCGAACGAGTAGCGCGTCCCGTTGTGCTGCAGCTTGGGCCAGCGCGTGGGCACCACGGAGACGACGGGGAGGCCGCGCCACTGCGAGCTGTCGCGGTGTTCGTAGCGGTCATGGGGGCCACGGAAGACGACTGAGTGGTTTGTATGAGCATGGTCAGTCCTGAAGTGTCTTTTGGGTACGATATGAGATGATCAGATAAATAAATAAAAAGAGAATAAAGGGAAAAAAAATCTTGACTAAAAAAATCCCTTAAGCGCAGCCTACTCACCCACGGGATCAGAAAACAGGCCTCCCTCAGGAGGAATTGGATAGTTGACCTCCTTTGGGGTGGCCAGGTGTTGTGACAGGTTGCTGCGCCGGCACAGGCGCTCCTCGTAGCCTACAACGCCCGTCTCCCAGTCACCGCCGGGCCGGTTTTCGTTGGCGGCACAGATGAAGGCGACCTTGGTATCGTTGTTCTCAGCCGACCAGCAAGTGGCAAAGTCCACAGGATCACCCTCACGAACCCCTGCGTCGATCAACATGTTAGTAGTGACACACGATATCGCGGGATCACGATCCGGGGTGTGACGGGGCACGGGTGAAAGGTAGGACGATCAACGCCTCCGGGGTTTGGGTTCAGGAGCAACCTTACAGAAAATGGGTGGGTTGAGATTCATCGTGGGCCTGTGGGGGAATTCAGTATAAGACATGGCCAAAGGCTGGGCGAAGAGGTAGGCATAGCCGTTGAATGCTCCTGCGGAATTCTTTATAAACCTCTTGGTCTCAGCTGCCACTTCTGCTGGTCTGGGTTTGGACGACCTGGAGGAGCTTGAGGATGGCATGGCGCGAGGGTGCGACGTGAAGCTCTTGTGTGTGTAGGAGATCTTGTGGCTGATGGAATGTAGAGACAAAGAGGGAAAAGAGGGTAGAGACACAAAAGAGGGAGGTTGTTATGAAGTTGACTGTGGACAAGTTGAGAGCTAAAGGAAAAAATCTGTGGGTGGCCTGCGGTAGATGATTAAATACATTTCCAAGCCCCCCCTTTTCCCTCCCCCTTCGCCCCAAGACATGACTGGCAGACATGCCATGGACAGCAAAATTGGTAGAGGGGTGTCTTCGATCTGGGTGCAAAATGGATATCCAAGGAACGATGACGGGCCATTGCAAGCGAGAATGGAAGACCTTTTCACGGTGTGGCGTCACACAATTGTTTGATCACATTTCACTTATGTCTTGGATCCCCCAACAGGCAGAGTAGCTGGGAAACGGACGGAAAGAGGTTTATACTCAGCCCTCACGTCTCCGATGGGCAATGTCGATGGGCCCATGGCTTGGGGCCGAAAGGTAGGCTCAAGTAGGACCACTTGATCCAGATTCATGACCAACGATTCAGTACGTGAGATGAGGGTCCTATGTGGCCTCCCGCAACCTCCCACTGCAATCTGCCGCCGTGACACCAGATCTGTGTTGAGCCTGTAGATGAAGGCTGCGTGGTCAAAGTGTCCGTTGGGACCATCGCGACTCCAGTATCTTCCATGTTGCTCTTCTATGGGCCAGCTCCGCAATCAAAGTAAAAGAGTGAGACGGGGGTCGAAAAATGAAAGCTGAGCTGACAAAATTCTCGTCGGTCGTTCTGCCATAGGCAACTGTCCTATGTGGTGGCTGGGGGGGGGGGGGAGAACGGCGATCCAGCACGGTCCAAAGACTTACGACTTGTGAATCTTCTGATCTCTCGCCCCGGGGCTGAACTCCAGAAAATGGACAGGTACAGTGAAAAGACAAGTCAATCATCAGACTTGGCCACATTGATCAGAAGCCATGAGACTCGGTGACAGATCGGATCGGATAGCTCAGCACATACACATAATACAGCCCGGCCCGTTGACAAATCGGGCTGGACCCGAGCCTTGATGTGGTGGAGCTGCAAACGATTAGGTCAAATCAAAAGCAATTTCTTGCTTTTGCTTTTCAAGATGTATGAGTAGGACCCTTACATGTATCCCATCATTGCGTTGTAGGCCATCCTGTTGGGCTTTTCAAGGACAAACTCAAGAGCCAGAGTCTATTGACGACCTCGTGACACAGTCACAGAGATCCAGCTTGGGGCCGTCCTTGACAGCAGCCGATAATCGAGGCAACCTCGCACAGCTTATTGCATTATCCAGACTTTGGGAATCGAAGGTCCATGCTGACCTCAGCAATGACAGAAGTGAGCGGCTCATCACTTCGTGTTGGGAACTTGCGCCCACCACCTGCGCGGTACTTCTGCTGTCCGCGAGGACGTTGACACGAAGCCTCTGCCATGGTTGACTCAACTTGAGTCAATATTTTGAGGACTCCGTACCCGTGAGGGGAGAAAAACGAACACAGACCCAGAACTCTTTTGCCCCGATTTCATTTGTTGACGAAAGGCGTGGTCGAGCCACATGGAAGGTCAAGGCAGACATCGGATGTGACAAGTCAGCCGCATCGCATCTGCCCGTGTCCACAACATACGCAGGAATCAAAATTCTCTTTGTAACGTGGCGTAGCCGGTCTGGTTTGTTGTATGATATGTGTTACTTTCTGTCGATGGTGAGTGTAGGAGCGTAGCAGCGTAACTGTGCCTTGACGCGAGGACGAGTGGGCCCCCATGTGGAACTTCTCCATCTCGGTGAAGCTGAGTTATTGCTTACCTGACCCTCATCTTTCTTTCTCTTTCTTTTTTCCCTTGTTTTGAAGAGTATTGATACTGCCTTGCCGCACCGACGCATGCTTGTTGCGTTTGCTGGTGTTGATATCGCGTCCCTTTTGAGATCGTGTTTACTCAGTTGGTTGTTGATGCGATAAGATAAGTCGGGTACTGGCTAAATATCGGCACTTAACGGTCTGCTCCGCGGTTTTTGTGGATTATGTAATGTACTAAGCAAGTACGACCGCGTCTCATTTTTTGGGAAGAGCAATAGACGTCACTCCATAACAGCCGTCCAGGGGGCTGCATTGCTAGCTATTCAAATCAATAGCAACATCATGATCAAATTTCTGTGTGTCTGATCAACCCCTCGATCGATTCCATTCATATATCATCTCCAGCACGTTTAAGCTCGAGCAATGCGACCAGCTGGTCTGGCATCTGCTGCGAGGCGGTGCCAGAGCATTGCTGCTTCATCATCATCTCCTCATGGCTTGTCTCGAGTCCCACTCGCACTGCGCCGATATATAGCCAGCGACAGTGGAGCTCCACGATCCGTTGCGAAGCTGCTGGAGTGGAAGCCTGAAGGGTCTGCTGCCCGTGACATTGTTGTCAATGGCTACATTCGCTCTGTGCGGTCCATGAAGGCGCGGACTTTTGTTGCACTTGGAGATGGCTCTTCGCTTGCTGCTCTCCAGGCGCTCATTCCTGCGGATCAGGCTGAAGGGTGCGATCCAATTCTCCGATACATCTGCTGTCTCGGCTGCTTATTCTTGATACTGACCCAATTTATCGTCCAGCCTCGCAATTGGTGCTGCTATCCGCCTCAGAGGATCTTGGGTCCCATCACCGGGTGCCGGCCAGTCACACGAATTACACGTCGACAACGTTCAAGTGCTGGGTCCTTCAGACGCCAAGGTATTGGATGATTATACGACTTAGAACCTGGATTGGGATGCCCTTGTTTGCACGGATACTGACTGGTCTTCGATCTGAGCTTAGACTTTCCCGATCCAAAAGAAATACCAGACACCTGAGTACCTCCGAACGATGCCTCATCTTCGGCCGAGAACGCCTTTCAACTCTGCCATTCTCAGATTTAGATCCGAGGTCGTCGCCACCCTGACCCAGTTCTTCGCTAGCCGATACTTTGTCCAGACACACCCACCCGTCATCACCTCCTCGGACTGTGAAGGCGGTGGAGAGGTTTTCAGCATCGCTCCTGCGAACAAGACCGAGGATGAGACAGACGAATCCTTCTTCCGTGCTCCAAAATATCTCACTGTGTCCTCCCAGCTCCATCTCGAGGCCCTTGCTCAGTCTGTTGGCGATGTGTGGACGTTGGGGCCGACCTTCCGTGCGGAGCGGAGCGACACCTCTAGGCACCTAAGCGAGTTCTACATGCTTGAGGCTGAGATGAGCTTTGTGGACGACCTCGGCGGCGTCATGGACCTGCTGGAAGACATGCTGCGGCACACAGCTACCGAGCTCTATCAATCCAGGGTCGCTCGGGAGCTGAGGGCCCCAGGCAGGGACAAGAGTGCCGACGACTCTGCCAGTGACCGCGCCTCGCCCGATGAAGTCGACAAGAGGTGGCAGGGCTTGATGCAGCCCTCCTGGCCCCGGTTGACGTACACAGAGGCTCTCGACATACTCAAGACAAACCAGCATCTGTTCCGGCATGCACCTGTATGGGGCGACGGCTTGCAGTCTGAGCACGAAAAGTATATCGCCCGTGTGGTTGGGAACGGAAAGCCTGTCTTTGTCACCCACTACCCTCGCGACATTAAAGCATTCTACATGCGCCCCACGCAAGAGCATGAGCGGGACGCCACATCCCAGGAGACAGTCGACTGCTTTGACCTACTCGTCCCGGAATTCTGTGAAATCGCCGGTGGTTCCATGCGCGAGCATCGTCTGCCGCAGCTCCTGGACGCGATGAAGAGGCATGGAATTGTCATACCGTCTTCGGATGGCAGCATACAACCGACGTCACCAGCAGGCCCTCTGGACTGGTATGCCGACCTTCGCCGCTGGGGCTGTCCGCCTCATGGTGGCTTCGGCCTGGGTTTTGACCGCCTTCTCGGCTACCTGTCAGGTGTACAAACGATCCGGGACACCGTCACTTTCCCTCGGTGGTACGGACGGTGTGACTGTTGAGCGAAACAACTGTCCTGGACCTGATCGATCTGGGGTTGAGACTGGTCCTCCATCCTTACAGATCTGCTCATGCTGTGCTCGTCAAAGCTTGCCTACTTTGGCGATTCGTGTCACCTCTCTTCCGCAGCCGAGATATCTGCGACTGGGTGCCATCTTTGTGGTCCCGGCCCCATGCTGGGAAATCAGCATGCAGCTTTCCTCGCGAAGATTATGTGGGAACCGCAGTCTACACCTTGCTGGATCTAAGAACAAAGCTTGCACCTGACAGGTCTCGAGACGTTTCCTACATGCCAGGGTTGTGCGACTCTTCAGAGCTTTACGGCCTTATTCCCAATATTTCCGCAGAGATGCGTCTGACCTGCAGCTTGCCGTGTGGTGCAGCTCGACAGAGATTGACGAGGGGAAGGTGGGCGCCCTCCATGGCCCGAAGTCTAGCCATGAAAGCCAGCATCCGAGATGTAGTGACGGGACGACGGCCGCTGCCGGGCCCAGGCGTACGGTAACACGGCAATCAAAGCAATTTTCTTCTCACTTCGTGCATCCCACTTCCCTTGGACAAAAATACTGGGCGTGGCGTCAAGTGACTTGGCTGGCTATACTGTGGCGAGATACCAATGTAATATCTCACGGACAGATTCCCATTTGCTAACCGCGCCCAGGCCCAAGCGCGCGCTCCCTGTGCTTCGAATGCGTCTCTCCAGAAGATGTCTTCATACTCGACACAGCCTCGGATTGCAGCTCAAGGCAACGGGCGCTGCTACGATGTTCATCACATGCGTCAAGAAGGTAAGAAATTGCATCCATTGCTGTGCTAAGTATTGCAAGTTTTCTTCTTGTACGAGGTCCTGGTCCCTTGCCTGCCTCACATGAGTGAGCCTGGATGACCATGACCACCTTGCCAAACGCAGAAGAAGGGTTTCTGGGGACTAATAGAGCTTGGACAGACGGACTGACGCCTGGAGAGCCCCAGTTTTGGGGTTTGAGCTGCCATCCTGAGGTTGGTCCATGCATGGAGGAGTGAAGCAATTTCCACAGATCCCACTCCATCTGCCAGGTGATCATTCATACAGGGTCTTTCGCCTCACAAGCCTCTCAGAAGATCCTATGTTCAATCCTCTCTCTGGCGTATATTGAGCTGCCACTATTCTCCTCTTCATCACGCTGCCCACCCAAGGTCATCAGCCTGGTTTGTTCTGGCGGAACTAGGTTCCTCACAACACCTCCTAGCTCGTCTAGTGAAGAGCTATTCAAGGATTATCTGGTAACAGATGTTGTTTTCCTCGGCTCCATCCAAGGTTTGGCAGTGTCGATTCGAGTATTCTCGATCTGGGTCCAGCATGAGCGGTAGGACGACTTTTGGGCAAGACTAGTTGCCCTTGCCACCCAATACTGGCCCCAAATCACTTACGTCGCTTAGTTATGGATGGTAAGAGTCCAAGCGAACACGGAAGATGTTGCCTGTCATCCTCCATGTTCGCTCGAGCGTGCGAGCGCTGTTCACGAGAGCGGCTACAGAGAGCCGTCTTGATCGGACATTTGCTACCTTAGAAGGACCAATCGCATATATACTACTGTATTCGAGCCTCATGAAACCGCATCTTCGGCGGTATCAGACGTTGGGAAGGTAAGTCGACAACTACACTGACCCGTTGACAATTGTCAAGAGGAAGAACTTATGGGATAATCAACCCTCAATTACGACGACATGCTCGTGACTCTCTCAGACCGGTTGGACTGGAGGCTCTGCCAGGCCTGCAAAGAGTCGGCGAGTGAAATGCTCTATTCTCCGCTGAGGTGGAGCTCAGATGGGATGTTGGGACCTGTTCAGAACAAAGACGTGTACGCAGGCACGGAGTATGAGGAGTTCTCGGATGGCATCGAATTGTTGCAAGCACTGGTTCTACAAAAGTTTTTACAAGTGTTTATAGCGACAGTATATGGTTCATACTCTTACGAAAAGTTAAAATCATCATCTAAAGAACCCTGGTGTGCCCTGGTGTGCAGAAGCTCGCCGAAGCTGTCACGGATATAGAGCCCTCCAGAGTATACCAGCTTCTGGGCACATCAAGGGACAGCCACCAAGCACAACTCTACACGTCACTCGAAGGCCCCGTCGTCACATGTGGTAGGCAAAGCCGCCGAGGAGCCAAGGCGCGCAGACAAGAGCTTGGCAAATCACCTCAGAGCCCTTGCGAGGGGAGGCGAGGATCCGCAGCGAAGGGACCTTGGCCCAGGCCCCAGAGCCAAGAAACCACCGATCACCGTACTCGGGCTTCATAGTTCGGGCTGAGCGCGTAGAAGGGGGGAAATAAATTTGCTCATTAACAAGCTTATAATCAAGAATCAAACCTGTCGCCCCAGCCTGTTTGTGGAGTCCGGAGAACAGACCGCTCCGCGGCGCGATAAGTTTGTTCCGCAGCAGGGCCTGCTGGTACCTTGTGACACTTGACCTGCATTGAAGAAGAAGAAAAAAATAACGATGTCTACTGAAAATTGTCGACAAATCGTCCAAAGAGAGAGAAGAGAGGAAACACAGGAGAGTCCCCTTCACTAGAAAGAAAAGAGAAAGGAAGGGCTCATCATTCATTCATTCGGCACTCCGGCCTTACGGCACGTGGGTGGGCTGCCTGCTACGGACGGCTATCACGGCTTTCCTGCGGTGGTTACGAAACGGGGCTGAGACGCGCCAAAAAGAGCAGCCGCCCTACGTGTTCGTTTATTCGATAGTTCTGAGCCTTGGCGAGATTATGAGTAGCCGGGGGCGCGTACGAGATGGAAAGGCGAAAGAGGGACTGATTGAAGTGATGGTCTCGTACGATGTGCAGAGTCCTTTGTGCGTATGTGTGTGTGTATTGTGGGTGGGGGGGGGGGGAGGGTTTCATTTTGGACTTCCCTCTAACTCTTTTTTATTTTAATTTTTTTTAAAGAAAAGTTGATGGTGTTCACAGTTTGTACCCGGATCATCTTTTTTCTCGTATCTACGAGCTTGCCGGTAGTTGGGAAGAAGGGGGGGGGGGGGGAAAGCCCACCGCGGTATTACCGAGGGAGGGAACAAGGCGAACTACGGGGTGTCTCCAAAACCTGTGACGACGATGAAGATCCTTGGTCTGATGGCAGATTCAAAAGGAGTGAAAGAGGAAGCGAGTGGGCAGGAAAAAGGATACGGTTTTTCTTCCCACAAAACGCTGGCGGGTTAGTCCTTTGTGTGTGTGTGTGTGTGGATGTTGGAAGGAGTGTATGGTGGTGGTGGTTGGGACCCCCCCTTCTCTTCGTGTCCCTCCCCCCAGATGAACGAACGAGCGAAACCAACAGACACATTAGTACTGTGCATTTTTGGGAATGCTGCTGACATGCAGTGAGTAGTTTCGACCAGCACATCTTTTTGGATCTCCATTATCCCATCAAAGTAAAAGGTCCTGGCTATCAGATCCTGGGGCAATCCTTCTTCCTTGCTCAGCGCACCTGGTTCGGGCCCCAAGCCGTATGCATGTACCGCACCGCAAGTCTTGAAATTTTCCCCCCCCTTCTTCTCTCCCTCCTTCTCGTCCTTCGGTTGGTTGTTGAGAGTGTGGCGCTCGCTTTATCTCGGGCAATGTCACATGCATGCATGCATTGTTATGTATGCACGCACGGGGTCAGGGCCTCTATCAAGCATACTGTACATCAAAATAATATGCAGCATATCGCTGGCGTTGCACAAAGTTTGAAATTAGTTGAGATACCTTGTAATATGGCTGGGTTGTACACACAGGTCATGGTGATGATGATGAAGATGATGATGATGATAGGTGGTGTGGCGTCCCATAAAGTTAGTGTGGATACTGTCATAGTACGTATAGGTTTTTTAGAGCCTCCCGCATCCTGGTCGTTTCCTCCAGTCTAACTTCAAGGTTTAATCCTCTTCGAACAGAGGGACAAGGGTTAGTAGATGAGGGAGGTGAGAGGCCGCGTAAGCTTCTCTGTTAGCGGCTCCGCTTGAGCGCAACCCTCCATCCACATGGCAAGCCACGGGTTTGCGGCAAGGTGGGGGCAAGGGAAGGGGGGACATGGGAGCAGGGGGGTAGGAACAGGAAGTCCAGGAGGAGATGAGATTGATTGATCATGATTTCCTCCTACCACATCTTTTGTTCTACTGAAAGGAGGAGGATTATGATGATGGACATCAAGACACAAAACCTGGACTGCTACTAGCAACTATCTATACCTTGGTTGGTGCTATAATACGACAACCAGTAAAGAGTTTGTACTATAATTGTATATTGTACTTGCCTCGACTACGCGATTCAACACTCTTCCTCTCGCCTTCCCCCTCGTAAGCCCATCACTTACCCAATCTGGACGAGCGAAAAGCCTCAGCTGCCCTCCGCAGTTGGTGTTCAGTGGTATTCTGTCCTTCTCGACCCCAATAAAATTTTGGTCTGTCGTGCGGTAGCGAAACGAACATCGAATCATGGTGGGTTCTGAGGTACATAGTGCTATAGTACCAAAGTCTGTCGCTGCACACAAGAAGCGAGGGACCCCCAAAAATGAACCCTGTCTGCCGTAGCTAAAATCGTCCACGAATTAAGCTTGTTTTCTGTGTGTGTCACGCAAGGATCCAACCAGAAGGGGGTACAAAGTACATCTGACATCGAGCCTCCCTTGCCGAAACGCCGGAAGGAGACTGTGGGTCCTTTTTTTCTTTTCTTTTTGTAGGTACCTCAACCATACTACCATAGGATGCATGTACTGCGGTACCTTTTTCCTTACTTTCTCCTTCACTCCCTTCACCGGGATCTATTTGTCCTATCCGACAGACGACGACGACGACAACGACGACCCATGGTGGAAACGTAGAGGGCCCCCTTAACCAACCCTTTTCTTCTTCTTTTTTTACTCATCCACTCAATGTCCATCATTACCAACACCAGAAAAAGTGATATATGAGAGAGGGAAAGAAGCAAGAAAGAGAGGGTCTGCCACTGCTGCTGCCTGGGTTCGGCTCATCGTTTCCATGGGAC